TGTAACCAGCGCTGGATGGCCGCAAATGGTACCTCCAGGTTAAGACCTGCTCGGTGCGCGCTGTCCTTGTCCTCTCCTGTCCTCTCCTATGCTGTGCTGGCTGGCTGGCTGGGCAAAACGTCCCGGCACCATCGCCCCACACATTCGGTGCTCAGAGCGGTGTTGGCTGTCGAAACCTCGCGAGTGGGCGGGCATGCCAGGCCTTGACCGGCTCGCACCAGATCATCGCAGCCGTCGACCGTTGCTACCCATTGGCTGCTGCCCGTGCCCTGTCACGCATGCGCAACCTCTGAACTCGTCCGCACACCGCGACTCCTCGCAAGGACAAGCCACCTCTCCCCAACGCCGCCCCCGTGGTACTTGGGCCAACCATGCGAACAGGCACGGCGCCCTCGTCTTCCACACCTGCTCCTGTCCACAGGAACAACAGGTCCTGCGAGGAAGGCTGCCGTGGCAGACCATATACCGGTTCTAGCCTAGCACAGCACATGCAACCTGGCCGCACATCCATGCAGCCAGCTCGCCTTGTCAGTGGGAACTGGGAACCTCTTCCTCTGTGAAAAGTACAGCCTGCCAGCCTGCCAATCTAAATTATCCACCGTACTTGATCACTTTAGCCAACCGTAGTTCGACCCCATCTCCTCTCCACAAGGTAGCACCACCGCTGCCAGCGTTCACCACTCGTCCACTCTGAGGCGTGGCTCTTGATCATACAGCCGTCTCACGGCCAGCCCTACGCACTGTTCTCATGCTTTGCCGCAGCCGCATCAGCACCTTACTGCAGAGTCGGTGAGCTCAAGACCCAAAGGGCGCACAATAGTAGCCAGCCCAAAGCTTAGCCCATGTCTTCAGTCGTTCAGTACCTACTTGGAAAGCGAGCCAACCGTCGTTGGAGTGGAACCATTCGGGAGCAACGACTGGAATTCTCAAACGGCGTCGAGTCGCTCTTTCCGCTTAATGGCTGGACTATAGTTTCAACGGCACGCCTTACGCCCGGTCGTGGGGGCTCATGAACCGCTGCGCGTTACTTATTTAGGTGCAACCTGCTTGTGTATCGAGACTGCAGAGAGGGAGCAATTTCAACGAAAACCAACTTCACATCCCCATTGCTTGTTCGAACTGGCCACAATAAGAGGCTTGCTAGCCTTTGAACTTGACAGTACTGATACTTTGTCAGTTGTTTGTAGCCGAACGAGGCTCGCCACGGACATCGAGAATCCCACACTCGCCAACAAAAGAGCAGAAGCAATGCAGAAACCCTGTAAAGATCTGGAGTATATCGGCTTTGAAACACTTGACCCCTCGGGCGAGAACTTGGTCTGTCCAGGGCGGTGTCGTCTGATGAAATCTGCTGCTCGATATAGGCAGCATGGCCGCCACAAGGCATACCGTCTCGTGGAACATCAACGAACCGCAGCCCAGGGTCGAAGCTCAATTATGAGCCGCAGGCAACAGCGCCATGTGCTATTACTGCCACCATGTTGGATGGAATTGGTGGGGGCTTGTGAACAGGAGTAGACAGCGTCAAGCGAGGCGAGGTTGCCACTGACCTCTCTGAGACATACGCGCACACAGTCGCAAACGAAGGCTTAATTGCTCATGGCTACGCGGCCTTTGAACCTTGGGAAAGTGATTGCGCACGTCGATCACATCCACGTTGCCCGTCCCCTGTTCTGCTGCGGGACTGGCTCAGTTCTACGCCTACCGGCTATGATGTTGAAATAGTGCAATGTGGGGCTGGAGCATCTAGATGCTTGCGAAGCACGCCTTACACATCACAGACAGAGTCTCCAACACGTACTAGTCGACAGTTGGCCAACACGTGGTCCTTCAAAGACTCTCTTTTTTGGCCAAGAGATCAGTGAAGGTTGCCACCCAACCCGCGACCAAGCTCGTTGTTATCAATCACGTCTCACCAGGGGAGTTGTTTCGGCAATCGAAACGGGGCAACCTTGGTAGTTTGGGGTATATGACGATATGTAGTCGGTGCTTTGTCAATCCGATGCCGCGTCAGCAACGTGAACCCATCAGACAGACTGATGGGCTCAGCAATGCGATCTTGGACTCTTCACCAGGGGTATCTGGCTGCACGAGTCTCTGGGTGATCAGGCTACCATGGATGCGGGACATAGCAGAGGATTTATGCGTAGAGGCTCAGCATCAATGGTTGACGATCATGGATGACTGATTTGGACTAGACCAAACAAATGATTCTACGTTCTTCATCTCCCGGGCCAATTCGAAAACACACAGAGTCGGGCGATTCGTGGCCCGTTGGACGTTGGGAGATGGTGTGAACCGGTCGGCATGATACAGTTTCACTACGCCCTTGTCTGGAGACGCACATGAACGGCGAGCTCAACGCTCGCTGAATGCGAAATATCACACACACCATGCAGTAGGTAGCACAGGCTCTGCTTCAAGCATGTGCAACAAAACTCGCAAGTTTGCACAGGACTGCGTTTACGCAGGTAGACTACGAAGCGAACAGCAGTCTATCATCGATCCGATGTAATCAGACGTGGTCGCCGAGGTCATGGGGAAATGTAGTACAGGTTCACAAGGCTGTCACCGAGACGGTGAGTCGGTAGGGCGGGAAGACCCATGCAACTCCCTTGGGTGGCTCAGAACGGTTAGTCGTCTTGTTCCAAGACCGTTGTCACCGGGTGTGATTGGCCAGACGACTCTCTTGGACGAATGAATTTCCTCATCTGGAGTACGACAAGGTCCTCACAGTCCCGCTCTGCCGGGCACCCCGCACCAAGCTCACCGCCGCGCGCAAGACCTGCTGGACGGTGGGAACTTGGGGTGGAATGCGATGGGTGGTCATGTGATATCATATAGGCTCCATACTATCGGGTTGGTGGACTGGCATGCTGGTTGGCGTCCTATTGCTGCTCTATACCGATTAAGTGCAGGCATGCGTTTGAGGGGAGGGGGCTGCTAAAACGCCTACAGCTGCCTGCGTTACAGTACAGAGAACACCGGGCCAAGACACGTCAAACAGCTGCACTGACCTATCCAGACAAACAGACAGCTGATCGTGGATAGCCGCCGCCGTACGAAACCTTGCATCTTCCAAAATTATCGTCTTCATCGCCAGGCACTTGAGGACTGCTCCACGACTGTACCGTCCCTAGGTAGTACGCCGTACCGTCCACAGGCGCGCTACTCTCGGCCTATTTTTAGTGGCCGCTGCAAGCGACGCCACGGCCCCTGGCGACAAACACCTCCCCCTCCATAGCCCTACAGCCCTACGACTCGTAGGAGTGAGCCTGGGACACAGCCATTGGCCTGTCCGCTATAAGCAATGCGCGAACCCCTCATCGTATGCCCCATGGCCTTCGCCGTAGCACCCGAATGATGATGAGCTGGCAGAAATGCCGGGCGACCGCTTCCTTCGGAGGGGCCTTGTACCATCCATCCACCGTTCCATACCCTCTATCTAGTCTCACAGTATGTACAGTGCACCGCCTACTCACCGACTGACAGGCATGGAATGCGCAGGACAGGACGGTGTCGTGGACACGGCGAGTTTTCGCCGTGCATGCCTCTATGATGTTCGTCCCAGGAAGAGAGGGCTATCTATCACGACATATAGGAATGGAGCGAATGACGATGACGACTATTCCCGCGCTAGTCGCCTACCGCGATGTCATATGTTTATCGACGTTTTCGCTTCGACTGCTGGTAAAAGTGAGTATATCCAAGCGCCGCGGGCCCATGCAATCACCCAGCCAGAAGCATGACCGTATGGGCCGTTGGTTGCCTTGCACACAAACAGTATCTCCGGTGTGCAGTACCGTACACCCAGCACCCACATGGGATGGTCAGACCTCGTGGCAGTCTAGTAAGTGTAACTGGTCAGGTCTCGACCCTCGATGGCCATTGTAAAGCGAATCGAGCAATCACAGGGTGCGTTTCGGCTTCGTCATCCTACAGCTCCAAGGCAGACATTTGCCAGCTGCAGGGCGTTGACCGTCGCCGCAGCCAGCCGTTTCAACTCGGCTCGAAACATTCCCTCAACAGCTGGACCATTCTCAGTACGGCGTGCACAGGTCGCGGCTCAAAATGCTGATCATCAGGCCCTTGATGGCTCCACTCTGGACTCTGCACAACGGTGATGTGCTTATTTTGGCCAGACAGCTTACGAAGCGGGCTCGCGAGCGCCGACTATGGCGGTTGGGGCTTGGTGGGATGCAGCTGCTAGCTCAACCGTTCATGTCGCTTTCGCGGGAGCGGCACAGCACCACCACCACAGATCCTGCAAGCCTTTTTTAGGCCTCTCGGCATGCCATGTGTTCTCGGAAGCGCCCGGGCGAAGAAAAAGGGTGTCCATGGTGGTGCATTTGGTTTGCCATCAAAATAGCATGGCAGGCTCCATAGTAGCAGCAGTCTCAATATACATGTACCGGTACGTCTTGTGCGAGCCTGCGAGCTGAACAGCGATCAGCTAGGTGGATCCGACCTGGATTTCCAAGTGTGGGGTGATTTCAAAAGCTAGCTGAAATCCCAGTCAGTCAACGCAGCATGGAATCCTGGCACTAGGTAGTAGGCACTCTGCTCTGCTGTTCACACAGATCAGCCCTGTCGAAAGTCTGATAGGCACCAATACCAAGGGGCTAGCGCGGGCAGCATTGGACCCCTACTACTCGTGGATTAGGTAGTAGGGAGTACTCTAGACGGTACCGTAAGCCAGATCCTCGCACCGCTCGGACAAGCCGGTGGTCTGCTTTCGGTTCCGCATGTCGACAACAAGGGGAGTTGAGGGTACAGTACTGCAGACGCAGTGTGATTCAATCACAAGACTCGCCCTCTACTACCGGTATTGATCATTGCATGCGCAACAGCAAGGCCAGCCCATAGATCCACTGCCATCACCAAGAAGAACCCGCCCGCCAAAACCCTCCTTTCCTAACCCGCCGTACAATGCAGAAGCGCCACAGGGACGGGTCCGTAGCCAGAGGCGTGACAGACTACAGTCATGATTAGCCATCGTCGAGCAAAACGATTGGGGCTTGGGCGGAATCATGTCCTGATGGAGATGGCGGTAGCGAATGGATGCAGTGGATCCCCATGCCGCAGCCAATCAGCCACGACTGGGGAGCATGGTCGGCATCAGTCAGCATGTACCAAGCAGGTAGGTATCTTTTGCCCACAACCTCACGGCCGACTTGCCAAGCGACTTCCCTTGCGTTCTGGAAGCTGGTTTCTTGCAGTCTAATGCATAGGGCTGGATAGGGTAGGAGGAGGTCCTGGGAACAAGTTGCGGTCATGCAGGTCGAGGGGCAGAGATGCAGTTAGTCAGGAGTATTGTCATCATCATCATGGCATGTTGTGCTCGACTTGGACGTGGCTTTCGGCTCAGGGCATACAACACATCTATCCCGTTGAATGCGTACTGTGAGCTCGACTCGCCGTGAGATTTCTTTTCCATCTTCCTACTACGGATGGGTCAATTCAATTCAGCTTTGTTAGCTTGTAGCATTTCGTTGTCGTCATGCCCAGGATTGTGTCCATCTTAGTGTAAGGATTCAGAAACGTTAGGCCCCTGCGCTACAACCCAAGTACATACTATACAGCAGAGTAGCCCCCACGGCTATCGGGAAACAGTGCAAGACTCTCGGGTCTCGTGCCGTAACCTTCAACATGGCCCCAATGTTTCACTCCCTCTTGCCATTTCTTTTGTCACAGATATTAGGTAGACAGAGAGAGAGAGAGAGAGAGTGTGTGTGTGTGTGTGTGTGTGAGACAAGAGAGTAAAGCAGATCGGGCGAGCCCGACATGTTGTCCTGCATCGTCGATCGACTGCAGATCAATGCGAACTCGACGCATACGGTACGCTGTGTGACGTGGATGGAACGCTGTTCCGGCTCTACAGGCAAAGCCACTGCTCTCCATACTCGTACTCTACGCATGCAACAAGTCACCACCCCCATCCATCCCGCGTTGCTCAAGCATCTAGAAGATTGTCTGCTGCCTGCGATTGCTATTGCTATCCTCGCTACAGCCATTCCAGCGACCTTGTCCCGATGAAACAGCAACAGGTCGGCGTGCTGAGCAAGCCAGCACAGCTGCATCGCAACGCAAACCCCCCGCCCGAAGCAACCAAAGCGCCGGTCCTCTGATGGCTTCACAGCCTTCTTTCGCACCGAAATTCCAAAACACCGCCTCCGACTGGGCACTTTTGCCATAGGACCCATTTGACCTCTTCCACCATTGGCAAGCCAGAAAATGCGCCTATCTCTACTGGGGGGGCGGGGGTCCAAGGCCTTCCACACAGGCTATATTGCGTAGTAGTATGTACACGTCTGCGAGGTAACAGCACCAATGCCTTGGTGGCTGTGATGGGAGTACGGCGATGGCCAATCAGTACATCTGCCACCCGCATGATCGTTGCGCGGGTTCGCGGCGAGGGGGAGGGCGAGAGTCGAGGGAAAAGCAAGGTTGGATGGGATCCGAACGGGACCATACATAGCCGAACACGGACTTGAGAAGAGGCCTCATGATGCAAACATGCAACCATGCAAGGCCTCGCTAGTTGTATGTCAAGTAGGGAGCCGTCATTGGCATTGGCCATGGATGCACTGGGAATGTCATGTGAGGACAATTGTCGATGTAGTTCTCTCTACCTTGTGTGCTCTACTCTTTCGCCCGGAAGACGACTGCTGATCCCCAAGATCTCACGGCAGGACGCCCACGTTCCAAACATTGCACCACCACCAGCGTATCACACTGCTAGAATGGGTACCGTACCTATCCAGGGTCAAGGAAGGAACTGGCGGATCGATCGGTACGCGATGCGCGCTATCGCCATCCCAACGCCTTCAGGCGGGCAGCTTGTATGTACTTCTACCAGTCAGTAGCCATGGCTCAGCCCGTCGACACACTAGCCCACCTTTTCTCGGTGCCCGTCAGGATTCGAGGGGGCAGCGCTGCGATCAGCGGAATCCCAGGCCGAACCGCGAGCGAGCGAGCTTCCTACCTGATCAAAGAGCAGATGGAGTTTGGGTTGGGGTGGAGCAAGTGGTGGCTTGGGCTGTATGTATTGTACCGTACATACATGCCTTAGGCCGCGGAGCCTACCGCAGCACCAGCACCAGCACCAGCACCAGCACCAGCACCAGCACCAGCACCAGCACCAGCACCAGCACCCCCCCCGCAACTGGTTTGCGCCCTTTCTATTCTTGGCCGCGAACGGGGGAAAGCCAGCTGAGGCCTCCAGCTTTTTTGGTGCTCTAAGCCATGGAGGGCGAAGATGGCTTTTTTTTTCCATGTCGGATAAAAAAAGGCCACGTCGACCAATGTCCAAGCGTGGTGGAACATGGACAGAGGACAGAACTTTGCTCGCGTCTGTCAATATCAAGTTCGGTAATTATGGCGTTTGGCGCCATATGTAGCAGAATAGGGACTGGGCGGAAAACATGGCAGTGTTGATCCTTTCATGGCAGATCAGAAAATCCTCCTCGATTGGGATAGGCGTGCAAAAAGGCGAGAAGGGGGGGATGGATGAGCGCGAGATAGATTACAGTGTACCGGTACAGCTCCACCCCAACCTCTTCTCGCTCGAAAACGGTGTACTGGACAGGGCGGAAGCCTTGCATAGCGCCGGTAACCAAGTACGAGACCCATGCGATGTCTTGACCATCCCGCTAGTCACTCGAACCATTCATTCAAACCCATTCACTCACTCACTCATTCACTCACTCACTCATTCACACTCCATTCCCTCAGGGCTGGCCAGGATGTGGCGTTCCAACGTCGCTCGTGACCTGGCCAACAGGTTCACTCCACCCTTTCCACGCCGTCTCCCAGCCAAGACAGGTTCGCAACACAGGACGCCCCTGTTTCGCAAAGCTCGTCTCGTCACTCAAATCTTAACAGCTTGACATGGGAGTAGGTACACTAGGCAGCGTGGCAGGTCGCACTCCTGTCACTCTCTGTCCGTGTGTTCCTGATAGATGGTCCATGGCCATGGGAACCGCTGGATCAGCATCCTAGCAAGCCAAGGGTATGCCATGTTCAGCCTTGCGCTCTGACCCCCCCCCCCTTTGCTGCTCAAACAACGACTCTTGAGGGGAGGGAATGCGAGCAGACGAATCACAACGGCTACAAACTAGAGAATGGGACACACTGGCCGCGCAACCCTTTCCCGATCCAGCAGTCCGCCTTTTCCGGTGTACAGAGAGATAGGATGGGTGACGGTAGGAGTTAGATGGGCTGAAGGTTTGTGGAACCTTGGATTCTCGCCCTTTTGCTGCCTATGCTTCTGCCTACCGTACCGGTACCGTATGCTGCTCCCCACTGGCTTGGAGACATTTGCCCACTCCACCCCACCACACCTGCTAGGTAAACTCTGTCCCACGCGGCAACATCACAACAGCACCGCATTCGCCCTCCTCACCCGGATTCAAACAAATGCCACAACCGCCCTCCCATCAGATTAAACTGACAAACCCCCGATTCCTGACTCATTATCCCCGGATTACCAAGCTGTCAGCACTCAACACCGCTAAGCATCCGGAGTGGGAACTCCACGAGCGGTTCCTCGCGCAAGGGCTTACCGGTGCAGTGAGGCTTTGGCTTGTAGGGCTGACCGATGGTAGGTAGGTAGACGAGTCGAGTAGGGGGAAAGAGGGAAAAGGGGTGTAAAGGCGGGAAGGAAGACGAACGCTCTCCACGCGGGATGTGCGTAACAAAGAAAAACAGTCTGACAGGTCTGACAACTGCTTTTGCCAATCATCCATTTCACATACAACATCTATAGAGTAGGACATGACACTCTGTCCATCCCTCTGTCCGTACTATAGTAGTAGCAGCCACACGCATCCCGCGGCACCACTCCCCAAATGCCACACCTGCCCCCTTTGTACACGAACATGCACAACCCATCACAATCCCTGGGCATCTCTTGCTGCAAAACTTGCACGCAAACATGCAGACGTGCATGGCATATGCCGACCAAGGCGGCACAACGCGCGGTGGCGGTGGGCATCTTGGGCGGTATGGATAGCGTAAAGGTAGCGGTCACCCCGGTCGTAGCTAAGTAGCACGCCTCGCATTCCCTCGACCGATTTCGCCGCCGTTCGAGAAGGTTGGCTAGGTTTTGTTGCTGGCTTGGCAAACCGGTGAAATCCTGCTGGCAGGGGTGGGGAGCGGGGCGCTGCCATGTTATCATACAGACTGGGTGCTCCTATGTAGTATGGACTGGTAAAGTAGGTGATGTAGGTGGTGAGTGTAGGTAGATAGGCAAGCAAGGCATGGCAAGGTTACGTTCCAGCTGGCCCTCTGGCCTACCGGTATGATGCCTACCTACCTGCCTAGCCTAGGTATGGAAACCACTTTTTTTCATGCAATGATGTGCAAAAGAAGCGATTGATGGCGAGCTCGTGCATGTGGGAACCTGATGGCAAAAGACTGACAAGAAGAAGAAAAAAGCAAATGCATGGGATGGGTGGACGGATTGTATTGCATTCTACTCCTACATGCTGTGTTGCTGTGTACCTCATACGTACCGTCTCCAACTACCGCGCACCATGCCATACATACAAGGACCCCCGCGATCCACACACACACACACACACAGCCATGTCCATCCTCACACACACTCACCCATCAATCCACACCACCAGCACCAGCACAGCACAGCACAGCACAGCACAGCACACAAACCCACCGCGTTTCGCGCCCCAACCCACACACACCACCATCACGCAAAAGAAGAAGAAAAGAAGCCGGACTTCATCTCCCAGCCCCCCATCCCCAAACCACCCTTGACCCAGGACTAACCAGCCTAGGCACAGGACGAGTCTCCATTGTGTACAAAGTGTATACGCATCTCAGCATCCGACGATGAACCTTGCGGGTATCCGACGGTTGGTCTGGGGGAAGTGCATCCGTAGATGCCCAAGTAGGTGCACGGATAGTGAGTCTGACAGGTACCACGGTACACTACACCACAACACCCCAGGTACACTATGGTATGCTATCCCACACAGACACCAGCACACACCAGCACACACCAGCACGCACGCCCACGCCCACGCCCACAACAGCATGATCGGCATGATCAGCCCCAGCACCCGAACCTACCGCTCTACGCCCGTGCCCCCCATCGTCGCGCCCCTACCCTACCGGCACGGTACTGGGCGGACGGGCTGTTGTTCCCCTTTGACGCCGGGCCTGTTGTGCTGGTGTGTGTGTCAAGTACAAGTACAAGTACCGGTATAGTGAACTAGTAGGTCCTATCCTGTCCTGCACTATACCGGTACTGTAGTCTTCTGGTAGCGCAAGTGTGAAATGGCGAAATCGCTCCGAACAAGGGAAAGCAGGGGGTTATTTGATTTGCTCTCGAGGCTTGCAAGGCTCAAGGCGCCGATGCGTGCTGCGACGGCGCCGTTGTTTGTTGCTGGTTTGGGTTTGGGGGGAGAGGGCACGGGCCTGGTGTGGCTGCGTGCTTTTTTGGGGTGGGCTGGTGGTGGAGAGAGAGGGAGGGAGAGTTGGAGTAGGTGGGCTGTTGGGGGGGGGGGGGAGAGGGAGAGGAGATGGAGATGGAGGAGAGGGGGGTATGGGTGGCAGATGGGATTGATGGTGTGTTGTATAGAGTTGTAGAGTTCAATGCCGGGCTAGAGATGCCACGGCTAGGGTACTGGAAAGTTGCGGTACAGTACGTGACAGTGAAGACGAGTGTTTGACTGGGCTGGCAAGGCAGTTTGATGGTTGTTACAGTCTACCCTAGCACGCCCTCTGGTGATTATTACAATTACCCTAGCATGCCCTGTAGGTTCCTAGGGGAGATTACCACCACACCTACGTTACCTATCCAGGTAGTCGCAGACACATCCACTCCACTGTTCACAAAGCGCACTCTCATTCACCGCTTCACCACCACCTACCTACCTACCTACTTAGGGTATCCATGCCACAGCCACGGCCTCTCCAACCGGCCGTTGCGCGCGCCCATGTCTTGGGCTGTCATGCCACGAAATCGAATCCAGCCACGCGCAAGTACCTAAACGGTACCTAAACCCAGATACAGGCACCCGATTGCGCTGCTACCACGCATTGGGCGAATCGGGTCCGGAACATAGGTAGGGCTGTAGGGTAGGTACGATGGCACAGTACTTTGACCACGACCCAAGTCGAGTTCCTGGATCGACGTGGCCGGAAACGGTTACGGCTGTGTAGATGCTAGGTGGTATTGTGGGGGCTCTTGCACGGTACCTGTCCCCTCCGAAGAACGGCTAGGTTTACGATTAGTGCTAGTTGATGTGTCGGGCTGGTGGGGGGGGGGGGTGTGGTTGTCGATTGTAATAGCAGGTATACTATATATATCCGACTGTCGTGGTGAACTAGGTTAGGTACAGTGGCTAGCTGTGTGTGTGCTATTAGGTTTCAAAAAGGGCAGCCTGCTTTGTCCAATGGCATGCCTGCATCCTGCGCACATTCTGGAATTTCCCGACGCCATCCTTTATGTGGGGGATGTGAGAAAGGGGTTTCTTGTGTGATGGGGGACCGCAGTCTGCGTGCGTGGGCGTGTCTGTGAGTCGAGACGGAGATATTCAACGGCCTTGTTAAAGGTGTTTAAGTGGGGTCCCTTGTCCTTCTCTCTTCGGTCGGCCTGCGGCGAGATTTGCTGGTTTTTTTCTTCTCTCTATCCAAGGCAGAGAGTCCCAAGGCAGTGGTTGGAATTGCAGTTGGGGTGTCGAATCGACGCATTCAACATACGGCCAGACAATCTTTTTCCCATTCCAGCCCGTCCTGATTGGGGACTGCCAGGGACGTACCTAGCCATGCCCTCGGACAAAAGCCATCACGCTGTCGAAACTCTATTGCTGGCGACGATGCGCCGATGAGCTGCTGTGGATGGATGGCACACGGCAGGGGAGGGACCCGGAAGGCAGACACCGAGCGCGCGAGAGAGACCAGGAAGAGAGATAGGGCAAGACCAAGACTGGCCGTGTCTTGATCGCGAAAGCTTGGTGAGAGATTGCAAGGTCCCGAACTGTCGTGACACCCACATTGAAACACTGCGCGGGCGGATCTCCTACGCGGCTTGGACCCCCTTTTGGCTGACCACATTCTTCTTCCGTTCCGCGCTCTCGTGCGCGCACGCCATTTGATCGATGAAGGCTGAGCCGATCAAACGTGTTGGCGCGGTTGCGACCACCAGCAGCCGTGGGAGAGATATTTCCGACCGCCAGCTTTTCACTTACCGATGGGCAAACAGCCGTGTACGGTGGAATCGGTGTCCGTCGGCCAAGCCAGAAGCCGGCTTTACTTGAAGTGGCAAGTTTCGCCATTCTGCACGTGATGGCCGTCCATGTCGCCCTCGTGCCGCTACTGCAATTCCTCCTTTTTTTTTTTCTTCTTCTTTTCTTTTTTTCTTCTTGGGGCGCGAACCTATGACAGACAACCCACTTGACTCGACTGCTGCTGGACACTGGTATGCCCGAACAAGGGACGACTCTGCCTCGAGACATTGACTACTCCCTCGCCTGATGCTCTTGTTTGACGTGAGGTGCCGTCACCCCCTGGCGTGCATCCATCCACCACCGCGAACCACGTTGCCTGCCTGTGCTTAAACTGTCTCATCTGTCAACCCGACCGGGCCTCAGGACCGACCTCGTGCGTCGCTCTTTGCTCCTAGCCAATCCACCACGGCTCCAAGGCCGGAGTAACTTGCACGCCGTGACATCTGAGCAGTTTGCCAGCCAAGGGAGCAAGACAGACTACCCGTATACATGCCCAAAGTACTACCGACCATCTCTCTCTCTCTCTCTGTCTCTCTCTCTCTGTCTCTCTCTCCCTTTCTCTGTCTCTTTATATATATATATATATATTCAAAGTCCACACATGTCCATGCCAAGTTTCCCAATCATTCACTAGACAGAAGAAACCCCCCATCGTCCACAAACACGGGAGCCCCATTTTTGGAAACCGAAAAAACACCCGGCCGTACTCATCGCCCACCGATCTCCCCTCAATATGTATGAGCCATATCTGAAACGCATTGATTCCTCTCCAGCTGCACGCCTATCCAATAGTAGGGCTGAGTGAACTCCCTTCACCCTGCATCCCACATTCGCCCGAGTTACGAGCACGACCGCAAGCACCTCGTCGTCGCAGTCTGTTACTGTGTAGCATAGCCACCCCAACCCACATCAAACCCTGGGTACAACACACAAATCCCCTCAATCCCGCTTCTACCCGACCTCTCGACGGCAGGTCGCCCGCAAAATCTCTTGTCCTCGTCGCCTTCTGCTGTATATGGCGCCATGTAGCACATGGCATAGCATAGCATAGCATGGCATAGAATGGCATAACCCAACCCATCTCAGCCCAGCCCCAACAACACTTACACACTTACACACTTACACACACAAAAACCCGCAGCCCACAACCACCCCCGCCCCGCCCCCAAAGCCCCCCTCCGTCCTCCAAGAATACTCCTCCGCTGACGTGCCTGCCTCACCTGCCTCACCTGCCTCAAGTTGCCTTGCTCGCCCTATTGTACGCCCCGGCGTCTATGCCGTGCAACACTGCCACTGCCACCGTCTCGGCTTGGCTACGACTGCAAATCAGGCGCTGGTCATGGGGGCGCGGGACGCTGTGGACGGTCTGGTGGCCGGTGATCAGCAGGTGCGGGCGTGTTTGTGTGTGTGTGTGTGGGCTTGCGCTTGGGGTTTTGGGGCTGGAAATGGTTTTTGGGGGGGGGGGGGGGGGGGGGAGTGAATATGTGTTTTGTGACTGTGACTGTGTACATGTATGTATTGTCTATATTTCCAGATCAACATGACCGCCCTTGTTTGTCACAACATACACATGTACACATACACCTATCCCAACCCACCCATGGACACCACACCACGTATCACAACCCACCCATCCAAACACGCCATGCCAACCCGCAGACTCGGGGCTCGGAAAATACACACACCAACGGTCTCGGACCGGGAACCCAGACCAACGAGCTAGAAAACGACTGCACCAGCCGTGTCCAAAAACGTGGCAAGTCAAAGCAAACTTCAACGGCATTCGAAGAGGGAGTGGGTGCGCTGGGTCGAGGCTATAGTCTGGGTTATAGTATGCCCGAGGAGATGGACACGTGCCAGAGGTGCTGTGTTGGCGTGTCGTCACCGCTCTTTGTCATCTGCGCGTCGGTAGCAATGGGTTCGTTCATGTGCAAGGGGAGTGATGCAAATAGGGTAGTGATGCGAGATGGGGTTGATAAGAAGATGTTTGGTCTAGCTTTGGTGATGAGTCTGCCAGTGGTTTAGACACAAAATCATCGTCATGTTCTGCGTGAGCCAAAAACAAGCATACGGCACTTGCTTGGAGGTGCAAAAGTGGACAGCAAAAGTGTTTGGGTATGTTTTCGTTGGTGGACTACGCCTCCGTCGCTTTGTAAGTCATTGCGACTTTTTGATGAAGCCAGACTTTTCCATCATATACTTTTCTACCATGCTGAAATGTACATCATCGACAAATGCAACGTTATAAGCCAAAGACATTCATCTCAATGTGCCCAAAATAGCCAAGGTTACTGAATAGTTGGCCCGAAATGTACGGTTATTACTAGACCTTAAGCCTTTTTAAACACAGTCGCTGCACTCCAGCGAGTTGCTGCCTTCGCTCGGTAGTCGTCCTGGACGTTTTGCTCGCTCTTCCACTCGGCGAGTAGGGATAGTCCGGCTACGGCCTGTTCGATCGTGATCTCTGGAAGATCCAGTGTCTTCTGCAAGTCCTTCTCGTTTTGAGGTTTGCTGCTATTGTCGAGGATATAGCGGGTGTTCAGACCAGCGTGTAGGTGCAGTGCGCTGTCAGAGTGCTTGTTGATGTAATCGTCATTATATGCCTTTAGATCGGCGTCGGTAGGAAGTGTAGTAAAGGTGTCCTTGATGACTTGCGAGACCTGCGAAGGAAGAGGCTCAGAGAGTTGGCTCACTATCTAGTTGTCAGTCAAAAGTACATAAAGGCGATTGTCCTGGGAGTGACGTACGAATCTGACGGAAGCGCACACTTTGTTCGTGCAGCTTCGGGTCCTCTGGATCAAGCTTTCGGGCGGCTTCCAAGCATTTGACAGCAAGCAGGTACTTCTCTAGCGTATTGTTAGTATTTAGGTAATATATCCGTTGTGCACTTTGTAAACTCACTCTTGCGGAGGTAGACCTCGAAACCCACGTTTTGAGCTTCAATACATTTCGGACTGAGCTCAAGCATGGGTCGCAAGAATCGTAGTGCAGCTTCTAGAGGCTCCTTGGTCTGTAGGAGCGTCTCTCCGTTCGGATCAGTATCCTCCTTTTTCGTCTCTCCATCCTCTCCCTTTGCGGTAGCCTTTGCCGCAGCAGCCGCCTTCCTCTCCGCTTCAGCCTTCTCGGCCTTCTCCTTTTCCTTCTTCGCTTTTTTCTCCGCCTTCTTCCGTTCGGTCGGGTCCATGTTCTCGAGATCAGTCTGGTTCGGATTTGACAACCGAGGATCATCAGCCAACCTGAGGTAGAGCTTCACGGCCTGAACTGCAGCACGTGTGAAGAAGGGGTGGTCGCGAAGATGATCCTCCCATCTCACCATGTCAATGTATGCACGAATCTGACCTTTCCGTAGTGAAAAGCTGTGGAAATCGAATTGATCCTCATACCACACATCAAAGATATCAGCAATCGCAGTGAAGCGTTTCAGTGCCAATCCGTATTTCTCTCGTCGAAGATAGGCCTCGCCATCTTCGATGAGATACCACATGCATTGCATGTCATGTAGGTCTCCAAGGGGCCCACCAACCGTCTCATTGCGTGTGAATTTGCTCATTGTTTCCAATGCAAGCTCGTTCTGGTTATTTCGGAGCTGGTACTTGGCACACTTCGTGTTGATGTACCGATCCCCCTTTTCTAGCTCTCTTGCGGCATTGATAAATTCCGCAGCCGTTTGAATGTCTCCAGTATGCTTGTAAATTCGCGCCTTGGTTAGGTTGTATTCCACCACCTTCGGGTCCTTTTCCAGTAACTGGTCAATGTATTGCATGGCCTTGGTCAAATCGCGACTCTTGACGTAATCGTAGTGCTGGGCCAGAAAATGCAGCACGGCTTCCTGGAACCGATCAGATGTTGCATTCTCTGTAGCTGCGTGGCCTGAGCCATTGGCCTGCATCTCGGAAGCGTAGCCAAGCACAAGTTCCTCAAAAATGGCCTTTTTCTCGGCGTCTCGGTACAGAGCCTTGATGTTGGGGAAAGTCGAGAAAACTCCCTTGTTCAGCTTCGCTCGCAAGTACTCATCTGCCGCCTGTCTGAAGGCATCTCCTTTAAGAAAATCCAAGGGTATACGCCTGGCGGCATCGTTTCGTTTGTTCTTGTCGGCATAGGATTTATAGAGTTCGGTAAGCTTTTCGACATCAGCCTCGTTTGATTGACTGAGGCCAAGAACCTCCTCCAGGCCATGATAATATGCGCGGTACTCGCTGTTCCTATCCAGCAGCGTTCGGTATGCCTTTTCGGCCTCTTCCTTTCGTCCGAGCTGCAGCAAATACGTGGCTCTCAGCTCCAACGCAGATGTGCGATCCAGGCTATGCCTTAGTACCTCTTCCAAATGCTTCAGCGCGCGTTCTACATCTCCTGATTCTGCGATGACAGTGTTCTTGTAAAGGGTCGCTTCGGAGTGCTCGAGGTCGGATTTGGGAGGTGTCTGCTTGAGGGTTCCCTCGTACGTGTTCAAAATGTTCTCTGCCTCGGCGTAGTTACCGGCCAGATGGTAGGCAACAGCCAGAGCTGTCCAGTTCTGGCGTAGCTGCGGGCGCTCCTGCATCATCTTCCGCCTGCTCTCGATGTAGCCTTCATAGTCGCGAATCTGGCATTGGAGGAGGGCGAGGTCGCGCAAGATGTTTAGCGAGTTTGGCTCTATGCGCAGGGCAAACTTGTACGCCTTGATGGCCTCTTCGTAATTCTTGACCGAGCGCCACAGCAATCCGTAGACATGCCAGCAGATGTGCGACTTCATGTCATTCTTCAGCGCCAGCTTGCAGAGGTTGAACGCCTCCTCTCCCTGGTTCTGTGAGTTGAGGATGAGAGCCTTCATGGCCTGTGTATCGCCATGATTGGGGTGTTTACGCAGAATTTGCTCGGCTGCTTTGAGGCCTGGGGTGGGGTTAGATTTGCGTCGCAGTCGTTGTGATGGTGAAGCGCACCCTTTTTGTACTGTTTGCCCTCGTAAAACTTGACAAGCGAGCGGAAGAGCGTCTGCTCTTTGCTGGGCAGTGGTTGTGGCATTGCAATGGCCGGCCGTCAACGTGTGCACAGTAGGAGAGAGCAAAATGACGGGATTCTGCGTGCCACTTGCTTCTGGTCGTCGGAATCGAAACAATCTTTGGGTGAAGATTTGTGGCCCGCGGGGCTGACGCTGAAGGAGGGGGAGGGGGAGGGGGAGGGGAGAGGGGAGAGGGGTCAGGGCGAGTGCAAGATCTTTTCAATGTGTGCCAAAGAGCATTGCGACAAGGCACTGGTCGAAAGCCCTGGAATTGGTGTTTGCTATTTGGTGTATCAGAGTCGGAGAGCTGGTGGCTGGAAAGAACGTGGTGAGAATGGGAGGCCCAGGTGCGCGAGGTCGCAAATGTGCGGAGCTTCGAATTTCCGCAAATGTTGGTTGGAACACCATGACCCAAGCGGCACGTGCTTGACCAGTATTACCTGTACTGCAACGAACAAGGCCAACAGCCATGAGGAAGCCAGATAGATGGCTTGATTGATCTCTACCAAAACTCTCTCACTGTATCTCATCACGTATGGTATCATCAATTCTGCCTTCTGCCTCTCGAGGGGTTTTTACCGGCCCGTAGGACACTTGGGCGTCAATTCTAGCATAGACATCAACAAAGCTGCTTCGACCTACGCAACCGGCTGCAGGGGTAAACGGTATCGATAAGGGGAATTGGCGTCGTACTATTGTACTCAGGAAAAGTAGGCACCCATCTGTGGCGAGGTCACGTGGGATATCGCACTGGGCTATTCATGCATGGATGAATGTTCAGCCTTGGAAGCCCAGGTTCAACATGTTCGTACGGTAGTCTTCTGGAAGCTTTCGATTCTCTGCTCCGTCTGTTTTGTTTGAATAATGGACCGTGGTCCCTACATGTAGGAAGGCTCTCGAGCATATGGTATAACTACTGGTAGTAGTATGCGACCGTACCACGCTTCAGACTTGCCAGTACCGGTACTTGTTGCTGACAACCACAACACACATGCAAGTACCTAGGTACCTACCTATGGTACCGGTAGCTCAAAAGTCAAGACGCGACAACGCGTTCTCACGAGACCCTGCACCCCCATCCTTGGTCGTCTTCACCAGTCCAACAGCCATGCATCATTCGAAACTCGTCTTATCGGCAGGATCATCTCTCTTTCACTACCGGTACCTACTGAGAGTCATAAGATCTCCGATAGGTAGTATCTTCTGCTGATTGATTTGCAGATGCTCTACCTACAGTCTACTAACTCAGCGTGGACCTGCCCCTCTCGGGATGGTCTGCCCCGCAACGCACCGCCGCTCGCGGGATGAGAGAAGACGCGCTTTTATATGATTCTACAAAGCGAATCATACAAATATCTCATGCGGCACCAAAACTCGAGTCACTCTTTGAATCCACTTTCAATCTCAACATGTTTTGGAATTGGCTAGCTATACTTGCTGGGGCCGGCTATGTGTTGTCGCATGCAACTCACCATGTAGAAAATCAGGAGCCATTTTCACAGCAACGTCTAGAGGAGCTGGAGAGAAAGTGGGGTACTGATGTGGGAGAACTCTAGTCCTGATCTCAATGATGACTGACAGATTCACAGTGGGGCTTCTCTGGCATCTCAACTTTTGCCCACCTACCACATACCCGCTGTTTGACCCATCCTCAGACTACATACGACATAGCGATTCTCGGTGCTCCGTTCGACACCGCAGTATCCTATAGACCTGGAGCTCGATTTGGGCCTCGAGCAATTCGCGCGGGTTCATCTCGTCAAACTTCTTTCCGCGGCTTCAATCCAAGAGCGAATCTCAATCCATACACATCATGGGCTAAGATTGTCGATTGCGGAGACATACCTGTCACGCCGTTTGACAATTTGCTCGCTCTTCGACAAATGAGTGAAGCGTTCATGGAGCTGGGGAAGCGCGAGCCTACGCCCAGGAGCTCTGGCAGTGGTGTGCAATATCTCAGGAAACCTAAGCTCTTGACCCTGGGTGGAGACCATAGTATTGCCCTTCCAGCACTAAGAGCCCTCAGGGAGATCTACGGACAGCCAATTGCAGTCGTTCATTTCGATGCGCATCTCGATACATGGCATCCGGCCAAGTATCCATCCGCGTGGATCGACTCCGAGGACCCATCTACGCAGTCATTTTTCAATCACGGCAGCATGTTTTGGATCGCAGCAACAGAGGGTCTGATCAAAAACGATTCAAGTGTACACGCTGGTCTGCGCACAAGGCTCTCGGGCGATGATACAGAAGACTACACGGATGACGCACAGCAGGGTTGGATTCGAATCGCAACAGACGACATTGACGACATTGGAGCAAAAGGCATCATCAAATCCATCATGGACCGTGTTGGTACCGAAACGCCCGTTTACCTCAGTATCGATATTGATGTGATTGATCCTGGCCTTGCTCCTGGAACTGGTACGCCGGAGCCAGGTGGTTGGACGACCCGAGAGCTTATCAGGATCCTAAGAGGGATTGAGGGCATGAATGTTATTGGTGCGGATATTGTGGAAGTTAGCCCGGCATATGATGGTGCTGCAGAGACTACTGCAGTCGCCGCAGCACAGGTTGTGTACGAGGTGCTGACGAGTATAGTTCGAAAGGGATTGATGGAGCAGGCAAAGACGACAGTGGTGGCGGATGAAGTCAAGGATGAGCTGTGAGTACTGAGACCTTATTTCAGGAATTATGCTCAACTTGGAGTCTGCGGCTCAAATGTTGGTATGATGCAGCTCAAACTGTGTAAGGTTTGTTCATTATAACGACGGACCCGAGTTGTGGACACGAGATTATACCATATAGATCAGAGACAAGGCAGCATTCTGGACCTCTATCAAAGTTTTTTAGAAGAAGAGAAAACAATGTTCCAACACAAGATGAAGGGTATTACATCCAAGTTCGCGTTTTGCCAAGCCAGCAACACAACTACGTCATGAGCAGTTCATGTAGGTAACGCGTCGCACATTTAACAAACACAATGTTACCTGCAACCGACGAATTCGACCGACAGAGACCTTTACATATAAGAGTAGCTAGAGAGTATCATGGAACATTTTGCCCCCCACCATAACGCCAACTTCGAAGGCTGGTACTCCAAATTCGACCTGGCGAGCGGTGCCCACATTGCCCTCATCATCTGTTCCGTACCCAAGGCTCAATCACGCCCACACATGGTCTCCTTCACATACTACCCTCCTTCCGGCCAGCCCATCTTCCAACGAGAACACTTTATCCCCAACATCGAGCGCAGAACCACCAACACCGCCACCCAAGCCTTTGAACTCGTCATCCCAACCATAGGCCACATGCGCGCCGCCGCCAACGGCACAACCAGCTACGCCCTCTCTGCCCCGGACAAAAGCTGGTCCCTCGCCGCTCAAACAGAATCCCAAACTGCATGGAGCCCCACCAAATCCACCCCAGAAGGCTGGATCATTCACCTCCCCCTCCCTCTCCACTGGCACGTCCACTCCCTCTGCTCCCCCTGCACCCTCACCCTCTCCATCCCCACGGCACTGCCCCCCGACAACTACACCACCCGCGCAACCATCCATCAGGAGAAAAACTGGGCCACCAGCTTCCCAGACGCACACATGTGGCTGCAAGCCTGGGATGCAGACTCACACCGCGGCATCTGTCTCGCCGGTGGCAAAATCCTCCACAACACCGCCTACATGTTGGGATACCGGTCCCAGTCTCTCAACCTAGACTTCACCCCGCCCTTCTCCGTCTCCTACCTTAATCTCCTGTCCCCGTTCCTACGCACCCAGCTCGACTGGCCGAACCGCACCTTCAGCCTCGACGTATCCAGGTACTGGCACAAATTGCGACTCCGAGCCCATGCGCCGAAATCACACGGCTGGTTTGGGCTTGCGAGTCCGTTTCCCGATGGACATCGGGCGAATTATTGTAGTGAGAGCTTTTGCGCGACGATTGAGGTTGAGGTGTTTGAGCGGGGTGGGTGGTGGCCCTGGAGTGGGTGGAGGAGGATTCGGAGGGAGAGGTTCGAGGGCGCGAGTTTGGAGTTTGCGGGCGAGTATTATCCTGAGAGGGGGCAGGGGAAGGAGGAGTAGATGGGTTGGGTACGTGAGTGGGTGAGGGTTGAGGATTGGGAGCCCATGGTTCTGCGTTGCGGCCATGTTGCGAGTATACATTTGGGTATACCGAGTGCCCCGGTGATGACCAGACCAGACAGGATTCGCCACTGGATTCATCTATGCCAATGTGGTGCACATGTGCCATAACAAGAGAAACTCAGTCTACCTAGCCAACCCGTACCAGCCAGAAGCCAATCCAACCCATCCAACCAAGCATCCACGCTCGTCTAAACTCCCCCCAGCGCCTAAAAGAAACCCGCCCTAAATATCCTAGAACAAAGGAGCCGTGACCACAGCACGCAAATGCAGCAAAAAAAAGAAAAAAAATTGTACCCCAATATACCAGGACCCAACCCAGCCCAATTTCCCGAAGCCAAAAAAAAATACCCCCACTAGAAGCAAAACAAGGACGAGTCTACAAGAGCAAAGACTAAGAAACACTTCCATCCATAGGCATCTCACTCATCGATGTCGACGTCAAAGTCCAAGATTAAGCAAAGGGACTGGTTTTTTTTGGGAAGGGGAGCGGAGTGCGGAAGATACTAATTGCACCACGCCCCCCATCCCCCCCCTGTGGAAAATCTGGAATTTTGTAAGAGTCGTGCTGCAGATCAAGGAGTGCCAATATGAGAATATAGTAGACAGTAATATGAAAAATATGCCATCGTCTTCATAACCACTAAGACATAAGCTAATAAGTGTATACTATATTCCTCACACCCAACAAGACCATCCTGCCCACACCAGCGACGTAAAACCTCTATTCAGCTCCCATCATACTTGATCAATGCAGAGAGAGCGTCAAGCCAGTACGAATTTCTCGGTTTCAAAGTGCACGCCTAACAAAAAGACGAAATTTACAAATTCCGCGGTAGAATCACATCCTCTGCATACACGGTGATATGTGTCAACGCATTTGCGATGTTGAGCTGTCGAGTACTTCATAATGGGATCTTGAAAAGAGAAAAAGTATCCATCATTATGTGAGGACTGGCGCCTATTGAGCTGAAGAAAGCGCGCTGGTTGCACCGTGTTTTAGCGTCCTCATCGTAATGAGGAAAACGAGGCCCCGAGGTATCGACTTCAGATAGTGTGGCAATGAAGAGCAGGCATAACCGTGCTTGAAAGTCTTGAAAGCGGAAAAAGGAGGATATGGGGAAGTGGAGAAGGAGGGTCTGTTGGGTGAAAATGTAATTCGTGTTAGATTGGATCAACTGGATGCAGACCGCTTGGTAGGCGGTGGCTTATTTGCATGGTGGCTGATGATCGGTCAGGGATGTCAGCCGAATGCTATGTATTGCGATTGATGATCGACAAATTGTCAAAGCTGGCGGTGGTATCTTTCGTCTCTTGAGTTACATCAAGTAGAAAGCTTCTTCATACGTTCCAAATTACTCAACAAGTCTGCTGCGAAATGAATATAACGACTTCTTCATGGGATTAGTGTCGACCTGTTCTCGTTAGCCATGTCCGAATCATCCTGGCACGCGATCTCTACGTACAAAGTTGCGTCCGCCATCTTCCATGACAAGATGACCCTCGTACTGCCATTGTGCTCGATCTGTTTGAGCCCAAAGTAAATAAGGCTCATCCACGAGATCCAGCACAAATGAGCTGATGGTTGAGTTACAGACAACTTCATTAACGACTTCCACCCAAAACCCCGACACCATTCTGCAGCGTCGAAAGGTGAGACTCTTCAGCGTCCCGGAATGATCTTTGACCAAATCAATCCAATCAGACTGGCGTGCATGTAGGCCTCCTAAGCTCATTGTTTGCAACTTTGCCCATGTTTGCCCTTTAGACTGATGGTAGAGAAGCCTCTTTATATCCAGACACTGATCATCATTGAATTGAGTCATGGTAACATCAAGAGTTAAATGTTGTAGGTCCTTGGCAGTAGCAAGGAGTTCTGCCAGATTAGACCATCGACTCTCAAACGGAACAAATGTTCGTTGCGCAGCCGGACGCATATGTTCGAAATTGAAGTCACGCAGAGCCATGTTCAATTCGATGTCAGTCAGGTTACGGAAGAGGTGTCGTCCAGCTTGCATTACTGCTTCTGTGGGCAGATCGAACATCTCTGATGAGAATTCGGTAGCGGGTTCTTTCTTCCACACGCTCTCAAGCACGCTCTCAACCTTCAACCGACGGATACTCGTCAAGTTGGACAGAAAAATGGCCTCCATCAGATACCGAAATGCGTGGTCCGGTGTAGTGTAGGCTCGACGTGAGTGTGCTGTTGGGTAGCAGATGAAGCCTACGGGAACAATATCGCGCATGTCCTTGCGCTCAGTTGAGAGAAGACGTGCATGTGGCGAGTACACAACTGAGGTGACGTTTGGCATGCTTTTCTGGCAGGTCAGTGTCAAAAAAGGTCGAAGAGTTGGCTGAACGTACCGATCCAAGCCACGTTTAAGGGTCTGCAACAACACGCCGCTGGCCTTGAGATCTTGCTGTTCCTGATAAAGCATTTGATATCTTTTCCATCTGCAGAAAACCCAGTCACCAATTTGGTTTTTGTGCGTAGCCTTCTGTGTATACTAACCTCGTTCTTCCGTACAGTGGGCTTGATGCATCAAGCTCAGGGAAGTTCATTTGGGCCCGGAAGTACAAGTCGGCGCATTTTGCGAAGTTCTCCACGAAAGACGATCCATCGAAGACGATCTCTTGTACACATTTTGAGTAGCTTGGATGGTTCGCGACGTTTTCGTAGGCACTGAGGCCTTGATATCGTGCGCATGCGACGATGCTTCGAAAAAGGGCTAATGATGAATTGTGCCCTAAAGCCCGCGTCGCTTGTCGTACAGCCTTTAGATCTGACAAATCAAGGTAGCTGAAAATATCAAGGTGCAGCTCAGCAGGGAGACAGTCAAAAGAAGCCATTGTAAAGGTCCAGATGAGAACTTCGAGACAACGAAAAGTATGTGTGGAGAAGTGCAGTTATCTGTGCCAGGATGAGAGATGAGAGAAAAGGCGCCAAGGCTGCAGTGCAACCTTTCCCAGATCTCCGGGGTTTCCAAGTGAGGCAAGACCGTCCAAGCACATGTGTGGGCGCACCTAGCCTTATGTACTGTGTGTAAGGTGCTGTCTTACATGGCATGCAAAATAGGTTGAGCTTGGACGACTGTCTGCAACGGACTGGCACTTTCTACGCACTCCAGATCTTAACGTCATGATGGATGATGGCAAGATCTTCAAGAGTACCGGTATGACAACGGACGCAAAGGTCACTAGTCTTCTGTGTAACCATCTCGAACCGCCATGTACAGAGCTACATGCATAAGATCTCGGTACTGTTCGAACGTTCCGAAGGTGGACGGATCTCAGCGACGAGTGTACAAGAGGACGTCATTCATGTGAGGCAATCGGAGAATGTAAATGGCAGGCGGAGTTTACTTGTTCCTCAGCTTATTGAGCGCTGCCATGACCGCTTCACTGACATGTTCGTCTGCTTGCTTCCTCTTCATTGCATGAGATGTTTCTGATTGGCTTTGCTTCGTGGTCGTCTGCTCTCTCTCGACGTGGCGTATCGCATCTTCGTCGTCTGCAGCCGCCTGAAGAGGGTTGACAGGATCTGCTGGCCGATGAGCAGGCCGCTTGTCTGCATCTGATGCGCTTGTATCCAAAGGGGTTGTCTGCATTTCCATAGCCAGTGGCACAGCCTCGCCCACTCTCCCATGTGCAGTGTCACTGGCGGTATCCCGTGGGGTAGGATCGCTCCCTTCTGCCATGGACTCGTTTCCCGACATGGTCGCCCGAGTGTCTTCCCGACTGAGGACTCGTCTCGCAGCCTTTTTGACTCTGAAGGGCTCCCTGACGGCGTTGTGCCAGCGCTGCACCTTCTTGTCACCCCATCCCGCGATCAAGCCAATCTCCTCCGGCGTAGCGTTGATGGCGGTGCGAATACTGCCAAAGTTGGAGACCAGGCCGACAGCGTCTGTTTTGTTGATGCTCCGTGGCGCGGTAATAAAGTCGACCATCTTCTCCGCGTAGCTGCCCGACTGGTGGGCGCGAATACTGGTGGGCGCAGCATTCTCGAAGATCTTGAACTGCTCGAGGTAGCGGCCCGCTTCATTTGCACTCCAACACAGCATGACGGTGACGTTGTTGACAATGGATGTCTTGGACAGTTCGCGCAATGGCTCCTCGTGGTTCTCAATGTCGACCATTGTCAGCAGGATGCGCAGCGAATACTGGCCCTTGAGGTCTCTGATGCGGTTGTAGATGTACTCTGGGTGCAGGCGGTGGTATTTGAGCGAGAGGAAGAGGGCACATGTGGTTGCGCCGACGACATAGTCGGCGGGGATGTCTGAGTATTCCCAGGCCACGGCACGCACATTGTTGAGGATTGGATTGCCCTTTTGGCGTGGCGAGACTAGGATGGAGCTCGGGCCTGAACGCGATGGGAGGGCCTGGGGTTTGGGTTGCTGGACCTTGGCCGCAGTGCTGACGACGGCTGGGGTTGTGGTGTTGGCCGGTGTGGTGTTGGCAGACGGGGCCATAGTAGTAGTAGTAGTAGTAGTAGTGGTAGTGGTAGTAGTAGTGTTGGCAGTAGGGCGGGATGCGTTGGCGGACGCGTCGATGCCGGTAGCATGGCCAGGGCGTGCAGCAGCTCTACCGTCGTCCATGGCGAGAGCAAGAACAGTAGGTAGCAGTAGTGATAGCAGTGGCAGTCCAATGCAGTCGAATGCAGCCGCCGCTGCAACAGTCATGTGAGGCTGCGTGGGCGAGCAATGAGTCAGGAGATCACGACTCTATGGAAGAGCATGCATGGGTGGTGTAACTAGGCATTGGTGTGTAGTAGTAGGTACCGTACCCATAGAAACATACATACCTATCGCGAGTGAGTGGCCAACAAGAGGAACCGCGGTTGACCACATTGTCTGCAGGTGATTCATGACTCTCACGGGATCAAAGGGCGAAGGGGGTTCCATGTTGTCAAGGTTCCTTGGGCCTGGGTTCGGCAAAAACCCGCAGTCACGTGTCCGCTGTGTTGGTGCGCGAGACAAGGCTTGGTACAACTCGAACCCCCCAGCCCAAAGCCCGCTCGCTCTCTCTCTCTTGTACATCCACGGCAACACCCAGCACCCGTCACCCCCTCACGTCCACGCCGCCGTCGACACACACCAGAACTGGCCGGAATCACAGCAGTCGCACATCACGACCTTTGCACGCGAATGCGCATCCAGGACTAAAGCGCCTACCTTCGCCTGCGGTCCAGTCCGCCCGCGGGAGACGCCCCAGCGAACGCTTCCATCCCCTCTCAAGCACAACCCACCCGCTTGTCTTGCTGCACTCAGGCCTCTCTCCCTCTCTCTCTCTCTCTCTCACACACACACACACACACACACACACACATACACACACACGCTTCGCCCCTCACTCCCTCACACACTCTCTCTCTTCCCCATACGGCGGCCTCTATGTCGGATCCCAGCGCAAAGCGGCAACGTCTGGACTCCACTGGACGATTCTCACCGGCCAGCCCGCCCTTTGACGTCGCAGCCTTGGCAAGCACCACCACAAAGACGCCCATCCACCCGCGCACACCCACCTCGCCGCCATACTCCTCGATGAATTCCCAGCACAATGGAGGTTTCGCCCAGGGCAGCACTGCGGCTCCCTCGCTCACGTCGCCCCACGCCGCGCTGCCCATGTCGCATTCCCTCTCCCAGTCGGCGACATCGGCTTCGACCCTTCCCCCATTCCCCACACCAGCCAGCACCACCGGCGTCATGTCGAGCGCAAACATCGACAGTGATGGCGATGCCATGATGGAAGACAGCACTGATGACGATGCATCGCGGATAGACACCCACAGACAGACCAACCACAACCGGCAACGCAACCCGATATACACCCCAGACGGACGAATCAAGGCGGCGCAAGGAATCTGCGGAAATAGGCTCTTCAAACTCAACGAAGGAAAAGTCGAACCCTCGCGGCCACACTGTTCACAGAACCTCCTCAAGCTCTATGGCCTCGAGCCGCTCGCCCGATCTGTTGCGCGGAATGACCCCATTACAGGAGAGAAGATTAACAAGCTTCGCAAATCCTACGAGGGACACATCAAGCAGATGCAGATAGCCGGTAAGCCCAAAGCGACCAAGATGGACAGGGTCTTCTTGGATCCACTGAGCATGGGCTGGGAGGATTGGCAGAATACAAAAGTGCAGGGGAAAGAGATAGCAAAAACGGGCTTGAATCACGATCAGACTGCACTGGCACCAGACTTTGCCAGCAAACTCGACGCCGCACTCGCGGGCATGTCCCCTGGACCGCTCCCCAACGCAGATGCCGCCAAATACAGAGCCTACATTGGCACAGACGACACTGTCAAAACAAAACCACAAGACGCACCACCACAACGCCCATTTACTTCATCCGCCCCTACACCCACCAACGGCGCTCAACAACAAAGAGGGCCGCACAGGCCAGAAAGAACGGGATCGAAACGGCAATACACCGACGCGGCATTCCAGGGCTATGGCGAAGGCTACGGCGATGCCGACTCAACAGGCGGGGAAGACAACGCACAAGGCAGCATGTCCAAGCGACGGAAGCTCTTCGAACGCACATCACATTCCGTCGAGGTGGGAGGAGCGCGACGATAACAATAACCTTGCCGCAGCAGATGCCATTCCACCACACATATCTTCCCGCACAGTCGACATTTAGAGCACCGGGTTTGGGTTGTCTCCACAACAACCAGGCGTTTTGAACACATGTAAAAGGAATCACGAAAGCGAGTTTGCAAAGTCCTACATACAGGACCCAGGGGAAACAAGGGATTCCACGCAGGGGGTCCGAGTGCACACACATACCTATACATGAAAAACGATTTTGCACTCGCGACATTACACCACCACCACCACCCATTCGAGTAGTGTGTGTGCGTCTGGGTTTTCCTTTTTGCGACATCGCAGCAGCATAATGCACGACACGGCGGACGGGCGCAGGACCAGAGTGTAATGAACGACTTCTCTTCCAACTTATTTTCTTTTCAAGGCTTTATATATATCCGAAAAAAATGCTCGGCGCGCGATTGGAGTCCATGATACAACTACGGCAACGGGAAAGGCGAGGGTGGGGTTCTGGGAAAAACGCTTTGTCTTTTTGATCTTGTTGGGGTTGCTGTCTTTTTTTTTCGGTTTGCTGCTGCTTTGTTTGCTCGGCTCGGGTGGTTGGGTCTGATTGGGCATTTTGTCCTGTCAAGTTGAGTTGTCGTTTTTTGTTTGTTTTGGCGGCCGCTGCTGGCTGTTGCGGTTGTTACTGCGAGCCGCGAGGCTGTTTTTACCGTTCACACGTGTGCATATTTGGGTGGGTTCAGATTCAAAATCCAATCCAGACCGAGAGATGCGATGCGATGCGATGCGATGCGATACGATGAGCCGAGCCGAGATGAGATGAGATGAGATGAGATGCGTCAACGACACCCTCGCTCACCCAAAACTCTTTTCCTCGCCCGTCCGCCTCCTTCTCTCCAACCCCGCTCCATCCCCACTACTTGCCCCCATTCATGATACCCTTGGGATTACCTTTGTCTGCAGCGCAAAATGTCGATTCTTCTTTTTCTTGGGGGTAGGGGGTATGGACCCTGCAGAATAGAAAAATTAAAAAATTATATCAAGAATTCTATGCACGGCATGTGATGCGGAAGAAAGGGGATTGAAAGTGATTTGATGACTTTTTGAAGTATAATGGAAACACAGTCCTATAACACATTTACACTCACATACACATACACACCACCATCCCCAATCTCCAAAAACACAATCACCCTCACAACTTCTCAAGCAAGTCCCCAACCACCCCCCTAACCTCACTCACACTAACATCCCTCTTGACCCCCAACCTGCGACACTGCACCTCGACCTCACCCCGCTCCCGCCATGCCCGCCCAACGACGACAACAACAGGATAGCCGATTAAATCAGCATCGCGCAGTTTCCAGCCCAGACTCTTGCCGGGCCGATCATCTAGGATTGTGTCGATAGGCTGGACAGTATCTGCATCTACAGCAGCAGCAGCAGCAGGAGCAGTAGCATCAGCATTATCAACACCGCCTGGAGCAGCACCATCCCTCCCCCCAAAAACCAACCCATCATACACCCTCCCTGCCACCTCGCCCTCCTCGCCCCCACCCCCCAAAACCACACACTCAAACGGCGCCATCACACGCGGCCAATTGAGGCCGCGCTCATCACACAGCAACCCGGCCACGGCGCCCACGATGCGCGAAAGCCCGATGCCGTGACAGCCCATGTGCATTGCGAGTTTTGCGGTGCCGTCGCGGGGGGCGAAGACGGCGGAGAGGGGGTCGGAGTAGCGGGTGCCGAGGTGGAAGGTGTGTGCGATTTCGATGGCGCGGTGGGGGTTTAGGGTGCCGGAGGGGCAGCGGGGGCAAGGGGCGTTGGGGGGGATGATGGTTAGGTCGATTTGTTGGTGTTGTTCTTGTTGTTGTTCTGGTGGGGAATGGGGCAGACGGATGTCGTAGAGGTTGAGGCTGGAGGTTGTTTTTGGGAGCAGGGAGTGTAGGGTGGATGGTTCGATGCCGGAGTCTAGGGTTAGAGATGTGGGGAGTGCGCGCTTTACGGCGTGGAGGTTGACGTGGGAGGAGATTTGGGTCCAGGGGAGGTGGTGGGAGGTTGGTGGGAGTCCGGAGGCGGGGCGTGGGATGTGGATGTTTATGGCAGTTGTGTGGTCTGTACTTATGCCTGTGAAGACTATGACTTCAGTGTTCTTGCTGCTGTCAGAGTCTGATGGCGGTGGCGGCGCTCTCTTCTCTACTAGCTCTTCGTTTGCGACGTAGGAGCAGGAATCGCAGGACCAGACGTTGTCTTCGCCTTTGGGGGAGATGAAGTGGTACTCGTGACTTAGTTTACCGCCCATGTTGCCCGAGTCGGCGTCGGCGACGAGATAGGGTATGCGGAGTTCGTCGAAGAGATTGTTGTATGCCTGGCGTACTTGCTCGTAAGTCTTTAGCGCTGCATTGGCATCGGTATCGAAGGTATAAAGATCCTTCATCATGAACTCTTTTGCGCGTAATAGACCTTGTCGTGGTCGTCGTTCATCACGATACTTCCTGCCAATCTGATACAATCGAAGTGGAAGATCTTTGTACGAGTGAACTGTGCTCGCTACGAGTGCCGTGATTTCTTCTTCATGCGTTGGGGACAGAAGGAACCCAGATTCTTTCCTGTCATTGATGCGCAAGAGTTCAGAATTTGCAGAGTAACGACCGGACTGGCGCCAGAGTGCCTCTGTGGTGATGAAGGAGAGGGAGACTTTGGAGGCAGAGATCGAAGACATGTGTTTGTCTATCAGAGCTTCGAGTTTGGACTGCACTCGTAGACCGAGGGGTAAAAGGTGGAAAACTCCAGAATGCGCCTAGGAGGGTAAGCACGGGCTGGTGGTAGTGGCATGGGGGTGGTTTACTTGACGGAGGAAGCCACCTCGGACGAGAAGAGCGTGAGAATCATCTGGTAAACTATTAGCAAGAGTGAAAGGTAGGTTCAGTTGAGATTGTTGTTACCTTGCTCTCCGTCTTGAGGTGATATGCCACCAGTTGGTGCCCAGAATTTAGAGAGACGATTCCTCGAATCAGTCTTGGGTTGAATTAGCTACGATTACCAGGTCAGTACTTCAAACTTGATTTCGTACTGTTATGCATCTTGAATATCGACTATTTGGGACTGGTGATGTCCAGCTCCGAGAGCGCAATGGGAGTGCACCTCGTCGTATATGCGCCGCCATTGGCGCTTTCGAACGATGAAGAAACCAATGCTAAGCATGCAATTCAAAGCCTAGACTATGTATTTTACCAGCGAAGCAATGATATTCGAAATGACTAATTCCGTGGGCAATGCGTTGAGCAATGTAGTCGAAGTGCAACCATCTATGAAGTTCGAGCACGGACCACCATGTCTATCGAGACTTTTGACGAAATATTTCCAGACAGCCCGCCTCATCTCCCAGTTGCGGCACATCACATCCCAAGTAAGTCTTTTGACACTATTAATCTTGATTGTATGCAATCACCCCAAACAGTTATTGACAGTATATAGAATGCCACCACGGATACGCATACGGCCACGCGCACTGTGCGCCTACACCTCCCACCCTACCACCACCCTTCACATCCCAGTATCCGCCATAGCAACATACGCCTCAGTCGCTACATCCCCCGCGTCTACCTCTTCGCATACCTTCACCGCCTCCTCGCCAATCCTACGCTACCCACCCACGCAGCCACCCTCCCACAAGCCCCCGGAGGTCCGCAAGACCCAACTGCACCGCCAATACCAATCGCTGCTCAAATCCTCCCCCCTCCTCCTCATCTTCCAACACAACAACATCAAAGCCGTAGAATGGATGAGCATCCGCCGCGAACTCGCCCACGCCCTGCAAAAACTCGACGTCCAGCGCGCAAAAGAAGGACACAACGAACCCCTCGGCTCGGAAGTTAAACTGCAAGTCCTCCAAACCAACATCTTCGCCAGCGCCCTCCGCGTCGTCGAATTCTTCCACCCGGAAGAAGAAGCACAAGCAGCAGGACAAGGCAAAGAAAGCCATGCCACAGACCCCCGCACAAATTCCAGCGCGCATTCCCCCGAACCACGCTTCACCCACGGCCTCTCCACCTACGCCCACCAAGTCGCCAGCCAGAAGAAACGCAAACTCGAACTGGACCCCCTACTCTCGGGCCCCCTCGCCGTCGTCGCCTTCCCCGTCGTCGCACCCGCCTACCTCAAAACCGTACTCTCCCTCCTCGCCCCCTCGAAACCAGACTTCCCCGCCCCGAGCAGAAAATCCGCCCCAGACTACTACGAACCCGCCGTCCAGACCGGCCTGCAGAAACTCATGCTCCTCGGCGCCCGCGTCGAGGGCAAGGTATTTGATGTCGAGGGCGCCAAGTGGGTTGGTGGAATTCCTGGCGGTATTGACGGGTTGCGTGCGCAGTTGGTGCATATGCTGCAGGGTGTTGGGGGTAGCTTAGTCGGCGCGCTCGAGGGCGCGGGACGGAGTTTGTATTTTACGGTTGAGGGGAGGAGAATGGATTTGGAGGACAAGGAAAAGGGGTCTGGATCTGTGGGTCAAGGAGAAGACGGCAAGGCGTAGAACCCGGCGGACCTGGACTTGTGCTATAAATCCGTGTATATTTATTTTTCTACATCAAGGAATTTTCGCTGAATCTGCGTATCGCCCTTGTCAGGACTTGTGCATTGTGCATTGCGAGACTGCTTTACGTGTGCATCTATCTTTTTTGGTTTTGGCAAGACAGTGTGTACAGTTAAAAATTTGATGATTTGTGGCGATTAATGACTACGTCTGTTGATACAATCATGATGTGGTATTTTCATATGCGTTTGAATCCCCGTCTCCATCTCTGTCTCCATCTCCGTCTGCTGAGAAGTCGATATGAAGGAGAGTAGCTCTCAGACTACTATGAGGTTGTTTACTACACTGCCCTATGCTATGCTATACTAGAGCGAAGTATACCAAACTACATTGTTATACACATCCCGACACCATATAATACATGTTTTTTTTCTTTCTAAAAACGGCTTCAATCATCTATTCCCTCCCCTCTCCCTTTCAATCAGCCTGCATTCTACCAAACCCGCTCCCAACCCCACTCTTTCCCTCCACCGTATACCACACCCAACGCTCCTCCCAAAAACTCCCAACGGCCCAATGCTACATACGATAGTAGCAGATTCCCCCACCGTTCGAGCCGAGTCTGCAGAACGTCCGAATTACCGCTCCAGCACTTCCGAATCCCGCGCTGGCTTGTGCGCCTTGTCGTCTGTCTCTCTCTTATCCATCTGGGCTGCTTTGGCACCCAGGGCTTCCATGGCAGCCAGTATCTCTTCTGCCTTTGCAGCTTCGTTCGGGGCCGGCTTTGTTTCCAGCTTGCGGTAGCGTTCTCGGCGGCGTCGCATGATTCTGCGTAACTTGCGTTTCAGCGCCATCCTCTCCTCCTCCTCCTCTTCATCGTCTGCTGCTTTTACGTCCTCGGTGTCGACCTGGGCTGCTCTAGCTCCCTTGGCTTCAATGGTAGCCAGTATCTCTTCTGTCTTGGCTACTTCATCCGTGGCCTGCTTCGTTCTCAGCTTGCTGCTGCATTTTTGGCGGTGCCGCGCTATCTTGCGTAGCTGATGCTTCAGCTCCTTTTCCTCCTTGTCATCATCGTCTACTGCCTTTTCGTCTTCGGTTTCCTTCTCCGCTGTCTTTTCGTCCTTGGTCTCCTTCTCTTTCTCCACAACTTTCATTATAGTCCGTAAGTCCGCCTCGACTGCTTCCCAGTCTTCCCAAAGCCTGATGGCAGGGGAGGATTTTGGTGATGGGTATGGTGATGGTGTGAAGGCGGTTGAGGTCGGTAACCATTTGGTTGAGGTTGGTGGTATGAATGGAGTGAAGCGTGACAACGATTCCCTAGTCAAGTTTGGTGGTATATATGTAGTCAAGGATGACATGGACTCGTTGTTGTGCGTTGGTGGAATGTATGTAATAGTGCTGATGATGTTGGATGCGACCGCGGGATCGGTTGTAGCTTTGCCTGTCTCGAAGCCAGACATAGAGCCATCGTCTTCTGCTTTACACACCAAATTTGCAGACTGTAACATCGAAAAAGAGCCATTGCTTTCTGACTCAAGTGTTCCCTTGTTGGCCGCACTGGGCTGCACATCCTGCACAGGTGCAGGATTCGTGGCTTTGCCCAATTCTGTGCTCCCGGTCTTGGGTTCAACAGCTTGCTTTGTTGCTCCCGTCTCGACTACCGCAGTATGGCTGTCTGTAGCTGTATGTGGGATTTGTGCGGCAGGAAGGTTGGTCTTCTGTTGAGTCGTGTCTGGGAATACTTGCTTGCCTCCAGCCACGTTATCCAAGAACATGTCCATCTCGGATTCAGGATAGGTGTGTACAGCTTTTGGGGTCGACGAAGATAGACTACGGTCTGATTCTTCGAGTTCCTTTTGAAATTTGCTCTTTAAAGCAGTGGTGTCTCTCGCATGGAGTTTCTGACTCTCTTCGCATTTACTGGAAGCTTGTTCAGCGGCCCGCGCCATCTCGTCTGCCTCTTTTCGCATGCGCGCTTTCCTTTTCCTTGAAGCAAATTTCGACTCGGGCGACCACTCTTCCTCTTCAGCGTTTGCTTGCTTGATCGCTCCCTGCCCCTGATGTTCAGCTGCTGCTTCCGGAGTATCAGGAGGCCGATCATGGACTGAAGAAGCCTTTGTTGTTTCGGGAAGGCTGTCCAAAGTTTGCGCTTGATCTTTTGACCCTGCATTCGTGTCATTAACATATTGTTCTCCCGTCGGCCCGCCTACAACAGATGCATTCGCCTGCTCTGATGGTATAATAGCGTGTGCTGCTTGGGGGTTCTCTTTCCCTTTCTTAGTATGCTGTCGTGTACTCTTCGTCTTCTGCACTGCTGCCTCTTTCTTCTCCGCGGCAGCGCGCAGTTGCGCGCCATAAATGGCAAATAAAGAATCGCGGTCACCATTAGACGCCTGCTTCGTTTTTTTCGAAGCCTTTCGCGTTTTTTTCCAAGCCTTCCGAGCCTTCCCCCATGCTATTCCTCTCTCCGCGTCCGTCAGATTAGATGGCATGTCCGTCAGAAATTGCTCTACCTCTCGTTTCCGGTCGTTGGTTCTCTCTTGCAGGCTGGGCTCTTTGGGCCTGTCTTTCTTTGGCGCTTCTCTAACAACTTCACACTCTAGTTGACTCTGAGTCACCTGTTGTAATACAGTAGCCGTGAGTTGCGGCGGCGGCGCCGATGGAGGTTCGTTCAGGTCCGTTTGATTCGGAAACGTTGGTGGCAGGCGATCTCCCTGCGTACGTTGTGGGTCTAATTGCTTTCCCTTCAGTGTGGCAGACAGTTGCCTGGCTATCTGCTTTTCCGCATTGGCAATGGCTTCATTCTCGAAAACTTCTGCCGCTCGAGACAAGCTTTGGGGTTCTGCATGGCTCTGTTCGGAGTCTTTTTTGTAGCGATCCATCGTTCGCTCACGCTTGCCCTTTTGACGGCGCAATGCGGCACGAGTTATCTCCCGCTTTTGGAATTTAAAGCGTGCAATGTCCTGTTTGAGTTCCTTTTTCTCTTGGGCGCGTGCTAATTCTGAGTCTACGGTCTGTAAGAACTCATGGTTGTCAATTCCAAGGTGCTTGAGAACTTCCTTTACGGCTGGAACATTATGGCCCGAGTCCACGTAAATGGCACCAATGATGGCTTCAAATGCCTCGGCCACGTGGCTGTTCGCTGGCACTGCTAGCTCATGTTGTAACAATATATCTTGATGCAGCTTCATCGCACGTCCTGTGACGTTAAGCGCCGCTCGTGTCTCTATGAAACTGTTCATAACACTATAGTTGCCTGCGTCACACATAATTAGCCCCTCCCTCACCAACTCTAGGGACAGACACACCTGTTGAATGTCCACTGTGAAACCATATTTCACAAAGAGCCAGGCCAAGGACACGGTCCCCCAGAAGAGCGAGACGATTGTTACGGTCAATTTCAACGACCACGCCTTTGTAGTACAATGGCCAATTCTTCCCGGTGTTCTTCAAGGCTTCTATACATAGGAATTTGTTCTTGAAGTTGTAGCCGGTGCGTGCTTCGATGTGACCGACCCTTACAGCGGCATGTAAGAGGTCATGATGATATAAAGGAGGCGGAGAGATCCATTGCAGTCGTTTTGTGTACAAATCGAGGTAGATCCGATCCTTCCTTTCGAATAAATCCGGCAAACGACATGCAGGTCCGAAGTGCTGGCGCGTATGACCTTGAGTCCAGGGAAAAAGACTTCCAAATTGATTCCAGATACCCAATGGATTTCTGGAGGTTGAGGCAGTATTCCTTGATGCCTGAGGTGCTATTTGACCTGTCGCCTTTCGCCCTTGCCTTGGAAGATGGCCTAGACGTTTTGACTGACCAAAGGCCAACGTCTTCATTCGATAACTCAAACGCGCCCAAAAATTTCCCCACGTGAACTTCTTGCTCTTTCGCATGGCGGAATGAGCGCCGTGAAACACAATGTTTCAGCTTGTGAAAACATTCTATGGCTCGTTAATAATTTGGCCACAAAGTTTGAAATCGCCAAATAGATTGTGAAAACGAACCGATTCTAAATCAATTGGTTGACAGCGGATCTCGCAAGCCCAGCTCTAGTAATTTTGGCTGCATGCTGCGGTCAACAAAGTACCATTGACGAACGTGAGTGCATGGATATGGAGATTTTTTGATGGCGTTCCTCATCTAAAAGTTACCGCAAGTTAGTGTCCTCGCACGGACCTTTTCAGCCTGCCATCTACACACCTGTGGACATGCCGCGCGGTCACGTTATCGTCATGCAACGGTACAAGTCTGGAAACCTATACTCTTGATTTACATTCATCATTTTCATTACTTCTAGCATGATGAAAAAGGTTTTGTCAAAGTGATTAAATCTTATAATTCTTGCACACTCGCTAGTGTACAAGCGTGTCAAAATCTACTCGAGGATAACAGGCATGTCCAACGAATCCCTCCATGCATAGCTCCCCAGTCATGAATCTTTGTCTAGCCATAAGCCATAAGCATCCCAATCTACTCCCGCACCTATGATACAAACCACGTACTTAACCAGAGAATTCCTTGATGTCGGTGGTCTTGCCTGGGATGAGAGCCAAGGGGACGATACCTGAGACGTGCATCTCGGGTCCATATACGTGCATGTCAAGCCCAAGCTCCTGGCCAACACCCTTGATGTTCTTGAGACCCTCTTGGTAATTGGGACCAGCACGACGGATCCAGATTTGGACCTTATGTTCGATCAGTTGGGGCGCGACTTCCCTCAGGGCACGGATGACGCCCTTGAATGTGGAGGCAACATTGGTGAAGTTGGCGATACCACCACCAATGAACAGAACCTTGCCCTCTGGGTGCTGAGGAGCACGGAGCATAAGGTCGAGGACGGTGCGGGCGTAGTGAAAGGTCTGAGTCTCGGTGGGTGCACCAGAGTATTCGCCATAATTGGCCAGCTCGCTGGCAAATCCAGCAGACGCGATGGCATCAGCATAGACAACGGAGGCACCACCACCAGCGACAAGGGTCCAGACACGGCCGACAGAGTTGAGGATAGTCAGCTTCAGAGAAGCACCAGTCTTCGCATCCATCTCAGCGATGTACGCCTCTTCCTTGCTCATCTCGCGACCAAACGGAGCAGGGAACTCTAGTGGTGGGCCAACATCGACAGTAGTCTTGGCCTCTTTTTGGGGAGCAGCTGGTATTCCGAGAGCCGTTACACTGCGAGCAATAGCCCACTTGGCACCACACTCAAACTCGGCAGTTTGGTCAATCTTGGCAGCAAGATCGAGGAAGTGAACTTCAGCAGAAGTGCCCTCAGCATTGGGGATGACGACAAGAGGGTTGATCTCGAGGTAGCTTGACAGTATATTAGTATTGCTGGAAGGTGGAGAGGTGGAGTACTCACGTGAATTGGCAGTCGACATAGACAGCGTACAACCGGGAGATGAAGTCGACAAGAACATTGTGTACACCGCTGGGCACCTTCTTCAAGAGGGTGGAAGCGATCTCCTCGTTCGAGGGATAGTCCTTGAGGTCGACCGGGATAAGGAGCTTCTCAGCCTTCTCGTCCACATCGCCAACATCGACACCACCCTCGTGGGTGAAGAGGATCCAATCGCCCTGGAGCGCAAGCGTCAGCCATGATGGTCACATGATTGCTGCATGCATTCATGCGGTAACCGAAGCGTGCCGTTCGGTAGAGCCGCAACACCAGGCCCAGGAAATTAGGACAGCCAATGCACATGGTAGTGCGCTGAAGGAGTGCGCCATTGACATGTGAAAGTGGACGTGCACAGGACATAAGTGTAGGTGCTCTGCAGAAGTGGGTCGGGATTGTCTCCCTTCGTCCGGCCGAGTGTCCAACAAAACCAGGCAGTGCCGCCCGTGTGTCTGTCTAAGCCAGCTTTCCGCTCCCAACCTGTGCACGCGTCGCCGCCAGAATGCAGGCGACCATGTGGTTCGCAGAACGGCCTAGTAGCTATTGCAGACGCACGCCTTGAACCAAGACGCAACAACACAACGACAAAGCGACGCAGACACGAAATTCAACGAAAGAGATGGCGTTTCACGTACCTCTCGCACCGAGTTGATGTTGATGTAGTACTCGGTATCCTGGGGATGGGGAACAAAGGGCTCGACCAGGAATTGCCTCAGTACACCATCGACCGTCTCGACACGCTGCGGCTTTCCTGCCCTCTCTGCAATCCACGCCTTGGCCTCGGCCCACGTCTTGTTGAGGGCCAGGAGGCCGCTCTTGCCTCGCCTCTTGATCAGTTGATCTGGCTTTGCGACGAACTTGGAGCCAGGCGTCAATAGCCATGGGTACGTGGCCTCGGCCTGATCGAGCACACCCTGCACATCCGCATCGGCTGCGAAGTACAGCGACGCGAGCTTGCTGGGAGGATTGTGTGTTGCCGAGGCAGGCAGAGGAGTGGGCTTGATGACTGGTGCGCGAGTGAGGTGGTAGTTGAGGATGGCCTTGCCGTCGGCCTCGAGGATGGACTTGGCAGACATTGTGGGCGGCGGTCAAACTGGAAGGGTGTGAGTCTTGCTTTGTGGAGGCGAGTACTTGGGTGAGCGCGTGGGAGTGCAATGGGCGAGGAAGAGATATGACAGGCAGGACAGAACAGGACAGAGCAGTGAGCAAGAAAGAGCAAGGGCGGCGCAGAAGAATTTTGCAGCGTACTGTTCCGACGATGATGTCCGGCAATAGGCGTGTGGGACAATGCGTGCAATGTCCGGGCAGAAAGACAGCCGTGTATTCGTGGTCGTGTTCGTGAGGGATGGTAGTGGTGGGTGGGAGGGGTGGGAGGGGGGAAAGGGTGGGGAGGGCCGAGACAAGACGAAAGACAGAGGGTGCAAAATGCTGCGATGGCGAGGGATGGCTACAACCACGTACCTATAGCTGAAGAAGATGGAGGAGGGGGAGGGATTGTACGCGATCGACAACAAGAATCAATTGGAATGAGGGCGGAGAGGGACAGCAATGGGCACTGGTCAGGCTCAGACGGGGTTCTGGTTTGGAGGGGGGAAGCTTTTGGGGTGCACGGCGGTGTGATTGTGTTTTTTTGCCTGTTGAGCTGGGAGTCTGCGGCTTGACCTGCAGGGCTAACGCATCGGGCCCCACCCTTGGCCCAACCAGAAACAGCAGCCACCACCAGCCCCGGGGTCCAACCGCTGGCCGCTTCTTTTTTTTTTTGTTCGCTATCCAGTCCGCAGTGTGGCCCTCGCCTCGAGCCAGCCACTTCTCCCCCGAGTCCCGAACCGAAGAAACGAAGGAGGAACGGAGACCACCAAACAGGAAGGAAACCAAAGAGAGAAAAACAAACAGGCAGGGCAACATCAACACGCCGGACATTCGAGCGAGAACATCGGCGAGGCAGGTGAGGCGAAGGAAGGGTGCGAGGTAGTATGAGGTGAGACTCCAAAAAGAGAGCCCCTCGGAGTACCGAAAGCCTACAGTGCCTACTACCTACTATTGTGGGATGTGCCTCTCTGTCCGCCGAACGGTAATCATCACATTCTGTGTGTGTGTGTGTGTGCGTGTGCGATGTGTGCAATGTCCGTCGCTCGCCTCTCCTCGCCGTGTCCGTCGCCCGCACTCCGGTGCAAGGCGCTGTGGCATGTTGACAGCAAAAGACGGCTCTCAAGACGTCTCCGTCCAGTCCAGTCCTGTGTTGTCTTGTCAGTCTTGGTCGTTCTTGTCCTGTCCTGTCCTGTCCTGACTCTTGGGGAGCCGTGGATCCTTGCCCCGTCGCCTCTCACCGCCCGGCAGGCTCATTGGCCTAGCGCCTAAGCCCAACAACGCAAGACCAGGGACTCAACACATACCGCCCCAAGATTCAACACACAACTTGCGCCCATTGCTGCTTCCTCTTCGTTCGTCTCTCGCAACCTTCTCCCCTTCCATCCAAGTCCAATTGCTCTTGCCCGTCTAGTCGGCATTGCACTGTCATAAGGTAAGTGCAGCCCCCTTTCCCCTCGTGCGCCTGCCTCGCCCGCGCCTGCAACCGCTTCGCACTTTCCCTCCCCTCCATCCCACCTTCCCGCCGCCGTCCCGCGTGCCTGCCCCCCTTCCATTATTATTTTTTCGGCAGCCCGCCAGCTCTCACGCCAGTTGCTGCCACCACCACCATCACCACCACCACCTGCGCCCGTCCTTGCGAGCTACAACTGACCGCCCTGCCCTCATAGTCCCTCCATATACAACCATTCTCCAGCTTCTCATCAGTCAATTGCCCTCCTCCCCGCCCACACGATGCCCTCTGCAGCGCCCGTCAGCGGCACCACGCCCAGCCAGGCGGCCACGTCAGGGGACAGCCTCTCTGCCAACGACAACATCCGTCGTTTCGCAGCCCCCAGCCGGCCCATGAGCCCGCCCGCTGCTCACACGCTCTTCCATCCCAAGACACGATGCTTTGTCTAGTAAGAGCCCACCGGTGCACTCTGCACCCTGAAAGCAAAAGGGAGGGATAAGGACCAGAGTGCTAACAGGATGCCCACAGCGGACTGCAGCCCCGTGCTGTGCAAGGCATGCTCGACTTCGACTTCATCTGCAAGCGCAAGCAGCCCTCGGTTGCGGGTATCATCTACACATTCGGCGGCCAATTCGTCAGCAAAATGTGGGTGCCCAGCCAGCAACATCCAGCTTTGATGACGGCACTAACACCCTCTCAAGGTACTGGGGAACCAGCGAAACCCTGCTGCCCGTGTACCAGACTGTCGAGAAGGCTGTTGCCAAGCACGCCGATGTCGACACTGTGGTCAACTTCGCCTCGTCTCGCTCCGTGTTCCAGTCGACCATGGAGCTGATGGAATTCCCCCAAATCAAGTGCATCGCCATCATTGCCGAAGGTGTTCCTGAGCGAGTAAGTCGACTGGCACTGTGGCCTAGTCATGCTGGATTCTGACTGCTCTAGCGCGCACGCGAGATCCTGCACGTCGCCCAGAAGAAGGGCGTCACCATCATTGGCCCCGCCACGGTCGGTGGCATCAAGCCCGGCGCGTTCAAGATTGGCAACACGGGTGGTATGATGGACAACATTGTCGCCTCCAAGCTCTACCGTCCTGGTTCCGTCTCGTACGTTTCCAAGTCGGGAGGCATGTCCAACGAGCTCAACAACATCATCGCAAATACGACAGACGGTGTGCTTGAGGGTGTGGCCATTGGTGGTGACAGATACCCCGGTACCACATTCATTGACCACGTACTCCGCTACCAGGCCGATCCCGACTGCAAGTGCATTGTCTTGCTCGGTGAGGTGGGCGGTGTGGAGGAATACCGTGTCATCGAAGCCGTCAAGTCCGGCCAAGTCACAAAGCCAATCGTGGCATGGGCTATTGGTACCGTCGCTGGTATGCTCAAGACTGAAGTGCAGTTTGGACACGCTGGTTCATTTGCCAACTCCCAGCTCGAGACGGCTGCGACCAAGAACAAGACCATGAGGGAAGCCGGCATCTACGTGCCAGAAACCTTTGAGGACATGCCTGGCACGCTTGCCCAAGTATACCAGAAGCTTGTTGCGGATGGCACCATCAAGCCCAAGCCCGAACCCGTTGTGCCCAAGATCCCAATTGATTACTCGTGGGCCCAGGAACTTGGTCTTATCCGCAAGCCTGCTGCCTTCATCTCGACGATTTCCGATGACCGTGGTCAGGAGCTTCTGTACGCTGGCATGCCCATCTCTGATGTATTCAAAGAGGAGATCGGTATTGGTGGTGTCATGTCGCTGCTTTGGTTCCGCCGCCGTCTGCCCAACTACGCCAGTCGCTTCCTCGAGATGGTCCTCATGCTGACTGCCGATCACGGTCCAGCTGTGTCGGGTGCCATGAACACGATCATCACCACCCGTGCCGGCAAGGATCTCATCAGTGCGCTCGTCTCTGGTCTCCTGACTATTGGCTCGCGCTTTGGTGGAGCTCTTGACGGTGCTGCTGAAGAGTTCAGCAAGGCGTTTGACAAGGGTCTTAGCCCTCGTGACTTCGTCGACACCATGCGCAAGGAGAACAAGTTGAGTAAGTGGTGCGAATGCACTTGGATAAATGCTTTTTCTAACATGCTATAGTCCCCGGTATCGGCCATAGGATCAAGTCCCGCAACAACCCCGATCTTCGTGTCGAGCTTGTCAAAGAATACGTCAAGAAGAACTTCCCCAGCACAAAGCTGCTCGATTACGCTCTTGCCGTCGAGTCAGTCACAACATCGAAGAAGGACAACCTCATTCTCAACGTTGATGGCTGCATTGCGGTCTGCTTCGTGGACCTTGTCCGCAACGGCGGTGCCTTTACACCAGAAGAGGCCGAGGACTACCTCAAGATGGGTGTTCTCAATGGTCTCTTTGTGCTCGGCCGAAGCATTGGTCTGATTGCCCACTTCCTCGACCAGAAGAGGCTGAGGACTGGTCTCTACAGGCATCCATGGGACGACATTACCTACCTTCTGCCCACCCTACAGGCTGGTGGTGCCGAGGGTCGTGTTGAGGTCAGCTTGTAGATGACGATTGAACAAAAAGGGAATGAATAGGGATGATGGGATACGATTTGTCGTCGATTGATGAGATAGACTTTGAAACAAGGCGTTTTGAGCCTGGTAGACAAAGTCCTTGCACTGATTGCAGGGCTATTGTAGCAATATCCGCCGTATAGGTGGAGAATTATAGTATTTTAATGTTACATGAATCACTTGATGTCTTGAAGTGTTTTGATCTTTCAGGTCTGGTGATGACTGTCTGGCTGTGTTGAGTCGTTGCAAACAAAGAGAAGCTCTGTTTGAGTGGGGGACGGGGATCGGTGGGTGACTGGGTGACTCGATGAATTTCCCGAGTGAGAAAGGTGAAGGACTTGCATAATGACTAGGAAGAAAATACGAGACATGCGGATGCAACGGGGGTAAAGGAACAAACATCTGGAAACACTTGGGAATTCTCTTGTTTGAAATGAGTATAGTTCGTTCGTTTATTATCCATCCGTACATCCAAGCATTGAAGCATCCATCCATCCATCCATCCATCTATACACGCAAAAACATAAAAACACACAAACTTTCCCAATTACCACTACACCCACTATCCCTGCATAAAGAGAAGAAAAGCCGTGTCGGTGGTGTCAAGGCCGAAGGTCGGGTGAGGACGGGGTGGTATGGCGAGAGAAGAGGGGAAAAGAAGGGGAGAAGAGAAGTGAGCAGACACGGTGTAGCCGTCATGATGGTCATCAAGAGAGACGGGGGGAAGGGAGGTGGGGGGGAGAGGAATGGCCAGAGGCGTTCTTGTCTCTGGACTCGCAGGTTTTGTGCATGGTGATTCGATGTGTTGTAGGGGTTTGGGGGCGGAGAAGATGTTGTCGAGGGTGATGTGGAGATAGAGAAGTGGAAGGAGAACACAGAAGAAAATGAGGAAAAGGAAAGCTGAGAGGAAGACGAAGACGAAAAAGAAGAAGAAGAAGAAGAAGAAAAGAGACTAGGATGACAAAAAAACATCACCTAGAGATAACTATCCACAACATCATACCCACCCCGAATCGCAAACTCAACCAACTCCATGCCCGCCAGCCCACTCGCAAAATACGTCTTCTTAACCCCCTGCAGCGAATGATACGCCGCGTACGCACCCGCCCGCAACGCAGGACCCTCAAAATGTGGAAAATAGTCCCACTTGCGAAAAGCCTTGATATCGTCGTCGCAAAAGGGTGCAACGCTCGCGTCGATCTGGCGCGGGTCCTTGTTGATTTTGCGCAGGCTGTCGACGAGCAGGTGGCGGGCCGTCTGCTCGGGCTGGTAGTCGTAGGGGCCCCAGGACCAGGCGACGGAGATGTTGGAACGTGGGCTGAAGCGGAGGATGGCGACGGGTTGGCCGTCGTTTGGGGGTGGGATACTGGGTGCGGGCGAGGTGGCGGCGTAGGAGACGCCAAAGGGGAGGGCGAATTCCGAGACGGAGGAGTAGTATTGGTGTGTGGTCACGTTGGAGAAGGTGCTGGTTTCTTGCGGTGTCAGGTCTAGGCCCACGTGCTTGAGATTGTCGATGCTGGGTGGGAAGGCAAAGATGACGGATGAGCACGTCTGTTTGCTGCGTTTGTGGTGGGTTGCGTTCGCCGCGGGCTCGGTGTACATCAGGACCGGGTTTGCGCCAGATCGGTCGACGCGGCGGACATCGGCCGAGGTCTTGATGGTCGTCTCGCGTAGATTGTTCTTTGCGAATTCCACCCACATCTTGTTGAAATCCATATAGTACACGCCATGCAAGCCGACAAACGCAGTCAGAACGTCTGGCGTCATGTACTGCAGAATATAGAGCTAAACCCTTGTCAGCCATCTGCAAGATATTGGGGAAACATAAGCCCTGCACGGGCCATGTGGAGAGAAGCTGGGGTACGGACCGCTGGCACGATATTTATATCTCCGTAGCCGTACAACGCAACCGGTGTTACGAGTAGTATTGGCAGAGCCGTGAAATTGTTTATGCGAAACCATTCTGCGCCCGACACTGTAAACTCGTCTGGCACACCATTCTGTTCCTGCGTTAGCTGGCCGTTGGTGTGCGACAAAGGAGGACAGTCGCACCTTGAAGTTGGCAACGCCAACGGGGCGGAACCGTGTATTCCACAGGCCGACGTAGCGCGGGATCTCTGCAGATACTTGCGCAAGGAATTGAGGTGCCAAGGCAGGCACCTGCTGAATGCGCCCGTCGGTGTAATTGTAGCTAAACGCCTCGCGTCCGCCTGCAAGTGAAAAGGGTTGGGTGGAAACGTCTGTTTGGCTAAGAATGGCAATGGTCTCGGGATAGGACACGTTCGAGAGGAAGGCGGCGCCGAGTGGATAGAAAGTACCGCTGCATAGATGGTCAGTCGCGGATGTGGCGCTACGGATCAATGTCGTGCAACACCCACTCTTCATCATACCAAGACTGGCATTTTCCACCGACTGCTTCTTGTTTTTCGAAGATCATGGACTTGATTCCTTTTGACTTCAGTCTGCTTGCCGCCGATAGGCCAGCCGGGCCTGCGCCAATGATGCAGACGGGATGTTCCTCATGGCCATGTGGTCGAGCTGATATGGTCAGTGAGAAGAAGGCAAGTAGTGGCAGCGCCAGCGACCGCATAGTCGTGCACTTCATTGTGAGTATGAATGGTTCAATTGAGAGCATAGAAAAGTAGCGAGTACCTGCAGCTTATAATACTAGGCTGGCATTGGACCTTGCGCGTCCGTCTGTTTGGTTCGTGAAGCGTCAAGACCGACGGCTGCGCAATGCGTTGGCAGACTTCGAAAAGGACAAGGCTAGCACCCAGCCAGGTTGCCGCCTCGACGCCAGATTGCAGTTTGAATGCTCAATCAAGCGAGCCCTAGGCGATATCTGGGACAAGGGAAGGTCGTGCGTCGATGCACTGTCGTCGGTTGTGACGTTTGATCTTTGGCCTGGCGAGATTTGGTCGGCAGAATTCAATTCCAGCGCCTCAAAAAGGCCTCTTGGACAAGGCCGATAGAGTGAGTAGCTCAGAGTGACGAAGAGAGAATGGCCGTAGCTCTTACACATGGTAGACTACTTCTTTGTGCGCTCCCATACACCCGCGCAAAGACACCGCAAAGGACGATCAATGCGGGAGACAAGGGGCCCAACAAACAAGCGTGCAATCGAGGGATCTGCGTAGTCAGCGGACGGGCGGTGAGAGTCTGTTCTCCAGCGGCGTCATGGTACATGCATGCTGCATACATATACAGTGCCGGGGGTTGGGGTTAAGGTCTGCCGAGGCCTGACATCTCAGCCCTACGGCATACCGGTACCTCTAGAACCATCCGCCACGTTTGATCCAAAGCCACCCAACCCAACGGGTGCGTTTCTGGACCGTCGAAACATGTCCCAGGGCCATGAGATTGGAATAGAACAGAAAAGGAAGACATGTCGGTCCTATCGTGTAGCGTACCAGAGTATGCTGTCTGGACTCGGCGCCTCCCAGTGTGACGACTCAGGTAGGTAGGGCATCCGAAAGGTATCCTATACGACTTAAAGGCATATAGGAGTGCGCGTCTGTATAGAAAAGGATAAGATTCCTACACCTATAGGTCTTGTACAAAAGGATAAGAAGAATATACCTATCCTAACTATAGGCAAGCTAATTCTCTATATATATTAGTAAGTTAGGCCTTTATTAGGCCTAACTTAGTATAGAATAATAGGCAGGCAATTCTACCTTATTATTACACTACCCCCTCCTATAGAGAAAGGATAGTCCCTATCCTTAGGATTAGGTTTAGATCCCTTATTAAAGAAGAGCTTTTTATAAAATAAATCTACCTTTACCTCTACCTTTACCTTTACTTTTTCTTCCTAGGGTATAGACCCCTATCCCTAGCCTATATATAACTAGCCCTCTACCTACTAACTTTCTTATTCCTATATCCCTAATTTTTTAATTATTTAACCTAATCTATTTAAAATCTAGTAAGTATTTAATCTATATAATTAAGTAGTTACTAATCTAAATTAGAACTTTTAGCTATACTAGTACTAGTACTACTAGGAGTCCTCCCTATTACTTATTACGCTCTCTATATAAAGGTAGTTAAGGCTCTAGCTAGGGGTAAGTTTAATAATTTTAATTTTAAGTTAAAGAATTCTAAGAAGTACTAGTACTATATCTCCTAGAATAAGTATTATAATCTAGTAAGTATCTAAGTCTAATAGGGTTACTTTACTAATTCTAGTCAAGATTCCTTCTTTTATTAGCCTAGAGTACTCTACCCTTAGGGGTGCTCTAGATAAGTACTATAGCCTAGTAGTAAACCCTACTAAAGGGGATAAGGATAAGGATACTATAGTTACTTATTAGAAGGATATTAAATAGTTTAAGGCTACTATTTAAGAAGCTACCTAAAACCTTACTAAGTATATTACTATTATTAATACTTAGACTAAAGGTATAAAAGCTACTAAGATCCTTATAGCTATATATTATACTACTATATCTAATTTATATTAGCTTTAGAATAGTATTTATAAGATAATCTTAGTAGTTAGGGGCTTAATAAGGGCTATTAATAAACTTAAAGAGGAAATAGTACTAAATTAGGAGGTAACCTTTATAATATAAGCTAAGATAAAGGTGCTTAATAAGAAAGCGTCTAAATTAGTTCTAGCTCCCCTACCTACTCCTATACCTATTCCTGCACCTACTATACTAGTTATCTAGAAGCTAGTTAAGAAAGGTAGTCTAGGTGCTATCTTAGCTAATACAAAGTCTAAACTAGGTTCTAATAGAGAGATAGATATAGAATAAAGAGGTTTCCTAGGGGTAGTATCCTAGGGACCTTAAAGGTTCTAAGATAGTTCTAAATAGGATATAATAATAAATAGTAATAAGAATAATAGTAATAGATAGTAGTTAATAAATAATATATAGCTAAATAGGATATAAATTAGTTCTAATATTAGGTATAATTATTATAAAGTAATATTAGATCCTCTTTACCTTTTTCCTAGGCTTAAATCTATTTTAGTAAGCTATATAGGGGACCTAGCTAATTTAGATACTATTAGTAGAATACCTATAATTTATAGGGAGCACCTATAAAGTTAGAGGTAGGATACTAAATAGGATTAGGATTATATCTAACCTACTTAACCTTATATTTTAGCTTAGATTAATATAATTTACTAGCTAGGATTTCTTCTACCTCCTATTCCTCTATACCTTATATAGGCGTACTAGGGGGTTTTAGAGCCTCTTATCTAGGTAATAGGTCTTAGAGATCTTTATATAGTATATTAGGAGAGAAAATATTATAGATCTTAGAACTAGGTAGTAATTAGAAGTAATATATATTTCTTACTTATTCTAATACCTTAAAGGGACCTTCCTATTATTTAGATAGTTTTTAGCTAGGTTATAAAATAGTAAGATTAGTAGTAGATAGATAAATATAGTTACTAACCTTCTAGTTAACTAAATAATAATAGTAATTAGTAGTAGAGTGTATTTAGTCTTAAGCTCTTTCTATATTTTTTTTAATAATCTTCTAGGTATTATATATCTAAGTAGTAAGGGATAAGGCGTTCTTATAGTTTAGTTTCTCTAGTATAGTAGATAAGGTCTTTTCTAGTTTCTAATACTAACTTTACTTTAGTAAGAAACTAAAGAGGAGCTAATATAGAGCTATACTAATAGATAAATATAGAAGAGTACTTTAGGTATAGTCTATTATAGGTAGTAGGTTACTCTAGTTATCTTAGTAATAGGATATAAAAGGCCTTAGTCTCTAATTAATATACTTATTTATAATCTTAGTTTATCTATTAGTTTATTTATAGTAGGTAGTAAAGAGCTTAACTTTAGTGCCTATAATCTAATAGAACTTAGACTAGAAACTAGATATAAACTAAGGGCCTTAATTAGAAATAATAGTATCTAGAGTATGTCTAAATTAGTACACCTACTAAATAAATAAGGTAGCTATACTTTAGGCGTCTATAGTTTTATAGTAAGGGATAGTAATAGCTTACTTTAATAGGTAATTAATAATAACTATAATCTAATTATAACTATATTAATCCTAGGGAAAATCCTTAAAATTAATGCACAAGTGTTGTATAGGTAGACTAGGGATAGGAAGGGGATAGAGCATGCTAGGGAGTTAGTGCTATCTTAGGTGCCCTCTCCTGTATAGGATACAGTTCTAAACGTAGCGTTTATAGGTAGTCTCTATACCTTTCTAGTAGTAATGTTAGGCTAGAATCTAATAGGTTTTAGTAGCTAATAGGTAGGTAGTAGACACTTAATTATAAGCCTTACGAATTAGTCTAGTACATAGGACTAATCTAGTAGGCACGCAAAGTTAATCCTAGTAGAGAAGGAGTCTATTTTCTATCTAATAGTGCTTAGGCAACTCTAATCTTTCTATTAGGAATAAGGACCTATTTTCTTAGAGAAGAGTTTTAATAAGTTCTAGGGATCTAAGTGTTATAGGGTTCTAAACTACTATAATTAAAGCAAGGATTAGTAAGGAACGCTTAGCTAGGTAGTCTTGCGCTAAGTTAGAGTTAATTTAGGGGTGTAACCTATCTAGGGCAATTATTACTTATAAGCAATTATCCCTTTAAGTAGTCTTAAGGTTAAGCATATCCTATTCTCTTCTGCTTAGGATATTAGCTTAGGCGTTGTGACATCTAGGAGTATACTTAATTTGGAAGTTAAAGGGACTTATAACCTCTAGCTATCTAGCTTGCCTAGCACTAAGGACTTTAGTAGATATAAAGTACTCTAGTGCTCTATAGTCTGTGTATACTCTAATAAGGTGCCAAGTACTTATTAGGTTAGCACGCTATTTCTTAAAGGCGCAGATTATTGCAAACAATTCTTTGTTATAGATTTCCTAATTAAGTTTAGAACTAGTAAGGGTCTAACTAAAGAAGGATATAGGGTACTATTTCCTATTAGGATGCTCCTATTGTACTGTCAGGGAGAGTAACCCATTCAAACCCGGAGAAGTGGGAGGGGCAAGGTTTAATAGTAGTGATCCCATAGTAGAGGATAGGGGTTCAATATAGCAACATGAGTGAAATGATGATATTGTAGAGTTGAAGTCAAGTCTGCCGGAGTCGTTGTTGTCCTATCCTCTGATCCTTCATGCCTTTATACCATTCAATCCGCCCAACCTTTTAGGCTAAGCCTTGTTTTCCTCCCATACATCCCTCACCACGGCACACTATAAGAGGATAGCTGCAATAACTCTATTAGAGGCGTCTGTCTCTAGTTTTAGAGGGTACTTAGGATAGAAGTAAGCTAAGCTTAGGATTGCTAGTAGGGCATTCCTAAGCTAGTTAAAGGCTTGTTAGTATTCTAAAGTCTATACAAATAGGGTAGTAGGGCTCTAAAGAGTGGTTAAGGGCTTAGCTGTCTTAGAGAAGTTTTCCACAAATTGCTAGTAGAATCTAGTAAATCCTAGGAAGGACTTTACTCTAGTTATTATCTAGGGAGCGGACTAGTTTTAGAGTACTTTAACTTTGTTAGGATCTACCTCTAAGCCTTTATTAGTAAGGATATATCTAAGGTAATAGGTATAGGTTATATAGAATTTGCTTTTCTTAATATTAGCCTATAATCTAGTAGAACAAAGACGCTTAAGGACTTTTTAAATATAGTCCTTGTAAGTAGTAAGGTTTTTAGAGTAGATAAGGATATTATCTAGATAGGTAATATAGAAGTTATCTAAATAATCTATTAGTATATTATTTATATAGCGCTAATAGGTTATAGGTCTATTATATAGCCTAAATAGTAGGACTTTGTATTTATAGGCACTATACCTAGTGCGGAAAGTAGTGTACTCCTCTAAGTTAGGGTCTATTTAGATCTTATTAAAGGCAGCATAAATATCTAGCTTAGTAAAGATTTTTACTTTAGCTAGCTAGGATAATAGATTATCTATACAGGGTATTAGATACGCGTCCTTTTGCGTTAAGCTGTTAAGCTTATAGTAATCTACACAGATCCTAAGGCCTCTATTTAGCTTCTTAATATATAGGATAGGAGAGGCAAATAGGCTCTAACTAGTCTTAATAAAACCTTTCTATAGGTGCTCTTATATATATTCCTTAGTAGCCTAGAGTTCCTTAGCATTTTAATAATAGAGGGGACTCTAGTAGTTTAGAAGGGGTTCCTCTAGGACTATCTTATAGTTATAAGGCTAGTAGATTAGAAGTTTATTAGCCTTAGCCTTATTAAAGACGTCCTAATAGGAGTTATAGTTAGATAGGAGCTTCTAATCTAACAAGCTATAGTTAAGAGTATCCTATTTAGATAGGGTTTAGATCCTACACTTAATCTTATACAGGCTAGTAGTAAAGAATTTATTAGAAGATTTTTTTATATTAAAATAGAAAGTATTAGTAGAAATAGTAGCAATTTAGAATTTTTTAGGTAGGGTAATAGTTAGTAATTAGACTAGGGTAGGTAGTGTAATAGGTTTAGTAGCAGCCCTATAAGTAGCTAGAATTTTAAGTATACTACGTATCCTATTAATTAAACTAGGACTATTTTAGTTCTAGTTCTCTTCTTAATCCTAAAGGGCGTCTCTTTATAAGATATTATAGGTAACTAGAGTAGATAGCACTTGCTAGTAGAGTTGTACTAGAATAGGAGGTGCGGGGTTATAGGTTAGAGGATATTTCTCTAGCTAGATAAGTTAAGATTTATCTATATTAATTAGGATTTAGAACTATTTTAGCTAGTGTTATCTAATAATATAATCCTAAGAACCTAAGTCTACTATTATAAAGGGGTAGTTATAAACCTTTTAGCTACTAACTATTATATAAAGCTAAATATAGTAGGCAAATAGGGAAGTAATCTAATCCTAGAACCCTTTAATAGTAAGCTTATATAGTAGCTTTTAGATAGGTACCCTAAGTATAGAAGAGATATTATAAGCAATTTTTAAATTAAGAAATAAATAACCTTAGGCCCTAGTATCTACTAAAGTATTTAGGTAAATACTAGATCTATTAAGGTATAAGGTTATATATATAAGTAAATAGGAACTAATAAATAATTTAGTTAAGGAAAGATTTAATAGGTTATATTAAGTTAGGCCTAGGAAGGAGGATCCTCCTAGGCGTTATTATTTCCTATCTAATAGCTATCTAAATTAGTTAATTTAGTAGTTTCTTCTTCCTTAGAATTCTTAATAACCTATTCTATATCTATAGCCTAAATCCTAGAGGGTTTAAGGTAGTTACTAGAGAAGTGCCTAGGCTTTCTATAATTATAGCAAGTTACTAGGGTTCCTATTATAGTAGCGCTAGGAGTAGCTAGTATAGTAGATAGGGGTTAATTATTTTAAGGGGTAGTGCCTTATTATTATAAGTAGGGTATATAAGGTTTAGCTATTAAAGGTCTATTATAGGGTTTCTAATTAGCGTCTAAATAGGACTAGTTTCTAGAGTATTAGAAGGGGGTTAGTCTTTTTCTAGATAATAGAGTAGTCTAGGTAGAAGTAGATAAAGTAGGGTATAGGCGGCGTTCTATATTAAAAGTAGTAAGATAATCTACTATAGTCTTAAAATTATTATACTAATTCTATTAGAAAGTAAGGTTTAGTTTCCTTAGGGAAGGTGTAATCTTTATCTAGAGGTAGTAATACTACTCTAATTAGGGTACTTCTCCTCTAATAGTAAGACTCTAGAATTATAACTTAAAAGCAGGGAATATCTCTATATTAGTTATATATAGGTAGTTAAATATAGTCTAACTTTTAGCTATCTTATTTCTAGTAATAAAGTAAGTTTAAAGGAGGGTAATTATTTCCTTAGCTTTTTAGAATTAAAGACTTAGGGAATTAGATAGGTAACGTAGCTTTAAGTATTCTCTTGCTAGTCCTAAGTAGTATCCCTAGACTAACGCTATCTAAGCTCTAGAAGAGGGGTAGTAATTAATATTAATCTCTAGCCTATCCTAAATAGATACTTACTATTATCTAAAAGTAGGATTAGCACTATTACTAAGTATAGAGATATTTAGTATCTTTTTAGATTATCTCTTAGCTTTTATAGTATATACTATAGGGTTTAATATAGAAGCTAAAGACTAGCTAGGTTAAGTAGTACCCTATATCTCCTTATAGAGGGAGGTGTTATATAACTAATTAGTAAGTTATTTAACTTATTCTTCTAACCTCTCCTTTTTAGATAGGGTTAATATATATTTATTTTTAAGGGAGGTATTACTTTAAGATTTCTTAGGAGTATAAGGTACCTTAAGAGATAGATAGGAAGTAGGTCCTTCTAGGAGGGTGTTATTAATTAAGTCTTCCTTATCTAATTTCTTTCTATTAGTAAATAGGCTTTTAAAAGTAGCTAAACTAGATACCCTTCCTTTACCTTTATTTAATATTTTATAGTTAATAAGAATAATAAATCTTTTCTTTAGGGGGGGGTTTAGTTATAGGAGGATATTAGCTTTACCTCTAATTCCTCTAGGCTTTTAGTAGTCTCTAGGTCTTTACCTTAATATAATCTAACGCGATTTTTCTAAAGGTAATCTAGTACTACTTATAGGTCTAGAAGTCTAAGCCTATAGGCTTTAGTTATTAGAAGTTCTAATAGCTATTCTAACTATAGAGTTACAGGGTTAGATAGCTACTAGAACTAAATTAGTAGCTTAAAATAATAATAAGTGTAATATTCTTAAATACTATTACTAGCTAGGATAATATTCTTCTTATAATATAATAACTTAGGTAGGTAGGGTATCTAAAAGGTATCCTATATAACTTAAAGGTATATAGGAGTGCGCGTCTATATAGAAAAGGATAAGATTCCTACACCTATAGGTCTTATATAAAAGGATAAGAAGAACATGCCTATTCTAACTATAGGCGAGCTGTTCTCTATATATATTAGTAAGTCGGGCCTTTATCAGGCCTGACTTGGCATGGAACAATGGGCAGGCAATTCTGCCTTATTGTTACACCCAGGGTCTGTTTCGACATGCCGTCTCTTGTTTGCGGACGGACGGATATCGTGGCATGGCCGTCATCCGTAACTGGCATGACTCTGCGCTGGCCATCCGACAATCCTGGCAGGTTCATTCTTTTTTTAGCGAAGTTGGCCAGCCTCGCAATCGCCGCAACCGATTCCTGATTCATGCGGCGGGTATCATAAGGCCCGTTGATAGATGGCAATCTTGATGGGGTGGACGTCATGATCGAAGCACGGACTGGCCATGGAAGGAAACATGATGGAAACGGAGTCAGATTGCCTGAGCATGTCGCACCTTGCTCAAACATCCTGTCCTGTTATTTTAGCCATCCTTGCGACTGCGTTTGTGTGCGGGGACCAACACGAATCCAACACACTATGGGAGGATCTCATTGCATGATACCGACATACACGTTTGTACCACAGCAAATTGCGACCAGCGATCTGTTCTGTCGCTGCCCCGGCGCAGGAAAAAAAATGCACTCTCATAAACGGAGAGCGGTTCTACTGTGGTGCAGCAAGACCGGCCGACTAGTCTGACACTAGGTGATGGGGGATGATCAAGTAGATTTAACTAGAGCTCCGTTACCAGCTATGTGTCCAATCTCGCTAGTCAAAGAAAGAGAAACAACATAGTGAGTGTCATGAAGATGACAGCGCTAAATCGAGAGGTCCGCCGCCAGGGTATTTCGTTGAGTTCGGATAGAAAAAAGGAGCGATTGTAGGGAAAGAAAATGAAATGGTGCAAGGACGAACCATGAGGAGATCGCTCTAGATACAGGCGCTTGCAAGCAGATCCCAAAATACAAATTATAAATGTTAATGATGATGAGTGCTGACGATCAGTACATGTAAGCTTTTTGCTGTTCTATATCGTGATCATAACGACTTTTGTCCGTATCGCCACTTATCGGTCTTACCGATAGCATCTGGTCATGTACTGAACCAGATGTAGATGCCTTGAACTCATCGCTTTCGGTTAGTATGCGAGTGTCCATCTCGACCTGATCAATCACAGGAGTGACCTTCTCCTTCCTTCGGCTGTTCTGTGAGCCATAGCCGTATCTTGAGCCATTGTTTCGTGCGCGATTCGGGAAGAGCAATGGCTTGAGCGCTGGGATACAACCGCAGATCACACCGACATTGGTTTCCACGGCTGTCCAGACCCAGATTTGGTACCCATGCCATGTCGCGTCATAGGTTTCAAAGACGGTGTAATGAACCCAATAGGCGCGGAAGCTACTGGCGACGACGATGACACCTCCAACGGAGAAGAGGACGACGAGGCCAAGACGTTGTGTCCAAGGCAGCGAGAGCGAGAAGAGTGTGGGGATCGGCAGTGCGTATATCATAAAGTCTGTCACGACATTGAGGACACTTTGGACCACGAGTGGAGGCCCTTCTGGTATACAGTCACGATGATCCGCCGAGAAAGTCCAGTAACTCGAGATTGGGCTGGGACAGTCAGCACGTGGAGCAAATCTTTTTGTGAAACAGGGGCACCTACATGCATTGCACCCACAGCGCCACCAAGAAGACAATGAAGGCGGCGAAGACGAGAGCAAAGGTTGCCCACACTAATTTCCGAAAGAGGGACTTCTCTGGTGCTATTCGAAAATAGGATACGAGAATAGACATCTTAACTGTACTAGACGCGAGCACAAAAAGTGTTTGGCCGGCAATGGAAGCCTGGGTGATGGTCAGTCCGAGCTGGTGGCAACACGAGTCACACAAGGGCGTACCTTGCGTCCAGTTTGTAGTTCAGGAAGGGTGAGATCCCAGACGTGCTTGTCCCACCCATACAGCTGCGTTGCTAGAATCACGAGCACCGTGGTACCAATCGAGAATATCTATGCAGGCGTTAACGTGGTTACTCGGCCCCTCCGAACAGACCCAACGTACCATGGCAACAATCATCAAATAGTCATCCCACCAGGACTTATTGAGCCAGCTAATTCGGATCCACATGCGCAGAAAAACTACGATCATAGCAATAGGCAGCAGTGTGAGCTCTATGATCATTAAGCCGTTTCCCCGAGTGTCTGGGTCGACATAGTTTGGCTTCGGCCATGTCTTGCGGACGGATGGCGGTGCTGATCTCATGTTGATGGTATGTGGGCAGACGAAGTACCGGGAAGGTACTTCAGTCGAATCTGATGATTGAGTGAGGAAGCAAGCATCGCTGCCATACCAAAAGCACGGGACTGGGGATTGATATAAAGCTACGTGGGAGGACAGGGTGCTTTTCTCCTTGAATTCAGCTCTGTCGTGCACAAGCAAGCCTCGAAACCCTGTGGACTCGCCATCGTTTTGGGGGGGCATGTTAGGCGAGGTCACAAAATGCCTGTCCTGGAAGCACGAGTGGAACACTCACATGGCAGCGTGCTAGGAGAAGGTTGCGGGTACTGGATGTGAGGGCGGCTTCGCCCATCCACCCGCATGGGTCCAGGTTAACCATTGACTCTGGCCGTCAGCAAGCTCGCGGTGTGATTTGCAGCAGCATCTACCCTGGAGTAGGCTGTGGGTCTAGTAAAAGACCAGGTACAAGGCAGAGTTGTTGACGCGGCTTGTCAATGGAGAGACGGAAAATGCGACTCTGGCGAATGGTAAGCCTGATGCCGGGGTAGCTGAGTAGTCGCACGGTGCGCGGGCGTCTGGAAGCCGGCCGCAGCACAAGGTGATTCGGAGACGACGATAGGAGCCGATCTTGTGGCATGGCCGGAGGCGTTACTAGAACATCCACTCTACTCAACAATTCCACATAAGGAGCTGGAAAAATACATCGGGCGTGATGCGATTGTCGCCTGCGGTCTTGAAGGGGGACTGATGTGTGCCGTTGAAGAGTGAATAGAGTAGTAAGCCGGCACTGTGCGTTTTTCATTCCGGCTGGTGTGGCAAAGTGGCTCGGGAGCCGGGAGAGCGATCACTCACAAGGGGCTACCCCGGATAAATTATCGGCGCTAGTCAACCACCCTTCATCGAATAACCTGGCAGTATCAACCGTTGATGTGACAGTGGCCTCTTCGAGCCATGGAGCAGAAGGCGGAGGCCGAATATCTGCTATCAGTCGCCGCTGCTCGTGGGCAGCCACCCATCCAAACTGTGCTACAGTCTACTACCGTACTCGCTATTGACAGAGGACAAAAGCTCCAATCAAGGCCCGTGTGCGGTACTACCTGCCTATCGCCCGTCGTCAGCATCGTGTCCCCTTGAGAGAAGGTAATCGAATTACACGGTAAGCGAGCTCCCCAAAATGGTCTGCCCTAATATACACTGGAACGCCGTGACGGAGGCAGCTGCATTCCGGCTTGATGGATCCAGTAAGATGATGGCAGATGGCACCATAGCTACTCGGAAGTTCTTCTCCTGCCACCGCGCGATTGGTGCTGGTCTCGTGTAAGCTGCAAGACGCGAATTCTCCTCATGTCTTGAGCGGCCAATCGAGCTGGGCAAAGGTGATTCGTCCGTTATATCACAAGCCCCTCAAGTCAAACTACAGCGGGCCGGCTTTATACTGACGTTGGCAAATAATAGATTTAAACACTGACGTGCAAAGTTACCACTGTATTATGTATCAATACTACACAGAGTGTGAATAAGCATATAACATACAAGGCCTTCTTCATTTCTTGGAATAGTCTAGCAGTTTTTTATAATCTCTTCAGTGTCATCTATTCTTGTCAGACTATTGCAAGTCACCGAAGCTCTACATGTTATACTGCTCGATTTTGAAATTACTATTAGCTCCCTAAACCGGCCTGGCCGCGCACATTCAAGCCCATAAACACCATCTTTGTCTGCCTCTGCCAGGAGGATGGCACGGGGAAGTGAATGAAACAATAGGGGCTGTTGATAAAGCTAGACAAAGCCGGTTGGCACATGATCAGAACTACCGCCTCGAACACTGGAACAAATAATTATGATAGGCCATTACATTTCGACTTGAAATGATCGAGTGCTGGTTGAAGAACACTGTGGACGTAAGATTCTGTTGATGCTTTTCAAAGCGACATCACTAACGCCTGCAGATCTTTGCTTCCTCAATGGTTGGGAACGTATAAGATCATGACGTTTCAACCGTGACGCCATGAAAATCGTTTACCTTATGTTGTATTTCCTGATTCTTGTATTAGGATGGGATGTGTGTTCTTATTTTTTTTTGGCTCGGGAGAGGGAATGAATATTCATTTTTCCCGTGTGCAGCGAACACCTACCGGTACTAAAGCAGAATAAACGCCAAGATGACCGACCCATTATGAAATGCAAAAAGTTTTTCCAAGGACGACGTGATACATACCTAGCATACACACATGACCTTAAACATGCTAAGTGATACTTATCTCCATCAACACCACCAACACCAAACTAGCGTATGTTATTTATATCCCTCGCCACCAAACATATTACCTACCACGTCCACGGCACAACACGGTAAGTATACTCGTGACACTATAGCCAGCATTAATATTCCCGCATGTCCAGAAACACCCACGTTTTTGTGTTCCTTTGAGCATGGGTGCGGTTGTTACAACGTGGGTGGATGAACAGGTATGGACTGGTTTAGCTGTTGCGTGCGTGTTTTTTTGTGGGGGTTTGGTTGTGGATGGGGTTGTGTGGGAAGGTTGTTGGGTTGGAGGGGGTTGTCGGGGGGTATGGTTTGGACTTGGGCTGGCAGCTTTACCTACATGGCATGTGCGGCATATGGCAAATTGCATCTCTACACCAACCAAAAAATGCAGTTCATTTCACAAACACAATATAGTACACTGCCTAATCCATCCCCACCCACACTCCAACCCCTCACTCCCCAAACCCCAGGCTCCCTCCCACAAGAAATACAGCACACAAACATCCGCCCCTCCACAACCCCAGGGTCCCCCGAACCCGCAGACCCAGACCCAAACCCCCGCGCCCCCAGCGCCTGGGTAAATAACGCAGCGACGTTGGGGTTACTGTTGGAATCGCATCTGCGCGATTTCATTGGCCGGACTTTAATTTCATGGGGTGCGGAACTTGCGGTACGGTAGGTAGCGGGGGATAGGTAGGTAGGTACTGTAGGTAGGTAACTGCGGGTGTTTACTGGTAGCTATTCCGATAACCCACCCACCCGCCTGCAAACCCGTCACGTATTGTGGAATTGTTGGGCATGGTATGCTGGAAGTATCTGGCGTATCACACTAGCTGAAAGCCAACTATTTGTACATATATACGTACTCTCTACTACCTATAGGTCCAACAAGCTAAACCTTTAATTCCAAACATATTCTACTCACCCGATCCCCAACCCGCCGCCCGGCACAACCACCTCGGCTACCGTGGGTAAACTCTTCAATGTTCCAAAGTTAACCTTGAGACTTTGAAACTAGCGCGCGCGCCTCGTTTCGGGTTTCTTGTTCTTGCGAGCGCGAGCGGGACGGGGACGGGGATCGGAAAGGGATGGTATCTGGGTTGGGAGAGATTGGGGTGGTATGGATGGAGGAGGGGATGTGGTATTTAGTCCAAGGGACGGGGGGAGGCTTGAGTGTGGGGAGGTGCTAGGTTGAGGGCTTAACAGGAGGGCGTGGGCTTATACTTACTATTTCGTGTTCACCAGCAGCGGTGATTTCTGGGGGGGTGGGGGGGGGGTTGCGAAGAGGAGTGGATAGTGTTGATGCTGAGAATAGTATTGATACTGCCATCGACATTGATATTGATATTAATACTCCTCCCATCACACATCGTACACAAGCAACCACTAGAACCAACCCCCAATGTGAAAAAAAAAATCCTGAACATCAAATGCATTCGTAATCTTCATCCATCGTGCTTCGTCATCATCGTCATCAATCCATCTATCCATCTATCCATCTACATAGTATAACCTGCCTTGCTATGGTGAAATACCAGCCCCGATTGGACCAGACCAGACCAGACCAGACCAAATCAAACTTGAACTAGAGCATGTCAATCGGGAAACAGCCAGTACTTCCCGAAAGAAAAAGAAAAACAAGGACCGAGGTCGGGGTGGAAAATATGTAGGGATAGCTTTTTGGGGGGTATAACAAGGGGAGGGGAGAGGTATCAAGATGCAGACGGGAGCCGGGAAAGGGGCAAGTGGGATATAGGGAGTGCAGGGGGGAGGAGAGCAGAGTGGGTAAGAGGTGTGTGGATGACATCATCTCAGCCCAGCTCAATGCACTTCAGCCTCAGCCTCATGACAGCCGCATGCATGCAGGAACGGAAAAAGAAGCGTGTAAAACAACAAAAAAATTCTTTGCCCAACAGGATGTGCACTTGTCAGGCCAAGCATCTCACACTCCTCTTCGTACTCCTCTTCCTCATACCCGCAATCTGCCTTGTCCCCGTACCCGCACCCACAGCGACCCCCGCGACCGCACCCCTCGACTTGGCAACGGATAGTTCAGGCAAAAACCTCGTGATGCCGCACAGCGAGCACGGTTTCCCAAACTGCTCCTTGTGGGCATTATGAAAGGCTCGTGTGCGATAGAGTTGCAGGGCGAGGGCTTCGACGTCGATGCGGAGGAGCCAGCCGGGGATACCGCGGATATAGGGGGACGAGGATATGGCAGCGGGCGAGATGTGATATTGAGAGGAAACTTCTTCGATTGTCTGTGTTTTTGAAAAGTCAGTTCTTCGTCCTCTTCTGCCAAAGGCTGTGACTGGGTCAAGCGTGGGGTTGGAAGGAAAGGGAAAGGGGGGTGCATGACGTACGAGGGTTTGTCTGTAGAAGCAGCTCATGCATGCGGTCATGATTCTTTTGACTACGAGGAAAGGGTAGCAGTCCAGCACGGCGTAGCAGTAGACACAGGTCCGAGGGGCGTGCTGTAACCACAGACGGCGGTAGACGATGGAGCTTAGATCTGGGTAGACGGAGCGAGAGCCGTGCTTGTCGAATTGAGCAAAGGGGAGGTTGAACATGGTGTCGTTGCAGGCGCGCACGAGGTGGGAGCAGTAGCTTTCGACAAAGTCATTGCAGCGCCGTGAGGTCAACGATAGTGCATTGAAAGGGTGGGGAAGTTGGTGGAGGGAGAACAAGTCAGAGGCCCAATTGGGAATCACCGAAGGCTGTGTCAAGTCTTCGTTGCCTTTGATGGCGTATTTGGCAGCAGCAGGGAAGTCATGTGCGCTCTGGGCTTCGGTGAAGCCTGGGAGATGGGAGCGGGGATGGGTAAGATGAGACAGGATTTGATTGAAGATTTCGACAGGAAGTGCCTCGAGCTTGCTGCTTTGTGGGATACAGGTTGATTTACCCCGCGGCTGGGATGTGCTATGTTGGGCGCGGAATTGGGCCAAGGCGCGGTGTGGTGTTGGTTGCACGAGAGGATGGTGCTTTTCGTACTTCGTCTCCACCGGCGAGACCTTGTCGGCTATGTTGGTGGTGTCGAGGTCTAGCATGGGAGAGTCCATTGATGGTACTGGTAATTCGATGATGGCTACCATTTACAAGGTGGAGAAGCAGAAGAAGGAGAACGAGAACGAAAAGGAAAAGGACAAGGAGGGAGAGGAAAGCCGCAACGACAGAGAGGCAAGATGGAAGATGCAGGAACACGTCTTACCTGGGTGGCCTGGAGGAGGCCCAAGGTTTTATGAAGGGCTTGCATGCTGCGTATAATTTGGGGATTATGTATTTTCCTACACCGACGAAAAAGCGACTTGTCGAACGGGCGCGGGCCATGGCTGCATCCGCCAACGAGGCTTTCGGGATGCCGAGTGGGAGGCTTCTATGGCCTGTGAGTGGCTGGATTGGCTTAATTCTTCGGCTGGCTGCAGGCCGGGAGCGTTGCATGACATTCTTTCGCACATCACACATGCGGGGAGGAAGGCCGAATCTTGGAAGGCGGGTGGAAGCAAATGCGCTGATGCTGATCGCCCGGCGCAGGCTTTGAGGATTGGCGAGGGCAGGACAAGCCAATACGATTAGCTGATCCTGGCACGATGCCAACTCTACCAGAGAGGGTAACTCGAGGGTAGCGAAGAGTATGTACTTGGGTACTTGGGTACTTGGGTACACTTGGGTATTTGGCTACATAACAGCAGAACTTGCAGGGTGTGCTGTAGTGCATGGTGGGCTGGGCTGAAGACTGAACAGGCGACGCGGCGACTTGTCTCCGCCCACGGCCACGGCCACGCCCACCGACCTTGTCCGGAGTGAGTGCACGAGAGAAACAGAGGCACGCAGCCGTAGAACAGACGAGAGAGGCTATGTGTTGTGGATGATGCTAGGATGCTGGTGGACTCTGGTGTGGACTCTGGTGTAGCTAACAGTAAGCTGATTGTGCACTGGTGGTGGTGGTGGAAGCAAGTGCAAGTCAGCGTTGCATGTGCGGCCATCTCCGTAGCGAGCGCCCAGAATGGCATAGCGCCATGTATTCCCTCCCCACCTCCCATTGATGTGCCCACACAACTCCCCCCCCCCCCCCCCGTCGACGGTTGAAGCACGATTGCCCGCCGCCCAGAGACATCCGCCCAGACATTCCGCCCGAGCAACTGGGGACCGACACTGCCTGTCAGTGCTGCCCAGTGTCAGTGCCAGTGTCAGTGTGCGCGAGCGGGACCACGAATCACCATGGCTGTCCACGCCCCCGAGGGACACGTCGGCCCCAGCGACGCCCGCCCGCCGTCTGTGCAGGGCATCAAGTCCGATCTTGTCGTTGTGGGTGGTGGTGGTGGTGTCGCTGATGCGACGGGTACTGCCAATGGGGCTGCTACTACCGGTACCGTTCCTGAGGCCAGACTGCACGACCACAACCACAACCACGATCACACCCACCAATCCCCCTTACCTACATACCCTGACGCCACTGCCGCCGACGACGATGACGATGATGAGGGCGGCCCCTGGGACTCGGAATCGCTGTATGAGGAGATCCTGGACGAAGTCGAGGCCTTTGAATACTCGGCCGATGGTGCGCCCTCCTCCTCTGTTGCTACTATGCGCCACTCTTCCATGACATGCAGCGGCTGACACTATCGCACTATAGGCACAGAAACATGTACCGCTGAAGAAGCTCGTCACCTGCGCCAGCGCCTGCACGAGGTGGGCGCCAGCCAGTTCGTCATGGAAAACATCACCAGTGACAAGATGACGGCCCGCAAACTGTGCACTGCCTTTGGCGTCCGCATCCCCAAGTTCCTCGAGGCTGCCCCCGACGAGAACTTCTACCAGCTGCTTGGCCTGGCCATAAACAGAGAGCTGAACAAGCGTCCACGCCTCGACCAGTACAAGACCATCGACGACGCCGCGCAATTGCTGCGAGAGCGCAAGAACATCATGGTCATCACCGGGGCAGGCATCTCGACGAGCCTCGGCATACCCGACTTCCGCTCCAAGAACACCGGCTTCTACTCGCGACTCCTGCAAATGGGCTACGACGAGCCCGAGCAGGTCTTTGACATCCACAATTTCGATCAAGATCCTCGCACCTTCTATGCCCTCGCCGGCGACATCATCCCCGACCTGGAAAAGTGGACGCCCACGCACGAATTCATACGACTCCTGCAAGACAAGGACAAGCTCCTCACCAACTACACCCAGAACATTGACAACGTCGAAGCCCACGCCGGCATCCGCAAAGACAAACTCATCCAATGTCACGGCTCCTGGGCCACGGCCACGTGTCGAAAATGCAAATTCAAAGTCCCTGGCGAAGATATCTTCGACTCGGTACGCGCCCAAAAGCCTGCAGAATGCAAGCGTTGTATGGACGAAATCGCCAAACAACAGCCCGGCAAGAAGCGCAAACGGAACTCCAACGGCACCGCCAACCCTGCCCGCAAGAAGCGCTCGAGCGACGAAGACTCCGACTCAGACGGTGCCTACGACATGCCCGAGCCAGGCATCATGAAACCCGACATCACCTTCTTCGGCGAACAACTCCCCAACGACTTCTTCGACCGACTCAAGGACATCGACAAGGACCTCGTCGACCTCGTCATCGTCATGGGCACCTCGATGAAAGTCGCACCCGTCTCGGAAATTCCAAACTTTTTACCTCGCGACGTGCCCCAGATTTACATCTCGCGAGATCCCATCTACCACATCAATTTCGACATCAATCTCCTGGGTGACTGCGACGTCGTCGTGGCCGAGCTGGCGAAGCGTGCGGGTTGGGAACTCCGCCATGGCATGATTCCTGAGGGGCAAGGGGTCGAGGTCAAGATGGTGGATGAGGCCGAACATGTTAGCGAGGTGAGGGTGGTTGCCGGGTTGGTGACGACAACCAACGGCTTGGGCGTGGCCAAAGAAGAGACTAGTTGAAAGGTTGGGGTTTGACAAATACGTGCCAAGGATAGGGCTGATTACTGACGATTGATGACATCTAGATGTATAGCGTACAATGTGGTCATAATATGAAGCTTTTTTGGTGTCCCAGGGGTGGGGAAGAGGGGGAGATGAGTCTTGTTGTCAGTGGGCTATGTGTTGCCATCTTGTTCGACCTTTTCTCATTTTTTTTACTTTACTTTCTACTTTTATACTTTGTGATTTTTGCTATGTGCTTGATTGGGCGATTGCATGTTTCGAGGCGTTTTTTGGAAGATTTTCTTTCGGTTTGGTCTTGGGTGGGAAGTGAGGAAGGGGGATGCATGTATATATATGTATATATATATACAGACCAGACGCATACACATACACGCATACTCTTTTCAAGCTCTTCTAGTCCCGTCCTAACATCGACACCCTAATACGAGGCTGTCTATGTTCTAAGAAAAACATCATGGTCTATATTTACGCCTGTTATGGAGTGTAAACGTTTTAGTATTAGAAAAAATTGTTTTGCAACGCACATGTAAATTCTCGATGTTCATGTCTTCACAAGACCAGCTGATGTCGGAGATAACAGCACTTGTCGGATATAACTATCAACGAACATGGTCACATGCACACGCGACGACGAATTTCTCACGACAACGCGAGGTCTACAACACCACAATATACGCGAACACCGATTCCATTGACCACCTACGCATTCTCATCAGGATATACGGATAGTGAGCCTAACAAGTAGTGCCAAAAAGTCATTGCCGGCATAATGCTTGATATCCATCGCAAAGACGCGGGCCCTAATACAAAAATATATTTCTCACACAGCATACTACCTACATACATCGACCCGCAAAATGTATCTATGAAGAAGAAGCCATTCTCTGCATTCGGTGAGCAGAAATTCAGCTACATCCTGGACCTGATCTTACCTGAGGAAATTTATGACCTTGTACAGCACGAGCTGGACAATGTGGACGGCGCAGCTAGAGCGCAATATGCCAGGATGCACATCAAAGTTGGCGATCTCCTGGAAACCGAGTTTCTGAACAGCTATATCAAGCAGGGCAACGTTACGATGCTGAGTGAAGGTCGTCCCCTGGTCGACAATCGATTTGAGCTTTACGATGGCACGTTGCGCATGGAGCTCAACCGGCCGACGTATGAGCGGTGTGGCCTTCAGGGAAAGCCCATTGAGGATGGAGGCAAGAAACATCAAAAGCAGCGTTGGATCGTCGAGTATGACTTGAAAGCTCCTTCGATGAAGCATGGCGGGAAAGCGTTTGGAAGGTTACAATGGGCGTGCAAAAATGTCCTCGATCAATCGCTGACTTGGCTATTTTACAACTTCAATCCTTCGTTTGCTGAGTCGCTGGCAGATGGTAAGGAGGCTGTTTCAAAACACTCCCCCTGGATCCACAAGATCGAACCGAGCACGACAAGGCTGGACAACGTCCTGGTTCCGCAATGCAAAATCGGCCATCTGGACGACTTGTACGATGACGAAAATGCTGTAGATCTGCTCGAATGGCTTCACTTGGTGGGCTTGACCTCACCTCGGATCAAACAAGGAGATAATATCGATCCGCATTTGTCGCGCTACGAGGTGCCAGATCTGGGACACGGGATCGCTGCAACAAACATGGTATGCGTAAAGTGGTCAGGCTTCATTCCACCCGCATTCATGCGCGACTTGTTCATCGCAATTACAAGAGTAGCCTTCAAGGGTAGGAACAAAGCCAGGGGAGACCCAGATATCGAGATGGAGGGCAACAATGAGCCGGCGAGCGCTGTTGTGGCGAGAGCATGGTTCGCCATGAGTGCGCAAGCTTTCGGTGGGAAGCAGTCATGGACGACAATGCATTTCCAAGGAGGGGAGACGCTAGTATGGGAAACAGAAAGCTGAAGTAAAATATGGTATTGGTTTAGGACGAAGCTGGCCATGCTTTATGTCTTCGGAATAATTGGCACCGCCCAGCGGCCTGAAACGACAACAGAATATCAAGACTACGATGGAAGCATGCCGCCGAAGTACTCCTGCATATTACGTACACACAGTAATCAAACGCTTCTCTATCAGGTGGAGCTGTCACTGCTATCCCTATAGTCAGATTTCCGAATCCAGCACATCCCCGAATCCGTACAGGAACAGATCAAAAGGCTATAGCTGCAGCATGGGATATTCCGCTTTGCAGGGGATGGAGTAAGAATCAGTCTAAACGAAAAAACCAATGCGAGTTTTACGGCATTGTGCATACGCCTGGCATGATACTCCACAGTCCCGCAGAAGAGCAGATAGGCGATCTTGGAGCTTCTCAGCTCAAGTCCCCATTTGGAACTTGTCTTTGGCGAATTGCGATAGCCTTAGTATGCTGACAACCAGACATGGACGTCTAACTCGTCTCACTATCGCCGACCGTACAATCACAACTCTAATCTCCACTGCGAGATCGACCCCATCTTCGTCCTCTAATCATAAGCCGCGGAGCTCATGCAACCGAACATATCGTGAACCCTCCAAGCATGTATGGCGACACCAACGCTGCAAGCCGCAGAACCTAGCAGAACTAAATCCACAGCTCATGGCCGGAATACCATGGTTTAGTATCTCATGAACCTGGATATGCCCGCATTCGTCCCTGCATCTACCAAGCGTGCACGTGGCTGCTGGCTTTCGGATGGAATCTACGCGACGATAATGCAATGTCTGCTATTGTGGGCCTACAGTGGATGCGAGTAATTAGTGTACAGTGAGAAGTTGTGCCACTGACGAAGTTCTATAGTTGCGACTTGTCGGATAGGGCTCCTGTCGGTAGTTGCTGTCTCCCAGAAGGATGCAGTTTCCCGCATACAGACAGTAGGCTGGCCGGATATGGCAGTGATGGTTGGACAGTTTGGAATCGGCCATGACAGCAGAGAGGAAAGAAGGATGATGTATCAACTTCAGAGTCATGACATAGTTGAGGCACACCAGTCACGTTCACTCGTGTCTCCGTTTCTTGTTCTCCCCTACAAAATTCACAATTCGAGCAGTTCTCCACAGGCTACTCTATTGACAGGTCTACTATGCGAATCCTGGAGCCTGGAGAACAGCCATGACGTTGCCGTCCGATGATGACACATTTCGAGCCATGGAAGCGATTAGAGCAGGTAAAAAAGGCTTCAGCTTTCGTAAACGATTACGAAAGAATACGACAACGATCGTGTGATGTATTCATTTTCTCTTCCAAGAGCCAGACGCTATCACCAATTCTACATATCTCACTAGAGTTTCCATGCGTCGCGGTCGTACCGATCTGCTACTCTAACTTAAGCCCGTCGCTTACCGGTAACTTACCTACCCTACCGGTACCGGTACCGGTACGGTACCCTTAAGCGTCCTCTTGCTGTAGGTAACCCCCATGCAACTTCTCACAATTCCTTTCTCGTACATTCACCTACATTATCTAACAGCATGCCATTCCAGCCCACTCTGACGCAGAATGAGGTGGTAATTCGGTCCACCCTTGACGCTTGTAAGCTGCAGGGTGGGCGCATACGAGGCTGCATTCGATCCTACGCACCTCTGCACCTGCATGCTTGCCGGCGACCTGGCGACCTGGCGTGCAGGAGTCGGGATCTCGCAACCCGGGTCACCATGGGCAAGCGCGGACTAGACTCCGGGGCTGTTTACTGCTGAGGCCATCTGCTACATGTTGTATTTTCGACTCCTCTGTTGGATGTAGTAGCTTAGCTGAGCTTTTACGCCGCGCAGGTACGACGGAGAGTGGTGAAGAGCTGAGACATGGACAGTACCGGTACGGTGTGGTGTACCTATACCGGTACCGCTGCCGCTGGATTGTCAGAGCTGGGGGGTACGAGATGGAACATGGAAGCTGACAACTTGTGGCAATACCGAAGCATGTTACTGTGTGTCATTGGTGCTAGCGCTTCAGCAGGCATTCACAGCATCTCTTCGCCTTCTCATTGCCTCGCTAAATCCCCATCCTTTCACACGTCACGAGGTCCGACCTCCATGTCATCCGGATCCCGGGAATACGATCGAGTAGAAAGAAGGAAAGAAGGAAAGAACCCCTACCAAGCTCAGCTGGTGACTCCCCTCCACCATTCCCCTTTCTCCTTACTCCAAAATCGCACTTCCCTCTTGTCTGCCTTGCTGCCATTTCACTCCCTAACCATCACCCGCCAACAAACGCCAGCACATCAGGAACGACCCATTTTCCACGCCCTCGCGCTGTCCACAACTTCGGAACTCGGTGAGGAGATCCATACTTACCCTGTCGTCGATCAAAATAGCTACATACATACCCTACCTAGCCCACCCCACTCCACTCCACTCCACCCCCACTACAGCCATGTTCCAGCACGCCTGTGCCCACATCACAAAACCACGATGCTGCACGACAAATAACCACGCGCAAGGTCCCACGCGTTTTCTCGTCGACGTGCTCGGACGGGTGGGGGCCGGGGGGGGGTTGGACATGGCTAGGCGCCAGCGCTCTGGTCTGTGTCACGTTGTGACGTTGTACCAAGTTGTGCTGCGCCAGCTTTTTTGCGCGATTGGAATTGGCATGGGAGAGGGGCGGTGGTGCGTGCAGGGGGTTTTGGGGTCAGCAATGATTATCATCATTTTCTTGGGGGGAGGGTGAGGTGGGAGGTGTGTGGCGCAGTGTGGGCTTTGGGGGGGGTTTTTTTTAGACAAGAGCTTGTTCTTATTCCCTCGTGTTTGAAGTTGAGAGGTCGTTTTGAAATGGGGTTGGCTGAGGTACCGGTAATGCTGCGTATGGTTTTCATCCTGGGTTTTGTTTGAAAGCGCACGGCTGTTCGGGCTTTGCAGGTCAGAAGTAGAGCGACTTGTGTTTTTCTGTGTGTGTGTGCTATGGTACGGATCATGTTGTGCATGCTTCAGCCTTCGAGTGCTTGGTCTGCAAGCTGTGTTCATGTTGATGTTGTAGAGAATGTTGATGTGTGCTATGTATGTCTATATTACGCGCCTTACATGCAAACAGAAAGGAATGGCCAAGATATCAAAGTAACGATGTTAGCAACAGGAAAGAAATAGCCTCCCCCTTTACATAATCTCCGCAGAGAATTCATAGACTAGAGTCTCCAGAAATGTCCACCTTCCTTCTTACATGCAGTCAGAGTGGCGGAAGGAGTCACTGTCGTCGTCTTGGTGAAAGTAGCACCCAGCGTGATAATATTGGTCGTAGTAGCATAGCCAAACTGCAACTTTGTCTTCGTCGGTGTTGGCAGCGTGACTGTGTTTGTGAAGATGCCAGAGAGAACAGTGGGTGCGGGAAGAGTAGATGTAGTAGTTGCAGTAGCCAGCACAGACTCGGTTGTTGTAATCGCTGCAGCAACAACGGTAGTCGTAGTGGTGACGGGGGTATCGAGAGTCGTGGTCGTGGTAGGCGCATCAGGAGCACGGCGCTGAAGGTGGTTGCCCTCTGCGCGTCTTTGCTTGGCGGCCTCGACACGGGCGCGTGCCCATTCGTAGTCGACCAGGCGGTCAGACTTTCGCATGAATCGATGCATCTTGGGGATGATGGTGGGCGTGACGAGAGCAGCGGGGTGGAGGAGCGTTGGCGAGTACTCGCATGGCTTGTCGGGCTTTGCGTTGTGGCCGGGAGTTGTGCAAGTTGCTGTGACAGTCTTGGTGGTCTTGCTGTTTTGGATGGTCAGGGACAGCTTGGTCTTCGTCATGGTCTTGGTGGATGTTGTGGTGACTGCATTGGGTGTAATGGTCTTGGTTTTCTTTGCTGTTCCAGTTGGGACAATGACAGTTGAGAAGGGGCCGGTTGTAATGACATCTGTTGAAGTAGTCGTAATGGTTTTTGTTTCAGTAGGCGTGGTAAGGATGCTAACTGTCATTGTCGGTGTCATGGTGGTGGTAATTTGAGTGCCAACAGTGAGATACAAATCTACCATGGTCAGCAAAGCCTATCGTACCTACATACAAGTTGTAAAACTGACCTCTCTGCCAAGCAAATGGTTGGCCATCGTCGCCATTATTTCCCAGTATGAGTAGTAGCCAATGGCCAGACGTCATTTGGTTTTTCTTGATGGGACATGTTGACAGTTGATTGCTGTTCTCTGGGACCGTGGGTATTTGAGAACATAGATACTCATCATTGTCAGGGTCGACGAAAAGAACATCTGCTATATCGTCGTTGCATCCTTGAAAGTAGGAGACGGCAGTGAATTGCTCGGTCGACTGAGAGTTGATGAAGTAAGATCCCTCATCGACAAAGTCTACACCAAAGGAATAGCAGATGGCGTCAGAGTCGGATCTCACAAGTGAAAGCGAGGTGGCAGCCAAAGCGAGGAAGAATGAACGAGAGAACATGTTGAATTTATGACTTTGAACCGAAAAGTATCAGATAATTACTTGGATATGTAAATACATCCTTCTCGTCTTGGACGGGGGCAATGCAGTCTTTTTGTATATCACGAAGCCATGGACCTGAGCGAGTACACCCTACCACGTCTTACCTTCGAAGTGACAATCGGATCAGTACCGAGAAGACTCGTACTTGGTAGCCTGATCGAAGATGCAAATAGTCGCGGCTATCGTATCGCGGGTCATGGCCACCACCGAAGCGAGCTGTAACAGGATAGCACAAGTCGGCGGGATGTAAGCTTGTCGTCGTCGACATCAATTCGTAACATGCGCCCCATCAGTACTCAAGATGCTACTGCGCAGCCAGCAGTGCTTGCGATGAAAACATGGCCGTGAAGTGGAGAGGAAGCAGTGGCATGCGGCCGCTACCGAAGCCACTCGGGATGTGATAGGGACCGTGCAGCCATTCGTGCCAGCCACCCCTGTAGATCCTAGTGTTCACGTCACTTCCATCCTCCGGCCCCAACGTCCGCATATTCTTGCAGAACAGCCACCTCGCCTATGCCTTTGCCAGTCCTGATAGGCACGTAGGAGCAGGGCTAGGCAGTAGTGATGCTTCGAGAAAGCCCTTCTGCTCACTTTGTCACTGCCGCTCCGGCCCTTCCAGCCGATGATCGACGCTGACCTTGGTGTCTATATCAAGCAAATGCGATGCCAAACTCCAGACACATGGCCATGTCCTGGTTGGAGCCCTTGCTAGCTGCCGCTTCTTGGCTTGACATCCCAAGATCATGGAATGTTGGGCTGGTCTTACCTCTGAAGCTCGAGGCACATCAGAGATAGGTAGGCTACTCACTCAGGGTCCGTATCGGGTGCGACACGGCATGGCACTATTTGCTGCGAGACGCCGACACATGTACGAGTGTACGGTAAGAGGATGGATTCAATTACATGACTCTGCTCCGAGCTGGCCTTAGGTCCGACTACTCCGCAACTCTTCAGGTGGGTTTGTATCACCGCTTGGCACAGCTGATTAGAAACTTCAGCCTAGGTATGAGCAAGACTGAGCCTGGAAACAGTCGGCCTTAGGGACTTCCCATCAGCCCTATCCTGTAATCTTGTCTCACATTCACTCAGTGGATATGTGGCGTAGAGGTACGACTTGTCCATGCGAATCTTTGCACATTCTTCTGGACGGAATTGTTCGGAGCCTCGTCTGTCCCGACTCCCTGAGAACTCTGACCGATCCTACGCTTGGATTCCTCCCATTCACCTCGCCTGCTCGACTGATACACCTGTTTAACTGCAAGGCTCGCATACATCGGCTCTAGTCTACAGGCCACCTGTCGCCAAACATGCATACTCCTTGTGAGACCGCTGCATGCGTTTCACGAGTCTGGCTTGGCCCTCTCTTTGTTTCCCACGCGGTTCTCCTACCATTTGCTTGCTCATAGGGCAGAGCACAAGGGCGCATAGTCTTCCAATAAACCATGCATCTGCCAGGGGCCAGAATCGCGCCAAGCTTCATATGGATCCATCTTGTATTGCCAAATCCAAAAAGAGTGTACAAACCTACCATCTGGTGCACACAGTCAGTAACAAAAGTCAATGTTCACATTATCGATATGTTGACCTGAAGTACTGTCGTGCCCAGGCGCAGTCGGACTCCGTAGCAGGTTGAACTCCGCTTGTCTGTTCTTCCTGGCCTACATGCTCGTACAATCACGACCTGGAGCCTTACTATTCAGCCCAGCTAGAAATTCCGCCACAGCCTCGGCGTAAAGCCTAATTTAGAACGCTTCGCTTTCCCATGAGACCCGCGCCTGTATTGGCTGACGAGAATGTAGCCGCCTTAGTATGCTATCACTGTCGATCTTTCCATCCCGAGGACCTGGGATGCTTCCATGTGATGTCCTAGCCACTAGAACATTGTATTACAATGTTGTGGCTTTCGTTTTGCCCTGTCTCTAGACTATCGACTCTTGTGGCGTAGATCACCCGCTACACTGTATCCTCGGAGGACATGTACGAAGAGCACAGCCTTGAAAGATATGAATATAAACCATACCCTTCACTCTGATCTGTCTCTACCTGGCATCAGTTGGGCTCGGAACCTCTTTCTTATACATTGGCTTTCCCTTGAGTTTTCATATATATTGACAGACTACTTTCGCTACCCCTGAATCAACCTGTTGCATTGTCCAACATGTTATTCCACTCATTCATCAACTGGCTCTCCTTTGGCTCGATTGCCTTTGCTGGTATCATTCCACTACGGGCCGATCCGTTGCTATCCGATCGAGATCTTGAGAATCGACAAGATGGTGCATGCACGAATGGACCACGCACCCGAAACTGCTGGAGCAACGGATATAGTATCTCAACTGACTTCGATGCCAAAGCCCCGCCCGATGGCGTAACTGTTACAGTAGGCTACCCAAGTCACTCGGCTCTGAAGAATGCTGACCGGTCCAAAGTACAACTTCGAAATATCTAATGTCACAAAGCCCAACCCAGACGGAAGTGGTGGGAGCCGACCAATGATGCTTATCAATGGACAGTATCCAGGACCTCTCGTCCGTGCTAAATGGGGCGACACGATCGTTGTCAATGTCAAAAACAACTTGCAGGACAATGGTACTGGCATCCATTGGCATGCCGTCAGACAACTGAACTCTTGTCAACATGATGGAGTTCCAGGAGTCACAGAATGCCCCATTGCTCCAGGGAAAACTCGACAATATAGATTTAGAGCTACGCAGTTCGGTACATCATGGTATCACTCGCATTGGTCTGCTCAGTACGGTGATGGTATTGTTGGTCCCATGATTATCGATGGACCAGCAACAGCCAACTACGACGAAGATCTTGGTGCTTTACCACTGACGGACTGGTATTACACCCCTGTATTCACCCTCAACGAGGTAGCGCAACATTCCTTAACGGGTCCACCATTTGCAGACAACATTCTGGTCAATGGAACCCATGTCAACCTCAACGGCGGTGGTAGCTATGCCAGAATGAACGTTGTTAAAGGAAAGAGCTACCGCATTCGTATTATCAACACATCTGTCGATAATGTGTTTAGTGTGTCGATGGACAATCATCCTTTCACCGTAATAACCGCGGATTTTGTACGTTATTTTTACCTAAATTTCGATTATATATACTGACATATACAGGTTCCTATCAAATCGTGGGTTACCAACCAACTGACGCTCGCTATCGGTAAGACCGCATTGTCTTATCGCTCCTCCCTCCAGCTTGCTAAATGAATACAGGTCAACGATACGATGTAGTCATCAATGCCAACCAAACGGTTGACAATTATTGGTTTCGTGTATCAGTTGGAACAGATTGTGGACGGAACTCGTTCCAAGGAAAAGGCGTCCAGATGGGAGCTGTCCTACATTACGACGGTGCTCCCAACGGCAACCCTGCTCCCTCGACAGGCTTTGCTTTGAAAACATCGTGTGAAGACGAGCCGTCCGAAAAACTCGTCCCATTCGTGCCGAACACAGTCCCATCTTCTGTCGTTAGTAACGCCGACCAATTGACGGTTGAAAGCTTCCAGGACCCGAATACACGCCTTTTCAGGTGGCTCATTGATGGCAGTCCTCACATCGTAGACTGGAACAATCCTTCTCTTGAGACCGTCCTTGCAGGCTCCACAAACTTTGGAACGAATTCCAACGTACATGAAATGACTGGTAATGGGTGGTACCTATGGTGGATTCAGTCAACCGCAGCTGTCCAACTCCCCCATCCTATCCACTTGCACGGACACGGTAAGATCCCGAGTGTAAATACACGTAGATTCCACTAATATCTATCTAGACTTCTACATCGTCAAAACGGGCTCAGGGATTTGGGATGGAACTACAACTGGCTTGAATCTCAATAACCCGACCCGTCGCGATACTGCAACGCTTCCGAGGAATGGCTATATGCTCATGGCTTTCCCCGCTGATAACCCCGGCATGTGGATTATGCACTGCCACATTGCTTTCCATGCCTCGCAAGGACTCAGTATGCAATTCATGGAGCGCAAGGGAGAGATTCAGAGTGTCCTGGGCGACACGAGTGAATTTAAGAAAGGCTGTGATGAGTGGGATGGATACTGGTTTGATGGCAATCATCCCTACAATCAGACCGACTCTGGTATTTGAGTAACCCCTTCGCTTGTTATTCTCTTCTTCCAAACATTTTACATTTTGAATGAAGGAACTTTTCGTTTGTTTTCTTGGATGTCGGTAGTTGTGGTCTAGACGGGTTCTGATCGCAGCTCTTATACACTATAGCTTTTCTGGGAATTAGTTTCGTACACTTCGAGCACAAGCAATGTTATGCACAATTGATTCAAACACCATTTGAGAGGCCGATCTGGGCTCTACTATTACTGCTGTGGTAGATGTTTGGCGGGAGATTGCTACAATATCAGAATGGAGGACCAAGTGAGCTTTGACATGGCAAATATGGTCTACTATTAACCTTCTGAATATAAAAGCTCGATGCCTCTGCAATAAACAACGTTTTCACGCAGTTGTTCGGCCGCTGCGTTAAGGCTGGATGAATGAGATCTCTTGTCAGCCTAACGGGTATGAATATCCTACCCATCGCTACCTCGAGGGGGTACCGAATCGTCTTAATTATCATCTACTCAGATTGAAAATAGATGTCATCACAATCTACATGGTATGTCCTATCGTGAATAACCCCATTTCTGACCGCGGTGTGCTTCTGTTCATATCTTACCGAAAACAACGTGTCGGATGTCCGTCTCTCCACGATCCTATCATTTACCGTTCGCTACCAGAACCATAAGATGAGCCGATATAGAATGAAGTGAAGATGAAATCAAGTCCATGTGCGCTGTTTCGATTGCTCACTGTGCATCTCGTGACGACCCTGAGCACCTACCTAGCTTAACCCGAGCAACCGCACCTTCCCTTCGCCACCATCTCCCCACTCAATGACCACAATGGATTCCGCAAGTCTTTTAGGATGCGAGAGGATCAAATCTGCCATCCTCAGTACGTCCACTTCCCATGCCTATCCGATCTCTGCACGACCCATGAGCTATACTTCCCAAAACAGCAACTGAAATAATGCCTAGGTGAAGCCCGCGCAGTGTTCGCAGCCTCGCTTCAAACTTTCCACAGCAAGCCACTCGAATTTGACGTCGTTGTTGAGAGCACAATAAACGGCATCTCACACTCGTACAAAGCCCGCGTCATCGCATACGACTGCAGTAGTCTGATAACCTAGACTATGCTGATGGCGTCGCCTAGCGGTGCTGCTTCAGAGGTTGAAGCGATGGAGAGATTACTGAGATCATTGCGTACTCGGGCCGGTTTGTCTAGAGGTACTTCGTGGGCGAGATGGTATGGGGTAAATGGGAGATGAAGTTGACTTGCTGAAGAAATGGATAGCTGGAATGATGACCGGAGATCGGTTTAGGGGTGAGTCGAGGGAGGTTAGGGATAACTTTGAAAACAAGTTGGCTGAGAGGTACTTGCGTATACATGGCCCCCATCACTGAGCTAAGGATTTTTTCGATTAGGTTGGCTGTGTGTTTCGAGCGGGATGCAGCTTGATGGTTGTGATTTAGATGGCGGTTGTGCATTAACACAGCCTGCATCTTCGAGCAGAGTACATTCCCACAAACACACAGAAGTCAAGCCCATAACATCTAGCTCTTTCCGCCTTGGGCCAAGCACGAGAGTGAAATAAAAGTGGAATCAAACTAGACCCGCCGTTTGTCCCGTTCGGTGTTTATACGTACCTGTCACTTCAAACTTCTTCTTCTCTCCTCTAACTACAAAGCCATTCTTGGAGGGAATTATGGCAAGCTCGCGATCGACCACCACCATGGATCCGAAGACTAAGAAAGAATTAGCTGCCAGCGTCAAGCTCATGACGAACCTCAAACCACTAATCATCTGTAAGTTAGCCAGCACCTCCTTTATTAAACCTCGCTGAGTATCGTGTGTCCAGCCGAAGCTCGTGCCATATTTGGTATCAATGTATACAGTCCAGGCATGAGGGAGAAGAACGTCGATGTTGTCGTCGACAAAGGCCTATACCCCTATTCTCACCACGGACTTTTATACGTCTACAAAGCGCGCCTTATCGTCTACAATCCCCACAGCAGCTTACAGTGGCGGCTATTGATGACTAGCGAAGCTCCTTGTAAGTCAGCGGAGGAAGCCATGGCTGATCTATTTTCCTTGTTGCAACGCCATGCCTACGTGAAAAGAAGTAAGTGAAATTCCATCTACTGGGGTTGATGTTTGATTCCTGAACTAATTCTGTTGTGACAGATCGTATCCTTGTGGGAGATGAGTGTCGTGGAGAAGCAGTGTTTAGATGATGATCAGAGCGAAATGCGTGTGATCTTGTGCGGCCTTGCACGATGATAAGGTCGAGATGAAAGAGGAAGAGAAAACGGATAAGTATGATAGATTGGAGGGCTTCTTCCGTGTGATGGTGTACTGGTCTTCGTAATGATAGGCATTGTCCGTTATCAATCCTCTTGTCTATCTCATAACCTAAATGTGTTCCACGCTCCGCTGATATCTTCAATTTTCTCTTTGGACAAGCCATTGTTGGGCTCCACAAAATGTCTGCCGGTTTTAGGATGGTTATAAACGATGCCTTGGTATGAAGTTTTCCTTTTGTAGGCTTGAAGGGAGTCATATGCTTCTCTATCTCCATTTGGCTCTCGGTTGTACACCGCCTCGATTGCTAAACACTACGATGCCCACCATCGTAGCGATGGCACCTAACACCACCCACTGCGGAACTCTGATCTCATGCTGTGCAGCCTCGTTGAATCTCCTTGCGTGTTCCGCATATGTTCTCTTTCTCTGCTCTGGCGTATCCTCGATCACCAGCTTCTTCATTCTCTTCTCATCCCTAACTTCTTTCCTCGCAACCTCCTCTTCTTTCATTCTATCCACACTGAGGTAGTCCCTCACAAGTGGATCATCACTCCCACTCATATCAACCCACTCCCTCTCTCTACTCCCACTATCCAGCGGACAAGCTACATTCAACCCGCCAAACACCCCCTCCTTACCCTCCTTCCTCCCCTTCCCAACATCAGGATGACCCGGTAGCCACTCCTCCAATACCTGCTCTGGCAACGTCCGAAAAATCAAACACACCCACATCTCCAACAAATTCAGCATCAACCCTACATCATCCATACCCTTGATCCCTCTTGGCACCACCGCAACAATCCCAAAAGCGTTATACACACTGCCCTGCAACGCATGGTAGTGCAAACTCGGATTATCTCTGCGATACCGAAAGTTCAAATGCTGGCCTACTCTCTGCCTTAGACTCTTCGTCTGACCTACATAGATCCTCACACGCTTGTCGAGCCCGAGGATCGCGTTGAGGTAGATGGTGCCCTGGTTTTCTGACTTGAGGTCGCCAGCGACAAGTTTGAGTGCATCAAGTGAGAGGCGATGGGAGAGGACGGTCCAGATTTGGGGTCGGATGGCGGAGAAGAGGGTCTCGGGGAGGGAGGGGTGCTGCTGGATGTAGGGGGCGTAACGAGAGTGGTACCGTGAGGCTGGGGAACACAGTTTGGAGAGGAGGTGATTTAGGATGGTTTGGGCCTCGATTTGTGAGGAATTGAGGGGTTTCGAGGGGGATGAATTTGTTGTGGATGGTGATGGTGATGGTGGTGACGTCGTCATTCGCTGTGAAGACATGGCGATTTGAGTATGCGAGGTAGGGGGGATCGACGAGGGATCCGTGTTAGGTATAAATGCTGTGGCCATCTCTTCCTACCCTTCGAAAAAGTTTGGAAGTCGATGGGATTGATGCAGGCTTTCAGGCAGCAGAGCGATATGAGTTTAGCGCCGAGGCAGCAGAGGCAGCCGGGAGGCAAATCGTATATCAATGGAGCTTTTCCAAGATGAACAAGTCTTGCTGCCTGAAATTCAAATAGAGAGATTGAAATGTAGACAAAAGACTGCTAGTTGTAGAAGTAGAAGAAGGTAGCCTGTGTACATCAGGTTGAGAACGCGTTCAGAACGTCAATGAGGCTGAAAGTTTAGCGCTTGTTGTACTCGAGGATACCCACATACCCAGCTTAACAAGTGACGTCAATTGCGCAACATTAATGCAGACCTGAGATAATGACAAGTGATACAGAGCACCCTTATACTAACAACAAATCAATAAGGAACTCAAGTCCAAATGTTGAGCCTCTGTCGAAGCCTCGGGATGTTGTTCCCTATGTGGATAGGTAGGTCGCTAGTGCTGTGCCGGATCTAATCTAATCTCATCAGCACTGGCCAGAACAGAACCCTGGCGATTGAGGACAGAGCAACACATGAACAGCCCAAGCTTCGTGACACACCAACAACATCTTCCCTTGCTCCACCACATACTGAATCCTCCTACCCAACCATCTTGAAGTCGCGGATCTGGACAAAGTCGCTGCATAACAAAAATGGTACAGCTCCATCCCTGCGATTGCCCGCTAGACGCGCATCATGTCAGGACTCTGTCCAACTAACTCGTATGCCAGGCGAACGTAATAGCGAACTCTGGCCACGATGAGATGATTGTATGTTCACCAACGATACCCTGAATACTTATCCTTCACCCGCATACCCGCCCACCGCCTGGGTCCCCCTTTATATGCAAGAGCACTCACTACCCTGCGCCAATGGCAGAAGATGGGCGCAACAGCAACTGGCTTTCAATTGAAGCTAATGAAGCGTAGCACGATGCTGTCCTTGACTACTACGGCAGACGGTTAGCAACTTGTTCCTCGGACAAGACCATCAAAATCTTCGAGGTGGAAGGCGAGAAGCACACACTTGTCGAGACACTACGAGGGTACGTCACCACCTGCCTACTCACCTACACACATATCCAGCCACTGACACTCTGCTCTCCTTTAGCCACGAAGGCGCAGTATGGTGCGTAGCCTGGGCCCACCCTAAATACGGCAACATCCTCGCGTCCTCTTCGTACGACGGCAAAGTCATCATCTGGCGCGAGCAATCCTCGACCTGGCAAAAGATTTACGAAGTCGCCCTACACACCGCATCCGTCAATCTTGTGTCTTGGGCGCCACATGAGGCTGGCTGTCTTCTCGCATGCGCCTCCTCGGATGGCAACGTCTCGGTGCTCGAATTCAAGGAGGATGCATGGACACATCAGATCTTCCAGGCGTGTGGTAGCGGCGTAAACAGCGTGTCATGGGCGCCCGCCGTTTCACCCGGTCAGGTCGTAAGCGCGAGCGGCAACCAGGCTGGTGCCGCCAGACGATTTGTTACGGGAGGAAGCGACTGCCAGGTCAAGCTTTGGGAATTCAGTGCCGAGACTGGCGGGTGGACGAATACCCAGATTCTCCCAGGACATACGGACTGGGTGCGTGATGTCGCCTGGAGCCCTACCGTCTTGTCCAAGAGCTATATTGCGAGCGCGAGTCAGGACAAGACGGTGCGCATTTGGACGTCTTCGGATCTCCGTAGGTTTCTTCCCTCACACTGCCTTTGGCGGTGAGCAGTTCGCTAACTTTGACTAAAGATGACTGGAAATCCACCGTTCTTAATGTCGACGCCGTTGCGTGGCGTGTGAGCTGGAGTTTGAGCGGTAATGTGCTTGCCGTTAGCACTGGGGACAACAGAGTTAGTCTCTGGAAGGAGAGGCTGAGTGGTGGTTGGGAGTGTGTCAAGACGATCGAGGAGTAGATTTGCTCGCATCGAACCATGAATGAGTACTCGAAGACGAATGGTGGCAGCTCTAGGCAGGTAGCTGTGCTACGCCGCTAGGTTGTTGCGAGAAACAAGAAGATTGGGAGGGGGTTTGGTAGAAGTTAACTTCCCCGGACACGAAGCGAAGAACATATGCATACACAATTTTTTTACATCAATGGAATGGCCTTGAAGCAAGTTTCGTGACTTTGGTGTTTAGCTGCGTTTCTCGTGCTTATGCCTGAAACCGTGGCTCCATGAATCCCATTACTCTGCTAGACACCTTAAGCTCCAATTTACGCCCTATTGACAGATATACATCTCTCTCACAATCTCTACTCCCTACTCCCCATCCCCACCGCCCTCCTCCTCCTCCTTCGCCGCCGCCTTCTTCGCCTGCTCCATCTTCCACTTCTGCGCATTCGCCATAAGTTTCGCCAACTTGGCCGCACTCTCATCATCAGCGGGAAACACATAATCGACATACTCCTCGAAGCTATCGTCGTCAAGCTTTCTCCTCTTCTTGACCTTGCGCGGCATCTGCTTTTCGATATCCTCTTGGTCCTGCGGGGAGCCGTGTATGGCTTCAAAGGAGCGCCAGGCCGTGAGCAGGGCGACGCGGTCTTCCTTGAGATCTTTCTCCTTGAGGCGCGCATGTGCGCGCTTGAAGATGTCGCGGGCGCGGGATTTGGCAGCTGCGCTGATGGGGCGGTCTTGTTCGTCGTCGGTGTTGGCGGCGGGGGTATCTTGGTCTTCTTCGTCGGGCACGCTGAGTTCGAATTGGGCCCAGGATGTCCAGACCTTGACGTGGTCTGTTTTGGAGAGGAGGCGTTCGTACAGCGCGCGCGTCCTGTCGTATTCGCCTTCTGCTTCTTCAAAGTCAATGTAGGCTTTCCAGAGGAGCTCGGGCATGTCGAGTTGGGGCTCGTCGACGGCGAGTTCAAAAATTGCGCGCGTGCGGTCGAGGTCGTCGAGTCCGCGTTCGAGTTCGGCGAATTTGATCCAGGTTTGGCAGTTTGCGCCATTCCATTCAATGTATTTTGTGTACAGTTGGCGGCAGCGGTTGAATTCGAAGAGTTTCATTTCCAGCTCAATGTAGCCCTTGAACAGCTTGTCTTTGGGACACATGCCGATTGACTGGCCGAGAAGCTTCCGCGCTGTGGTGAGCTGGCCTTGTCGGACTTCAAAGTGTGCGAACATGAGCCAGACTTTGGCAAAAGTGAAGCGTTTGTGGGGCAGCAGGCGTATGCATTCTTGGTAGATTTGCCGCGTTCGATCTATGTCACGAGAGACTGTTTCTTCAAAGACAGCGTAGAAGAGCCAAAGGTAGATGTATCGTCGCCAATGTCGCTTCTCTTGTGTAGGGGGTATTTGTGCAATTGCGCGTTCGTAAACGTCCCGTACGCGATCGGTGTTTCCCGAGGTTTCTTCCAGTCGCGCAAAGTCTATCCAGGCATCGTAGTTTTTGGCAGTCTCCTTGATTTGCTCTTCATAGTGCACTCTCCGCTTGGACAGGATTACGTCCTCGATACCGTCGCGATCGCCGTATTGCTTTTCGAACGTAGTGAAGGCTTTATGGAGGTTTAGCGATTTCGAGCGAGGCATGCGATCCAGCGCAAATCTGTAGATGGCTCGAGCGCGTTCCAACTCTTTTAACCTGGCCTCGAACTTGGCGTACGCCATGAATAGCTTTTCGTCCATGAAGTCGTCACCCAGGGTCTCCACGGCTGTTCCATATACGTCGCGCACGAGGTCGCTCGTACCATTCTCCTCCTCAAACTTGGCCCACTTGATCCAATTTTTCGGTTCGGGGTGGACGACTGTGAAGCGCTCGAATATGGCCCTCGCTCTCTCAAACTCACCATGCCTCTTTTCCAGCTTGATGTACGAAGACCAGGCTGCCTCTTCGGGCTCCCATTGCATCCATCTCTCAAAGACTGACCGCGCGCCATCAATGTTGCCCAACGTTTCCTCCATGTAGACATATTTGTACCACAGTTTGTCCACCCTGGGAAGAATGGTCACGGCGCGGTCCAGCAGATTTCTCGCATGGTTGATGTTGCGGTTCTTCATCTCCGCCTCGATGTACCGCAGCCACAGCGCAACGCTTGTACTGTCGACATCGAGTGCGCGCTCAAAGACGGACCGCGCGCGCCTGAATTCCTTCTGTTCAAGTTCCCACTGTGCATAGCGCATCCAGTTGTTCATGTTGATCCTGTTACGCCTGACATAGTCTTCAAACTCCTTCCTCTTGCGGCCCTGGTGCTCGTGCAGTTCCTCGAGGTCAGCAAAGCGCTGCGTCGGCGCCTTGAGCTTCTCATCTTGACGGTCGACGGCCTCACGCAGCAGTTGTTCGGCACTGATCTGGATGGGCGCGGCCGCCTTGTTCTTGACGCGCGGAGGGCCCCGTGTAGCCTCCATGATTCCCGGGCGGTTTCGGCGTCGTGTTGGTAAGTCAGGAGAGTTGAGTTGTAGTTGCAGTACACTATCTACGCGTCTCGTGAAAGTTGCAGTCTTTAATTAAAGCGCTAGTTATGCATGCTATCCGTGAGCCAAGCGCACGGTTCGCCGCTCCAACACGCGCTACCCAACTCACAACGCCATGCTCCTGCTTTCAACATCCTCTCACCCACATCCCACTCACTCTCATACCACACCACAATGTCTACTCTTGAGCAAGAGTTGCTAGCCGACTTTGCCGACTCTGGCGATGAGGCTGACGCCGGCCTCCATGACTATGCCGACAACATGTCCGAGGACAACATGGTCGATGACGACGAGGCCATGGTCGACGAAGAGGCAGCTGCTCAGGAGCAAGTCAAGGCTCCGTCAGACGTTCGCGGGGGTTACACGCTTATGAAAAGCATGGCTGCTACTCTGGAGCGCATCCACGAGGTCCAGGACAATCGCGAAGAGCTGCTTGATGGTGAGGACATTGAAGATGATCCTGAGTATCAGCTGCTGAAGGAGGCGAATGAGTTCTCCACACAGATTGACGGCGAGATTGCTACGGTGCATAAATATATCCGCGACAACTACTCGGTTGTATTCCCTTACCTGGAAGAACTCGTCAAGAATCCCGTCGACTACGCGAAAACCGTGGCCATTCTTCAAAATGGCCCTCTCGACGACATCAAGACGATTGCGCAAAGGACCGACAATATTGTTGGAACTGCTCTCAAAAACATTCTCGACGGCCCCTCGCTGATGGTCATCACAGTAGAAGCTACCAGAGCACAAGGACGCAAACTCAAAGAAGCCGAGCTAGAAGCCGTCGTTGGCGCCTGCAAGCTGTTACTTGACCTCGACAAGGCCAAAAGTACCCTCACTCAATTTGTTCAATCAAGGATGCGTGTCTTTGCGCCAAATCTCACGACACTTCTTGGTTCTTTGGCAGCAGCACAGCTCATCAACCATGCTGGAGGTCTTCAAGGCCTGGCAAAGACACCTGCTTGCAATATTGCGCCACTGGGATCAAACAAGGCTACTGGGCTAGGTTTGGCGACGAACATTGGCATCAGGCATCAAGGTTACATCTACCACAGTCCTCTTCTCCAGACTATCCGCGAGGATCTCAAGAAGCAGGCTCTACGCATCGTTTCCGCCAAGGTCATTCTCGCTGCGCGCATAGACATGGTACACCAGAGCACAGACGGCTCAATGGGCCAGCAACTCAAGGATGAGTGCGAGCGCCGGCTCGACAAGCTCACCGAAGTCCCCGCCAACAAGGGTGTCCGCGCGCTCCCAGCACCAGACGATAAGCCATCGCGCAAGCGAGGAGGACGAAGAGCACGCAAAGCGAAGGAGGCGACCGCCATGACGGAGATACGCAAGGCACAGAACCGCATGGCATTTGGTAAGGAAGAAAAGGAAGTCGGCTATGGAGACGTCACAAAGGGCATGGGTATGATTGGCGCTACAGACACGGGACGACTACGCGCGCAACAGATCGACACCAAGACACGCGCAAAGCTCTCGAAAAAGCAAGGTGCCGGATGGGGCGGCGACACTACACTCGGAGCTGCATCTTCACTCAAGGGTTTTGGCGCCAGTGGTACTGCGACCAGTCTACGCGCACAAGGTCTTAGAACAGGTGGAGTTGGGCTCGGTGGCGCGGGAACAAGTTCGATTGCCTTCACACCGGTGCAAGGCCTCGAGCTGGTTGACCCAAGAGCAAGAGAGGAAGCGAGCAGGAAGCGCAAGGCGGACGAAGACCGATGGTTCAAGGGTGGATCCTTTACGCAGCTCAACGGCGGCGGTGGCAGTGCCAAGGTGGATGCGAACGGTTTCAAGGTGCCAGCTCTGCCAGTAAAGAAGCCGCGGACGGAGTAAGTTGTGTAATGGAGTAGTGAGATTTTCATTTGCGCGAGGCGTTGTGAAGGTGGATATCATGGGATTCATGCATTCTAACGGCGTTTTGATACCAATACCCCAAGCATTGTACGGATTCGTATCGGGAAGATGTTTTTACTGTTGCATGTCATGTATTTTCATGCTGTGTACATTGACTATACGGTTGCATCACGATGAGTGCATATAGCTCTCATCAAACTTGGGTGGAGAGGAACGTGAAGTATGCATCATGTTGAAAACTACTGTCTTTGTATCCGTATAAACATCTTCCCGTACCTTTGGCGTGCCAAAAAAGCCCCACTTAAAAAAAAATCACTACTTCTTTATCGATAAGCCCTCCCTCCACGCCAACGCACGTGCCTCGGACTCTAACTTTCAACTCTCGCCCATCACCGCGCCCTCCTCTCCACGCCTCCTACTCTACGCAAACCCAACGCAACCCACCAACCACCAAAACCCAACACCCAACACCCACACCACACGCACCCCACCTGATCCCGAACAAAAAAAAGACACAAACCACAAAACACCATGTCCGCCTACCAACCCACAACCACCCAAACCACAACCGCCCAGGACTCCATGGCTATCGACACCACCGCCCGCACCGTCCACTACAAATGCGGCGACTGCGACCAAGACGTCCCGCTCAAGCGTGGCGAGCCGATTCGGTGCCGCAACTGCGGGCACCGCGTGCTGTATAAGCAGAGGACAAACAGGTATGTTGCATTTGCGTCTTGTGTGAGGGTTTTCTGGGGTTGAGGAGCTGAGGCTGATGAATGTGGTGTAGGATGGTGCAGTTTGAGGCGCGGTGAAGGGGTTTGCCGGGGGTTTGTGGATGGGGTTAGATGGAATGGGGTGGGATGGGGGTGGGAGGTGTAGATGGTGGACGACAGACGACAATGCGGTCTTCCCTCCCCTCTCCACGCAACGAGCCATACATCAAACCAACTCGACTTACCCCCCCTCGCTCACGCTACCCCATTCCCCACGCTCGCCATACAAGATACCCCACATCCCTCCCGAAAGCATCGATCCCTCATTCGCGAAAACCAACCAAAAATCTGGCTTGTCTTTATTCATCACAACGGCTCGTAGATCAGCCTGTTCATGTCTACGGTTTTCTTCGGCAATTCATGTTGGGAATGAAAGAGACAGGGGAGAAGGGGAAGGAAGGGGGAGATAGTAGTAGTAATGAGATAAGCGATGTTTGAAATGCGCGAACCTTTTTTTTTTCGGGGGGGAGGGGGGGGCTTTTGGCGGAGATGGGGAAGATGTATGTATGATATACATTTCTTTCGTGTTATCCTGTTTTGATCTTTTGATCCTGGGTTTGGGGCCTAGGGTTGAAGCGGTAATAGAAGAGACAATGAGTGTGCTTTGCTTCAGACCAATCAATCAATCAATCAATCAATCACATGTTGAAAATACATGTTTGCACTCATGACATCTACAACATCAACTACAACAACAACCATCCCCACACCATGAACCTCCAAAAGCAGCAAAACGAGTCCAGATTCAAACATCACCGTGCGTCTGAAACTCAGGAAAATTTGGGGGACCAGAGAGATGCAACCGACACAAAAGGCACCAACGCCCATACGATGCTCACATTCAGTATAATGTATATGCTCCCGTTCATTGACCAACCTCATCCATAGTCCCTCCAGCTCTCCAACACCATCTACATCCCCCGGCAGAAAGAGAAGAAAAAAGCGCTTGTGATGATCCAGCACGCCAGCACGCACGACACGCAGACCAATCCTTTTCCCACATTGCCAGCAATTCAGTTCCACGCCAAGAACCCCACGTTCCCTCTTCGAGACCCTACTCTACGAGCCCCTAAAAGCATCAAATCGCTTATACGTGTAGCCAATAAACGGCAGACTTGTTGCATATTCGTCGTCATTGGAGTGGGCAGCCTGCGCCCTATACGCAGCACTCGTATCATTTTGGTCAATCTCGTCAATGGGAAAGTACTGCGTATCAACATTGGACTGGAGTTTGGGCTCAAACGGTGCGCGAATACGGCGGAGTCCATCCCACGAGACTCCACGGAAGAATGGATGCTGCTTGATTTCGGCAGCGCCACCGAGGTGACCGAGACGGTGTTCAGCATCGCAGATCAAGCTAGGACAAGAGAGGGGCCGTTAGCTTGGGGTCCAAATGACTCGGCTGTACTGTAGCGACAGCACAGAGCATGACAAGGGCTTTACTCACCGCCTAACAAAATCCTCCGCTTCGGCACCCAGTTGCTGGTCCGGTGGGAAGTGCAGGTTGCGCGGCCAGTCGACAATCTTGCGGTATGTGTCATGTGGCTCTTCGGCGCAGAAAGGTGGCCAGCCGATAAGACATTCGAACATGATGGTGCCTACGGACCACCAATCACAGCCACGGTCGTAACCCTGACCGCTGAATATCTCGGGGGCGATGTAGTCGGGTGTACCGACCGTGGAGTAGGCGAGCTGACGACGGGACTTCCTCCATGTGTTGATCTGGGTACGGTTACTCACGGTCAGTTGGATTTGGTCCAGATTCATCGAGGCACGGTTATCGCGGTTGGACTTGTGCGCTCCTCCAGCAAGCAACTTCTTGTAGTAGCCAGCGTCGTGCTCCTTGTGGAAACCAGTTGAGAGACCAAAATCCGTTAGTTTGATGTGGCCGCCACGGTCAAGGAGAATGTTGTCGGGTTTGATATCACTGTCTGGATTAGTATTCAAGGTCCTTGGATTATAGTAATGGCTCATACCGATGTATAAAACCAAGCTTGTGCACTGCTTCTATCGCAAGAACAATCTCAGCCATGTAAAAGCGAGTGATGTCCTCTGTGAAGATCTCGTACTTGATGAGCATAGTCATCAAGTCACCTCCGGGAAGGAATTCCATCAACATGTACAGGAAAGTATTGTCCTGGAAGGTGGTGTGTAGCTTGACGACCCATGGACTGTCCGCCTCGGCGAGAATATCACGCTCAGACCGGACGTGGGCAAGCTGGTCTTTCTTGAACTGCCATAGGTCAATAGGGATGTTTCTCCATCACAATTTGAGTTCGTCTCACCATCTCTTGCTTCACAAGCGATTTGAGGGCATAAATCTTGCCATCATTCTTTCGCTGCACAAGTTTGACTTCTCCAAAAGCACCCTTGCCAATGACCTTCAAGGTAGAGAAGTTCTCGGGTCTTTCCTTTGTCCGCAAGAATCGCAAGTAGGAGATCTCTGCACGGCGCATGCTTTCCTGCTTCTGAGCTTTTCGAGAGTCGGAAATTGAGGGCTCTTTCATGATGGACTCGAGTTCCAAGGCTCTGTACATGTGTCAACAGTGTTTACCAGAAGCATTTGCCACCAACAGAGGGGGGGGGGGGTCCCTTTCTTATTTGACCTACCTCTGATTGCGGTCACGAGCGCGCTGAACGCTATCCTTGAAGAAGGTGTTGATCAGGCCCTTTGACATGACAGCCCGCTTATCAACGTTCTCCGAGTACTTTCCTGGGTTCTTTGATGGCGGTTCTTCGTCATATAGCGACGAACCGCGTGGGTAAGAGCCTCCGTGGCTTCCATGGCCGTAGCTACGGTTGTCTGCGGTGCGGGGACGCTGTGGGTTGGGCGAGGGTTGGCGGCCGTATGGGCTGCCAGAGCGGCCACTGCCTCCCAAATGCTGGTGCGACAGCTGCTGGGCGAGCCCATTGGCACTCTGATCGAAGCGCTGGCCTCCTTGAGCCTGCAAATTGCCTTGCTGCTGCTGGTACTGAGCCTGCTGATAGGGGTTCATGAAGTAGCCCCCACCGCCATTGAAGCTATTGCTGTTTCCAGGGCCAGGCTGCTGAGCACCCCACACTTCCTGCTGGCCAGCCTGGTTTGGATATACGGGTTGCGGAAAGGTGGAGGGCGTGGTGGGAAAGGCACGGCCGGCGTCCTGCTGGTACTGCTGGTTGTTGCGGTCACCGCCGCCGAAGCCAAAGTTGAGCTGCAACCGGTTCGACGGCTGCTGATTGTTATTGTTGTTGTTGCTATTCATCGTGCGCGGGCGTGAAAGGGGTATGAGTGAAAGCGAGCCAGCAGCAACGGTCTTGAGTATATTGAGTTTTGTCGGGTGCAAGTGGTGGTGGTTGCCCGTGGCAGCTCGGGGGAGAAGGTCAACTCCGCAATCGATTTGGGCAGCGAGGAGGGCAGCTGGCCAAGACAACGGCAGGCTGGAATGAAAATGCGGGGATCGTGTCACAATCTCGAATCTCAACGTCGACGTGAAGTGTGGTTGGCGACTACAAGGAAGTCGGTGGGGGGGAGGGGGAGACAGCTGACAGGAGAGAGGGAGAGGTAGGTAACGGGGCATGTGTGTCGCAGTAGCTCAGTCAGGGATAACTCCCCAAGTGCAGGCACTGACCACCAGGGCGGGAGGAGGGGGTGGGCCAACACTCAATCAATCTCGAAGACCCTTGCAGCTTGCGTGTCTGGAAACCAAGTGCTGCTGTGTTGTATTCGGGCCTCGGTACGTCTGTATGATATCTACCTGTCAAGTCTACGTATGCCTTGTCCTGGAAGATGGTAGCGGGGAAGACAGAAAGAGCAGATACCGGTAGGTAGGTATACCTTGGTACACATCACATCACTGTTTCCATTGTCGTTCGTGTACTCCAACAGCACGGGCTGAGTGCGAGCCGCGGGGGGGGGAAAAAGGGAATTCACGACGGCGTGTGCCGTCTGCATCTTCATGTAACTACTTTGGGCCGACTACGAACCTTTTACAGACTTGCTGCCGGCTCGGGTCGCACATCTCGAACCCCACGGTCGGGCAACGTTGATATTTGGTAGGTAGGCTATCGATAAGTAACGAGCACGTACCTAGGAGTATTCACACTAGCAGAGTAGACACCAACCCCTCATAGAACATCGGCAGTATCGCCCACGTACAAGACGTCTATATCGAGCACATGTCGAAGCCACACACTGACAGTACTGTGCAACGTCATGTACCTTGCCCAACTCATCACCGCCAATAATCACCAAGAGGCGTCACACTGATGCAACCATACGAGGAGACAGCGTTCATGTATGTGTGTCTGCCTAGAGCACAGAATGCATATTGTGTAATGCATACAACGACTTGATTCGACAATCCAATCATTCCAATATCTCGCTACAATCATATTCGAGCAATCCTCTATTACACTACTATTATGGTTACGACCAGTTACAGTTATACATAGGTTAAGCAAAAGGTAGGTAACAACGGTATCCAAAAAAAAAAGAGGCGCGAGGCCACAGATACTTTAAAAAAACAAGGTGGACCTTTCAGATGCAGTTTTTCTGCTGGAAGAGGAATGCAAATGCTTCGTCTTGTAACCGCCCGTGGGTATAGAGCGATGGCCAAGAAAGGTAGTGGAAATGATTGAAGCACTGGGACAAGTTTCCAGGCTGATGTTAAAAAGCGGCTAAGATGAAGTGTCGAATGCGTGTCTTCGTAACGCCAGTGATCCCAAGGTCCCAGTAGTGAACGCCCAGGTAAATCGAGATGGAATCCCAAACGATGTTCGTTCCAGTGAAAGTTTTTGGGTGTAAGATTGTATATCGTGTCCAGAAAATAGGCTAGAGGAAGTGGGGACATTATGCCCCGTTGGCCATGAGAGCCTTGACCTTTTCGCGTTCAGCGACAATGTCGGCTTGAAGTCGTCTTGTCTGTCGCATTGCCTCGTCCCTAGTGGTTGTTAGCATAGTCCAGTTCGTGATGGCCTCCACGTCTTATTATACCTCTCGAATTGCAGCTCCGCAACCTCCATCTGAGCAGCATTCATACGCCCGACAACCTCCTCCATCTCGTGGTCGGCGTCACGAAGCGCCTTCTCCAGCTCTTCGACACGCTTCTCGAGTAATTCCGTCTTGGTGGCTTCGGCGAATGTCATGGCAGGCCCGCTAGTCGTGACTTCGAGACGCGGCGATCGCTGAGCAAAGACTGGAGATGTCGGCATCTTTGGCGAGAAAGCGGACGGGCTGAGTAGACCTGACTTGACACGGCGCAGGTGGCTGGTATGGCTTTCCTTGATAGCTTGTACTTCGCCTTCGTGTCGGGCGACAGCGTCCTCTGATGACTGTTGAGCAAGCATGACCTTGTCTTCGGCCATTTTGAGACGTCTCTCGAGCTCAATGATCTGCTCCGTAGACTTCTGTTGTTCCTGCTCGCCACGGGTAATGGCCAGCGTGAGACGATCACGAAGGGAGCCATTGGCCTTGAGCTGTTCTTGGATCCGGTTGGATAGCTCATCCATTCGCGTGGCCGCGGCAAACAATTCCCTGCTAAGACTTTGCTCCCTGCCCAAGTGATCTAGCTCGGATTGTTGCAGAGAACGTGCCTGGTTACGGTATTGCTCGGCTTCTTTCTGAGCAAAATCTCGCTCAGCCTCAGCATCCGAGATGCTTTGTTTAAGGAGGTCCAAGGTTCGCTCTGCTTCCGCACCAGCCGCACCGAGCGATTCAGAATCGCTCGTCTCCAACTGCTTGACGCGTACCAAAGACAAAGCATGTGTAGTACGGAGTTCATTATACGCCTTGTCCAAGGCGAGTGGCTCGTTCTCCAGTCTTATCTCGGGGATTGTGATGTCGTGTTCCCGTAACAGATCACGAAGAGAGCCGGTTTCTTGCTGTGCACGGTCCAAGTCCATTCGCAATCCGCTCAGGCCTTTCTCGCAATGGAACTTTTGCTCCAATGCATCGTCTGCACGGCGACGCAGGGCGTCCACCTCGGCTCGCAGACTCGTGACTTCCTTGTGAAATGCGGTTCTTCTGGGTGTCAGATTCAGAGCTGCATCTCGTTCAGCTTCTAGCTCTTTGATACGTCTCCGGAACTCCTTTTGTTGCAATTCTTGACGGGTCAGCAGATTCTTCAATGCCTTGTGAAGCGCATCCCTCTGCTCTTCCAGCTCCTTTACAGGATTGCCCGCAGCCGGACCATCTCGTGGAGACTGTTCGCCGGACCTGTCCTTGACCGAATTCGACCGTGATAGCGAACCCCTTTTCGAGTTCAACCCCGTGCTTCGCGCCAAAGAATTGGAGCGTGTCAAACCAACACGCATGTTTAGTGGTGGTACGCTATCGTTGTCCTCGGCAATGGACTGAAAGCGTACTTGCTGCAACGATAGGTCTTGTTGTGACCTGCGACGCGTATTGGCAAGCGTTTGATTCTCTATCCGAAGTTGTTGAATCTCTTGTTGCATGCGCGTAGTCTCGTACACGAGCTTCTCCGTATCCGCGGCCTCGGTTTCCAGGACTTCAAGCCGCGCCTTGAGTTGGGGCACGACTTCATCCCGCAGGTTATCGGCTTCGTTACGATGCTTCTCGAGTTCTTCTCGCAACGCCGTCAACAGATCTTCGAAATTCTCTTTGACCTGTCTTTCTTCAGCCAACCGTCTCTTGGCATCCTCTAGTGACATGGAGAGCTCTTTGATTCGCGGTGACTCTACAACGGATCCTGCGCGAGATCTCTCGCTAACCTGGTCTTCAAGCTGATGTACTTGCTCCTCTAGATCTCTACGCCGCCTCAACTCCTCCTGCAGCCGTTCAGCCATGCGCACCTTGAGCGAGGCGCGTTCTTGTTCCGCCTTTCGTCGGAGCGTCTCCACCTCTTCGAGTTTGCTCTCAGGGTCACTGATAGGAAAGCGGACAGAGCTGGTTCCAGAGTCGGAGTAGTAATCGCTCGTACGGCGATTGTCCGCCATCCCTGTAGAGCTCTCTGCCTTCCACCGTTCGACCTCATCTTCAAGTTCCATTTCTCTTTGAATAGAAGCAGCGAGCTCTGAGCTGACTTCGCGCAGCTCGCGCTCCAGTTCCTCGACGTGGGCATTCATCTGTGGGGAATGCGACAAAAGTGGCGTCCCTGGGACGTTGAAATAGGACGATAGGGAGTTGGCGGCTGGGATGTCCAGGCCGTTCGGTTTGGTCTTGGCAGACACATTCGATTGTTTGTTGCGCGGGGAGTCTGGTGACAAAGAGAATGTTGTAGCCGGCGACTCAGCGCCGGTTTGGGGTTTGGAGTTCCAGCCAAAGAAGGAAGTGAAGCCTCCTGACGGCGACTTCTTGTTCGTCTGACTCCCCTGCGCGTCGTCTTCGTACGAGTACACACTAGCGTAGTCTTCGGTAACCTCTTCCAGCTTGAGCTTCAGTTCTGGCGGTCGTGAGTCGGCAGTATACAGCGGCATGTTGGGCATAGTAGGAGATCGAGCGTGCACCCCTCTGCTTCCAAAAGCCCTCAGTTCCTCGGTTCGGCTCTTGCGATGCGTGTGGCCGCTGCTGACCGTGCGGTCATGCCTCGAGGCTGATGGCAGGATGATGGGGACGGGGACCCTCTTGGCGATGCTAAGGGAGCTCTTGCGTGCTGGAAACGCTAGCTGCGGCGTAGATTCCACGGGAGGCGTCTTTCCGTGAGGGTTGCTGCAACGGCCGTCAGCATAAACGAGCAGGAGGATGAAGCGTGGTCAGCCAGGGGGAGGGGGTTGATTACTCGTCAAGGTTTCGGGGAAGGAACGACTCGTAGTTAGTCGGCGATGACAGCGGGGCGGTTTCCACGAGGCGAGATGTTGGTTTATGTACCGGGGCGGAAATGTTATGTTTATGTGATGGGGTGTTGGACGGGCGATTGGACTGATCTGCAGAGAAACGGCCGACTACAGGTGAATTGACAGGCAGGGGCTTTCGTCGCACCGGCGACTGGACTGCAGCGGGAACAATGGGAGGTGTAGGTGTGGGTGCCGGTGCCGGTGCTGGTGCTGCTGCCAATGCAGGCTCAGGCGTAGGTGTGGGTGCAGGTACAGCGGGCGCGGGTGGTGCGGGTGGTACAGGTACGGGTTTAGGCTGGGAGCGAAATACAGTAGTAGCAAAAGAGGCAATGGCAATAGATGCCAGAGAAGGCTTTGGACGAGGCGCTGCCGCTTGGGAGGGATGCGCCTCCGTAGGCGCTTGGATCGCTTGCATATTCTCCTGTTATTTCCCCGCGATAGACATGGCTTGCACAAATGGGGAGCGCACAGGGTGTGTGGTGGAAGAGTCTCCAGTGAGGTTGGTGGACCGTCGTATGGAGTAAGGCAAAGGTAAAAGGGGACCACGCTAAACAGAGGCGACAAGCCCATATGCCGAGCCACGGGGCGCTTTGGGGCCTCTGGGCGGATCGGAGCGACAGAATTGGTCGATGTCGAGGCGCTGGTCGAGGCTGTGATGGGCGATTTGCGGGTCGTGCTGGTCTTGCAAGTGGACCTTTGCCGCGGCCAGGGGACTTTTCTGTCTTGGTCGTCAGTGGACTTGCAGGAACCTACACTGCACAAACGGTGGGGCCGATGGGCGCGTACAGAGGACGAAAAGGGCGCCTTGACGACGACGACGACGACGACGACGACGACGACTCGAGTGGATTCAGACTGTCAGTAGAGTTGGGTGCTAACTGGCTAGAGTTATAGAGTACCGTATAGCTTGCCAGCGACAGGGTGCTCAAGGGTCGATGATTCGAGGGCGAAGGCGAAGTTTGGGGTAGATGGTGTGGTGGTGTGGTGGAACTAGGTACTGTGGGTGCAATAGCCATCTGGACATTGCATTCTATCCATCGATCGTCTGCCCTGTCGATTCATGGACGGGAGTTGTGTTTGTGCATTACCAAGTTGCACGCGTCTCCTTTGCATCTCGACGCTACCGGTACGGGTCTGGCATGCAAGCAAGGTGAAACGCGGGCGACAAATGTCCAGACACTTGCGGCAGCGAACGGCGGTCACCAGAAGTGCCACGAAGCCGACCAAGTCCATGATAACACCCACAAGCTTGTGGGAAATATAGTACATACCTACCCAGCAGCCATGTATCCGCAACAGACGAGTTGGCCTGCTGTTTCGTTTTGATACCTTCATCCATGGTGATTCATGGACACCTTTGGGGGAGTCGCCCAACAGGGACACACTGTGCAATTAGCCGAGAGTCCAAAAGGGGAAGAAGCTGTTGTTCCCTGGCAGCATGGATAAGTACAATACCTACAATAGGTAGATAGTATGTATGTAATGGCAGGGGGCGGAGACTCTGCGAACAGACGACCATTGCGCACCGGAGACCATTTCAGCCCAGCTATTCTTGTCACGGCCACTATTGTGAAGATTGCCATGGGGTCCCTGACGCGTAATTTCTCACGACAGGCCAAAGAATGGCAAATCAAGCACAGTTCATGGTTCCTTTGCTCAAGTACATGGCACGTGCACACGGCAGAGAGAACAACACCTCCTGTGCGCGACTTGATGTCCGTGCCTCTTCACCACATCATCCCGATGCGGCATAACCCTGTGACATTCATGCGCCTAGGTATCTCCAAGTGGCCACCAACCTTTCTCTAGTCCCTGGCTTTGCTGTCCAACCACTCTCAACCTACAATAGCAAAACAAACATAAAAAAAATTCTCTCTTGCAGCCATGGCGTACCAGTCTCCGCGCCACTCACAAGGCTTCTATCCATACGATGCCTCCACCCCCCCTCCTCCCCCGCCCAAGCATGCAAGTGGGACAGCAACACCATCACAATCACAGGGTCCACCGTTGCCTCCGCCTCCGCCTCTACCAGGACAGGGACCATCCTATGGGGATCGGCAGCAACCTCCACAGGACCGTCCCGCAAGTTCATCACAGACAAGAGAGCCCGATCAGCCAGCCATCCAACCGCCGCAAGAGGGTTGGTTGCCTGACTTGGTGAAAGACAAGTCGTAAGATGGACTGAACCGAACAGGGAACCGAGCATAGATCCGATGCTAAGACAGAAGCAGAACCAAGGATCTACATCACATACTGCAAACACCTGAGCTCCAGCATGCAATCCTACATAACCCAGAGACTACCCATCCCTCGGTGCCAGCATCAACCGCCCCTTTGCAGGCTCTCCTTGCACAGAACATTAGTCTAGCAGAGTCCCTAAAGCAGCTTGAAGCACATGTCTTGCATCAGCGCGATGTCACGCAGTCGCGCCTACTGGCCATGAGAGCGCTCGAACGCCAGTGGAAAGCCAAACAGACGGAGCAAGATGAAGCACTGCGAGATTTCAGTCCACCGGCGCTGTATCAACGACTCAATGCTGCAGTCAGCGAGCAAGAAGCGTTGTGTCGGGGGCTGGAAGAGAGCTTCCTCGAAGGCGAAGGCTATGGTGGCGGTGAAGCCGTGGCCAGCGAGCGGGAGGTGGCGGACTTTGTTAGGAGGCTCCGAGAAGGCCGCAAGATTGCATATCTCCGAGCAGAGAGGAAGGAACGGTGGGACGAGGGCCGAGTAGGCGGTTGGCGATGACCTTGGAAGTCGAGGGGTCGAGGGATCGTCGAAGCCCTTCTCCCACTTCCCAACTACCAGTAGGTACTCAGTAGGTACACTCACTCCATGATGCCGAAGGAATATCTCCCACTGACCCTACCGTGACATTCAGGCAAATCGCCCCCTATGTAAAGTCCTCTTTTCTTTGTGGCACAATGGCTCTCCATCTGCACTCCTTCTCATGCCTTTACTCAATTGCCATGCCCACGCCGACACCCCCACAAAAGCTACAGCAAAGCTCAGTATTATAACGTCCATTGGTTATCAGTACACACACCATCCATGCATCATTGTAACGGGAGGCAAAGAGGCGAACAAATCCCATGTCCATGTACGATACATGACTAGGATACAGTCTGCAGCTTCCACTCGAGTACAGATAAGCTTGTAATTCTCACATGACCTGCTACTGGATGATGTACTGCATAGGCCTGTATGGATATACATGCCTTTTTTCCTACAGTTTTGTTAGCATAGAGTAAATACAAACGAGTGCAATCCCAACGGCTGTAGGCCCAACCTCACCCTTGTTTCCCTCCTGGCCCCAATTTACCCAGGTACCTAGGTGCCTACAATGCTTACATGCGATACATCCACTCTTTTCATAGGATGCTAGGTTACACTGTCTTCAACGGTGACTTGGAGTCTGGCTGAATCATGTTTGCCATGTTGACCATGTATACCATGCCTACTTGCCTCCAAGGTCGTGCAAGGCCGAAGAAGCGAAGCTGCAGACTGGGATATACCGTAACTTTGTAGGCACCTAGCCAACCGTGTAGCCGACTACAAGCCGTTGTCCGCAAGCGAAAAGCGAATCCCCCCTCCCCCCCCCCCCCCCCCCCCCAAGCGACCCCCGCCAACGTGCGTGCCATGTGGGCGGACTCAAATGGACTTCCCAAGCCTGGGGAAGGGCTTGCGCTCGGCGACAATGTCCCACTGGTGCCGTGACTTGCCAGGCTTGCCTCTAGATAGGTACCATGCTTGGATTGAGCCTCAGGGACTGGTGACGTACCCTATTGCCCTCAAGTGAACACACAAACATACTACATACTGGCCGTTTGTCGCGCGCAACGCTGGTGACTGGACTGGACTGGACCGTCCCTTTCTCCGCCCAGCGCATGTCATCCATCCATCCATCCCTCCATCCATCCATCCATCCATCCATCGTCTGGTAGCTAGCGATTCCGCCCGTAGCTACCTAGCGGGCGGCGCGGGTTAGAGGCAGCAGGGACCCAACCCACCCAACTACTTGCCCCAGCCAGCCGTCTCTCTTGGTACTGTGTACTGTAGCTTTACGTGCACCAACTGACTCTGACTCTCACTTCACCTGAGCCTCTTTCCCCCCTTGCTACCGGAGCCACCGTTGTCTGCGACTATCCCTACCCTACTTGTACCTTCCCATCATCTGCCTGCGCACATGTCCGCAGCCTGCTAATTGAGGCGCCATGGGACGCAACGCCCGAAAGCGCATCTCCTACGGTAGGTTGGGGGTTCCTGCGAGGGCCGGCGCGTGCACATCCATGGCCATGTCATGCGCGGAGAGCTGAGCTGGCCTTGACAGACTGACAGACTGACGGACTGACTGGCTGACCATTGCCCTACAGTGCTGCCACTTGCGAACTCAGCGGGAGGACATCGGCTGGGAGTCAACGGCTTGGCTGTCGACCCAGCCAACTCTATTCTGTGAGCCTCCGCGCCGCCTCTGGCAATCTCGCAGCATGGTAGGCTGACATAGTCCAGCTACTCGGGTGGACGAGATGGCGTAATTTGCGCATGGGACCTGCACCTTGATTTGAACAAGCATGACTCCGAAGAACGCGACCCCTTCGCCGACTCCAATGCCACCGACTTCAAACCTCCACCCACCCAGTTCCGCCAGCAGGTCCAGGCGCACACCCACTGGATCAATGACATTGTACTTGCCCAGAACAGCCAGGCCCTCGTCTCTGCCTCTTCCGATATCACCGTAAAGGTATGGCGGCCAGCTGCCACCGACGCGCTTCCACCGCAGACCATTGGCCTACACACCGATTATGTTAAGCGCGTGGCGTCGCCAGGCGGCAACGAGAACTGGGTAGCATCAGGTGGGCTGGATCGCAAGATCAGCCTGTGGGATCTGAACGGTGCTGGCAAGAAGCTCGAGATAGCTGTGGGCGAGGACGAGAATACCGCCAAGGGCTCGGTGTACGCATTGGCCGCGACGCCCAACATCATTGCCAGTGGTGGACCAGAGAGCATTGTGAGGGTCTGGGACGCCAGGACGGGCAAGCGCATCACCAAGTTTGTTGGACACACGGACAACGTGAGGGATATACTATTGGCACAGGATGGCGACACCATCCTGACGGGCTCGTCTGATCAGACAGTCAAGGTGTGGTCCATGACCGCAGGTCGCTGCATGTACACGCTCACCATGCACAACGACAGCGTGTGGTCACTATACTCGGACTCGCCAGACCTCTCCGTCTTCTACTCTTCTGACCGATCGGGCGTAGTAGCGAAAAGTGACGTTCGAGACTGCGCTGAAATGGATGAAGGTCTCTCAGTTGCGGTATGTCAAGAGCACGATGGCGTGAACAAGATTGTTGCCGCGGGCGAGTACGTCTGGACGGCAACCTCGAGTTCGAGCATCAACAGGTGGAACGACGTCGAGACATGCGCCGAGGTCGAGCTACCTCAAGACTACAAATGGCACAGGAGTAGTATGTCTACCATGCGATCCCGCTACCCTTCGCCCCCTGGAGCGAGCCCGCCTGCAAATGGAGCGACACCAAAAATACCCCTAAAATCCCTGCTTCGCATGTCGAATACTGCGCCATTTCCCCAAGCTCTCGCTACAAAGGATCCCGATGCTTCGACTGTGGCTAGCATTCGCAAACCTGCAGAGGTTTTGATTCAGTCGGATCACAATACCACTGCTCCTGTTCGAAGCCTTCCTGACTTCACCATTGAAGGCCAGAATGGTTTGATTAAGCATCATCTACTGAATGATCGCAGAAGAGTATTAACTCTCGATACGGCGGGAGAGGTGATGCTGTGGGATCTTCTGCAGGTATGAGTAAACCAGCCTCCATGTGAGCTGTTGCTGATGTGATGTAGTGTGTTCCGATCAAGTCCTACGGCAAAAAGCACATGGAAGATGTCTTACCCGAGATAAATACTCGCGACAGTGTTGCACACTGGTGTGGTGTAGACACACGGATAGGTACTCTAACCTGTGTTTTAGAAGAGAATTATTGCTTTGACGCTGAATCGTATGCGGACGATCTTCAGCTGGAAGAGCAGATTGAGTTTCGTGAAGATCACAGGAGTATGTTGTCTTATGTATTGACACCCTGCTATCATACTGACTTTGCCTAGTAAACCTGGGCAAGTGGATTTTACGGTACCTATTCTCGAATCTCATAGACGAAGAGATAAGACGAGACGAGATCTTCCGAGCCGACCTTATAAAGCAGAAAGAAGAGGAACCGAAGCCCAGCCGGCCTACCAATATCGAGTTGCCGGATCCTGGCCTCAGTGGGTGGGACAACAACGTTTCTGGACCCACCTCAGCCTCTACAATCAAGGCCAACAATGGATTTCACTTACCGCACACCCCTGGGCTGGCTATTGGACTAGCAACACCCATGCAGGCACCACCCAGTGCAGGTCGCAATTCTCAGAGCAACACAGTCCTGACCCCCACTACTGAGGAGGGTGCACAGTTGGAGAAGACATCAACGCAACGAAGCTCAACGCAGGATGGTGGTGATTACTTTGGCAGTGCTTCCACCACTAACACGAACGGCAACAGCAATGGCAAGCCTGGTGATGCAAAGGAGGGCACCGCAGAATCGAAAGACGAACCTTTGCAATCGCCCTCGGAGCCAGATACACCAGCCAAGAAGGGTAAAGGCATGTTTGGCAAGAAGTTCTTCAATATGAAAAAGTTCAGCACCGGGACCGCTACAGCCGAACCGGCCAAGCCAGCTGTGGACGAAAAGGCAGAGGACAGTGACTCGCGATCCAGCAAGACGGACGAGAAAACCATCGAGGATAACTTCTTCGGTTCCATACAAAGGATACGGCAGGGCTATGAAGAACAACTTGCTGCCGGTGCCACGAAGCTCGAAACGCAAATCGCGCCCAGCTTGCCCAGCGAAACTCCTGTGCTGAAGCCCCCAGCCTCAACGACCATCTTGATCCAAGAGGACCGTCCAGACTCGGGCGGTGTAGCCGATCTCTTCGAAGGCAAAGTAGGCAGTCTAGGTCTCCAGGCAGACCTGATAGAAAAAGCAGCACCCATGTGGCTCGCCGAAGTGTTGTTACGCGTATGTCCCTTTCCCATTCTAACCCTACTCACATCTTTATATATGAACAAACATTGCTAACCCACAACCCCCCACGCCGACAGAACCAACTCCCCATCAAAGACATTGTCAAAGTCTCCTTCATCCTCGAGCCCTTTAACAACGCGCTCCCCAGCATCTCCTCGGACGGGTACATTCCCTTTTCCCTCCCCTTCGAAACCGCAGCCCGCGCTAACGCCCGCCTCAGCAATAATCGCCTCAATGCAAACCGCATGCTGCGCGCACGCAAGATTCTGGGCTACGTTGCCGAGCGCATTGAGCCCGCGTTGTCAAAGGAAGAGGGCGAGGTGGAAGATGCTGGTTTGAAGCCAGAAGAGTATTTGGAACTTTGGTGTAATGGCCAGGTATGTTTTTTGGTCTTTGTTTTTCCCCCTCCTATCCCCAATCTTCCCACCTCAGATACAATGCACCCATACCTACCCATACAACTCCCCTCAACCCCACCTCCCACCCTCCCTTTTCCCACCACCACCACTCCCACATCCACACCAAAATCAAACATAAAACTAACAATCCCTCCACCAAAACAGCTCATCCCCCCAACCATGACCCTAGCCTCCATACGCGCCCACGTCTGGCGCGGCGGCGGCGACGTCCTACTCCACTACAAGGCAAACGGCCGCAAGGAAATCAAATACAAACCCTATCCTGGTCCGCAGTCTGGTGCGCCGCCGGGTCCTGTGCATGGTTTGGGGTTGGCGGCGGCGGGGCAGACGCAGAGTGCGAGGGTGAGTGCGGAGGGGAAGGGGAGTGAGACAAGGGAGAGTTGGAGGAGGGGGGGCAT